TGGGAAAGGGTCCTCCATCCACCATGTCAGCTCCCTTGGTTCATGTCCCCTTCACCACTCAATCCACCTGGACCATTAAAAGTACACTCTAGGAGCATCAGGGAATCTCGCCCCAGAGAATCCTGGGTGTGGGAGTTCAGAGAAGGTTCACCCAAGCAGCCCTTCCAGAACTACCATTCCCAGAATCCCCAAGGACAGGGCGTGGCTATGAAGCCAATTTAAATCCACGTCACCCCCATCGGTTTTCTAGTCCTCTTTGTTGTCGCCGCTCAATGTTTGTTATGCCCTGTCTGTCTGGATTGCCGTTGCTCTCAGGACATTTATCTTCAAGGAAGACGACGAGATGAAGAGGATGCATTTTCTCCTCGGCCGGCGCCAAAGAGCCATCTCTGTGAGTGTTTCTCTGGCAGTGTCTTAGCTGGTTGTTGTGTGGAACTATCAAGGAAGCAGTCAGCAAGAAAACTGCCCCAGAAGTGCTGCACACTGTCGGGCCTCCTGGAAGCCTCCTCGTCTCTGGAGCCAAAGGGGGCGGGCGATTCCCGCGATTTCTGGAAACGGGTTCGGCCCCCGGCGTCTGCTTGGTACAGCTGCGGTTTTGCAAGCTCTGAAAGCATCTTGGGACAAGGAAAGTCACGGTAGGGGGAAAAGGCAAGTCGGGGGAGATGTGCTGGCGACGGATGTCGTTTGGCGTGTTGTAGAACTCGGGTGTGGGACCTCTTTGCTTGGAGACCAGACGCCATTCCCAAGATGCTTGGGGAACACATCCTGGTGGTCAGCTGGGCCACAGACGGAAGAGGTAGATATAAAAACACCCCCCCCCAAAAAAAACCCCAATAACCCCCAACTTTTAAGTTCTTATTGCAGGTCACAAAGACTTCAAAGAGGCATTTCTACTGTTTAGGTGGAGGAAACGTGTGCACGAAAGCCAGCAAACCACAAACAAATTTGTGTGGGGAACAGGGGGCGCAGCCACCTGGGGGAGTAATCCAGTTGGCTGGATTTGGTCTCCACCTCTGGGGTAGAGAAAGAGAAATGACTTTTCTTTCTCGCTCTCAGTGGTGGAGCATTATGGGGACATCCCATGAAGCTGAATGATGAGATACTCAGGAGAGGGAGGGGGAATGTTTCCACACCGTGTGGGACTCACTACCAAGACGACTTGAACTGGGAATTAGATGTATTCGTGGAGCAGAAGGGGCGTTTATGAACTCACTGTTCACCTTGATTTGCTAAAAAGCCATCAAGGTGATCTATTTATTTATCTTATTGGACAATATGCATATATTGCTCTACACCAAGACAACCTCCAGATCAGTGAATAATACAAAATAAAACTAAACCTTATTTTTAGAAAGCTTTCTCTGTGCATACAGCCCCTTCAGGACATGCTCATGGAGTTGCGAAAGTTTTAGCAAATGCACATTTGTGCCTAAATCTCAGATCTTTCTGGTGCTTAGCAATACCCTTGGTATGTAAGAATGGAGCCCTTGTTGCATTTTAAACTCTGCAAAGAAAAGCCCTTAACTAAAGGGTCCATGTTGTGCATTATATTTGTGGGTGTCATCCTGAAAGTCCAACAAGGGAATGCAGCAAAGCAGTGTCTTGTCCAGAAATATATTCAGAGATCGAGCATTGGCCCCGTCTCATCGGCCAAGATATGTTAATCCCTGAAAAAAATAGCAGCCAGGCTTTCCTCAAACATAGATTTGCAATCATGAGTTCTAGAAACTTGCTGCTGCTGTTTTAAATGAAAGCTGAGATTCCCTCGGGAAGCCGCATTCTGTGCCAAATATTACTGTTCCAGGGTTACATTTGGGTGTTGAATGGCAGCTAAGAGCTTGAAGAGTCCCACCTTTCAGCTATTTTTAATCTGGAATGAACTACTGAAAAATATGCTGAGACTTGTGTTCTTCTTTTCCTCCTCTTCGTGAAATTCACCGAGTATTTCATAAATTAAAATGGAGCAAATGTGTGGCTTTGGGTCTCATCACCGTGCTGAGCCCTGCAAGAGAGGTACGGCTTGGCCTGCTCATCTTGATCTCTCTCGAAGTCACGTCCTTCAGGCCTGCCCCTCCCAAAATGTGACATGTTCTGCCTGAGAGGTCTCCCATGGCCGAGTCAAAGTCAGAAAATTTCTTTCTGCAGCAAAGAGCTGCCCTTCTGCATTCCAGCAAGACTAGATCGCCTTGGCTGAAAGGAACGTTGGCACGCACGGGACTCCGGAAGATGACCTCGGTGTATATATTTTCTAAAAAAGTTGGATCCAACAGACCCTGCATGCCTCTCTTCCCCACCCATCATCCTCAGCTGGAATAGCCAGTGGCAGAGAGAGCGAGAGGCAACAGCCAGAGGCCACAGCTACGAGCGTATTTTATTTTTAAAAACTCGTTGGAAGGAACTGAGCCTTAGAAGAGGAGAAAAATGGCACAGAATCATGGATGGTGGTTTGGGGGAGAGAGGCCCCTCTGGCAAACTAAGGCTGTGTTTCTTCCAAGGCCCTGAAGATCACCCCCCCCCCCCCCCCCCCCCCCCCCCCCCCCCCCGGTCCCGAAGGGTCTGCTGATGTTGTGCAGTGGTTAAGAATTTTGGACTTGCAGGGCTGAAGTTCCAGTTCCTTCTTGGCCACAGAACAATGTCGGTGGGTGGTCTTCACTCATGCATGATTTCCCAGCCTGACCTACCTCACTGGGTTGTTGTGTGGATAAAAAGGGGCGTAAAAATGCAATAAATGCATCTTTTATTTAAAACTTATTTTAATTGTTTATTGGTATTTATAGGATTTTAAATCTTTTAAGCCGAGATGCACCGAGTTTTAATATTTTTATTGTATAATTGTTACATTGGTATATTTTGTTTTTGTTGTGAGCCGCCCCGAGGCTTTGTTGCGATGGGGGCGGCATAAACATGTTTTAAATAAATAAATAATAAATATTGGAAGAACACTCCTGTATCCTAGAACAGGCATGACACCCCATTTGGAATGCCTGCTGATGCCCCCAAGAGGTTGCCAACTGACCAAAAATATCAGCCCTGATCCTGTGCTTTTAGACCATCTTCTTAAATCATCAGGCAAACTATTTCAAAACAAGATTAGCCTGCTAATGCCTGCATCTCCAGCCCCCTAAAGGCACAGCTCCAGAGATTGGTGGAAAAGTTGGCCACCCTGCTCCCGAAGACTATACTCGTCAGACTTAAAAAAAGAAGAGTTGAAAGTAATTCTCCAAAGGCCGTCTGTGGTCGGCCAAGTGCTTTCAGCTCCCTGGAAAGGACTGTCTGCTGGAGATAATGGAATGAGACGGATGAGAGCGAGATTTATACCGTGTGTGTACAGGGTGGGCCCATATCGAACTGTTAAGATTCCTCTCCAATCCTGCAACCTGAACCCTTTGGCAAGCTCAGTCCAATCAAGTTTGCTGCCTCATTCAGCTTTCTGCATCACACTAAACATCAAATGTTCCCTCCCCAGCTTTGCTTGCAGTCCATTCTGCTGAAAAGCTCTAGAATTTGCTCACCAATTTGTGGCTTTTCTTAAGGAAGACATGGCCAAAATGCTTAAATTTACACATTTCTCTGCTTTTGACTGCAGATTGTCTGAACAACACACTCCAATTTGTAGTAGAGTAGGCACTTCAGAAGTTTGGGACTCCTTTAAATTGCCCAGAAAGCTTTGGATACTGGATGGTATAAGAAATGGAATAATAACTACTGAAATAAAATTATCCCCACTATTATTTTGGGCAGCCTTGAATTAGCAGCTGTTAGTCCCCACCCTTTTGCAATATGGGGACAATCCATACTGATCTACCCTGTAGGTGTGTTGTAAGAATCCTACAAAGTGCTTGAAACCATCCTGAGCGCTTAACCTTGAGAAAATGCTGGCTTCCGTTTTATTTTTTATTTATTAAAACATTTCTATGCCGCCCCTTGCCGAAGCCGCAGCCTTAACGTATTTAACCCTGCTTTTTTTTTTTCCTTCCAAGGAACTGAAGGCAGTTTTTGTAATTCCCCCTCCTCGCAATCTCATTCTCACCACGACGACCCTGTGAGGTAGGTTAGGCGGAAGGCCTGAGCGAGCTCCATGGGGCTGAGTGGCGACTGGAACCCGGATCCCCCAAGTCGCGGTCCCGCACTCTTAACCACTACACCATACTGTCATCTAGAGGCCGAAGCGGAGAGAGCAGGCCTCCAATCCCAGTCGTCCCAATAGTACTTTGCAAAAGGGGTGCAGAAAAATACTGGCATGCCCCCCCCCGCCCTCTGGGGGCCAGACGGCTGTGGGCACTGCCACCCCCTCGGGGGCCGTCCACGCATCCACTCCCACACTGAGGGGGGCACAGAGCGTTACGGCCCCCTCGACGGGGCGGAAGGGGCTGGGCGCGCTGCGAAGGCACCGGCGAGATGCGCCACCGCGTGACCCGCCTGCGCACGTGCCTCGGCCCCCGCGGCTCACAGGTGCCCTCGGCCGGGAAGGGAGCCGAGCCGGCCACCCGTGCGAGGCGCCAGGGTGGGGGGGTCGCCTTAATGACTCCCACGTGCTCTTAATTACTTCGGGGCGTAAGGTCAGGGGCAGAGGGCAGCTCGGGGCTGCCAATCCGCTAGAAGCAGCCCCCCCGCCCCCCCCGAGGGGCTCGCTCCGGCGGGCCGCCACCCCCCAGGCTCTGTTCCGCCGAGCGCCGCGCGCTGCCGTCGAAGGCACCGGAGCGGGCGTGGCGGAGAGAAGTTGGCAACCCGGCCACCACCCTGACCCGGGCGCCCAATTCCCGAGAAAACCGAGGAGGAGGAACGCGACTCGAGGGCCGTCCTGGCGACGCGCGCTCTGCGTATGCTCAGAAACGGCGCGTCCGCCGATGCAAACGAGCCCCGTCGTCGGAGCAGGGGGCGGAGGCCGGGAGGCAGGCAGGCAGGCCGGGCGAGGCGGGCTCCAAAGGCGGAGCCTGCGCCGAGCGGGGCGCGCCCGGCCCTCTCTCCTCCCTCCCCCAGCCCGGGATGAGCCAGGCGCCGCCGCCGCCGCCCGCGAGGCCCCCGCCGGAGCCAGAGACGCGAGGCAGCCGGAGAGGGAGCGAGGCCGCCGGCGCCCCCCCGCCGCTTTGTTCCCTTTTCTGCAGCTTCTGCTTTGCGCCCTCGCTTTGCGCGCGCCTTTCACTTTCCCCGCCGCGCTTGCTCTCGCCACGCACTGCCAGGACGCGCCTCCCCGCGCCGACTCTTTCCAGCCCGCGTTGCCTCCCTCTCTGCAACCCCCTTGCCAGCCCCCTGTCCCCGCTCCCTCCCAGCCTGCTTTCTTTCCCAACAGCCTTTCGAAAAACGTCCCGTTCCGTCCACCTCTCCAACATCCTTCGACGCCTCCCTCGGCCCCGCTTTGCGCCCCTGGTTCCCTCCTGCTCCTCCAACACCCTCGCGCGCTCCCGCTCTCCTGCCCCGCTTCCTCCGACGAGCCTGAGTTCCCATCCCCTCGCCGAACTTCGCCCCCCTCCCCCGGCCTGCGCCATGCCGCTCGGCGCTGCGCCCCAGACGGAGGTCTTCCCCTGGGAGCGGGTCGTCGTCCTGGCCTCCTGCGCCCTCTCCTTCCTGGGCTGCTGCCTCCTGGTGGGCACACACGCCCTGTGGCCCGAGCTCCGCACCCGGCCACGCCAGCTGCTGCTCTGCCTCTCCCTGGCCGACCTCCTCTCGGCCGCCTCCTACTTCTACGGGGTGCTGATGGATTTTGGGGCGTCGTCCTGGGACTGCGTGGCGCAGGGCGCCGTCTCCACCTTCTCCAACACCAGCTCCTTCTTCTGGACCATGGCGATCGCGCTCTTCCTGTACATCACCATCGTCCGCGGCTTGCCCACCGGCACGGGGCTCCTCAGTCTCTTCCATGTGGTGAGGTTTGTGGCTCCAATCTGTGCATTATGGCCCAGGGCCCGGACAGCAAATGCTTGACGGCTTCCCTAGACTGGCCTCCAGATGCCTGGGCCGGCCGTGTGGGCTTGGGCTGGAGGGTGTGTGTTGTTATTAGCGCGTTGCATTTGTAACCCGCTCGTCTCCCTCTTGCAACAAACACACAGTCGCTTAGGAGGCCAAAACATCTGTGGGACGCCAAGTTGGGGAAGTGTTGAACTGCGTTGTATGCTGCTTGGAACAGGGACCTCTTTTCTGTGTGTCCGATCCCCCTCCTCAAAATCTTTGCTGTTTCCAGAGCCCCCTTGCACCAACACAGGTTCTTCATCCCTGCCCTTAAAGTTCCCAGCCCTGTGCTTTTGTCCTTTTGGCTCATTTTCATCTGGTCTTTGCACCCTGCACTAAAAGCCCCAGGGTGGTATTACCTCACGCCCTCCCATGAAACGTAGATTGTAGGCTCCTAGGGGCAGAGCTAGATAAGAATGTGAATGATCATGGGACCAAACACAAGGACACTTGGAAAGGACCGCCAGGGAACTAACGCTGAAATAATCTTCTAGTTGTTGTTTTTTGTTTTGCTCACAGTCGGCCCATTTTCCCAGAAAAAGGTTTTATTGTGTCAGGCACAGTGGCCCGGTCACACGCTGGTCTTTGGTGCTCTCGCCTGCCAAGTTTTTGAAAGGAATTATGTGGGAAATGATCTAGTTAAGGCAAAAGAAACTTGCAGATTTTCTAACGTGCTTCTTGTTGTTTGATGCAATCTTTAAAAGAAGCAGTGGAGAGAAGGACCGTGCTCCCCAGAGTTTAGGGGCAGGGGTTCCTAGATAGACTCTGGAATGGGGTCCTCTTTTGCTTAGGCTGCTTTTGCTACCCATTTTACAGATGGGAAAATAGGAGTCATTGCCTTGGCTGTAACTCCTATGTGTAGAAATGTTATGTAAAGGGGGGTGGGATTTTTTAGTTTGAGGAAGAGAACGGATGTGAGAGAGGATATGATTGAGATGCATGAACATAACCTGGTCTGAAGAAACCCAGGGGTGAAGCGAAGTGATTGGAAATTCAGGACAGATAAATGAAAATACTGCTTTGCACAGGGCAGAATTAAACTATGTAACTCACTGCCACAAGATGGAACAATGTCTGCCAACACAGGTGGCTTCAAGCTCACAGAGATTAAGCTATCCATAACCATTAGTTACAATGGCTGTATGTTCTCACCAAGAATACACTGACTTTTCTGACTCTGCAGAAGCTTTGTGGGGGGGGGGTTCCTCACCCATCCAGATATTCGACTGGGTCCTTTTTTCTGTCCAAACATGTCTGAAATGGTGTGTGTGTAATTTTGCTTTCCTGGTCCATGTGAAAGCCTCCAAGGCAGAGTGGAGTGCATTAAGGCATCCTGAGCAATTAAGGATGCCTTAATTAAGTGCTGTGCAAAAAAGAGAATGAGCTGAGCTCGCTAGTCCACCTGTGAGCTTTCAGGGCAGCTAGCTGCCTAAGATTGGAGACAGAAAACTGGTCTGAGTGGTCCTAGCCAGGTTTGCTTTCTGATCTCCAGCTCACATCTGCTTGTACCCATGGCCCTGCCAGCTGGGGCTGATGGGAGCTGAACCCTTGTCCTTTTGAGTGGCCTTTTTCTTGGTAGGAAGGTGGGCTATACATTAAATAAATGAAGGTCCCCAGTTCCCCCGTCCCCATCTCCATTCCAGGTTGCTCTGATATTGTCTCCCTCCTCCCCAGTTTTCTGCCTTTGCACCCTTCGGCATTCTTTTGACCCCCCCCCCCCCCGAGCTCTTGTGGGGTAATTTTCACCCTCTGCTTCTGGAACCCAAGAGGAAAAACTGCTCTTTGTTTCTCCCAGCACAGGTCTGACCTCTGTCCATGCGCCCGTCTGGTTTCTCCGCCCTCCCTCTTTTGCATTCTTTGACTTTTGCTTTGTGATTGTGGGTGTCATGAGAACCAGAGTCGGGAGTGGCTCCAGATTAGCAAATTGAACAGCTCAGTGTGTGTGCGTAGGTCGGTTTCTTTTCCTGTTTTTCAGGGTTGAAGGTGCTCTTCTCTCCTTCTTCCAGCCTGCTATGCACAGTTCTCCCTTCCACCTCCTACTTTCCCTTTCACCTTACTCTAGAAATGTTGCAAAATGAGTTGAGCCAAAGGGAAACTTACCCATCCGTCTCACATCGTCCCTTATTATGCTGATACACTGCCAAAACTTTTTGGCCAGCTGGCCAAGAGAAAACCCCTAAAGCACTGTATAATGATCTCATAGAAAACCATTTGCAAATGATGGCCAAATAGTCACAGCACGAGTATCTTTTTTTAAAAAAATAAAGGAGAAGAAAAGAGAGAACAAAGCTCAATTTCGAATACAAAAATGATAATTGCGAACTGGGAAGTGGAAATGAGGCGGCTCGCAGCTGGTTGTTGTAATGCTCTCTTGGAAGGTGAGCAGAAAAGTCACGCTTAAAAATAGGCCACAGACAGAGCTGCTCTTGTCACGCTGTGGTGCGAGAGGCCAACTTCTGTGCGCCAGTTGCTGGAACTCCTCAAAGCCACCGAGCGCGGACTGAGCACCCTGTGGCTTGCAGAGACGTGGACTGAAAGACTATACGGCCGGTCAATTGCAAAGCAGTATGAACATCTTTGCTTGTGATCCATACGTATTTATAGAATTGCAGCAGTATTTCACGGATCAGCCCACTCAGGGCAGCCGCTTGCTCTTTCTGAATGGCGTTTAGACCTCCCTGATGTAGCGTCTGGGTAGGTTTGGCTTGGCGTTGCTTTGGCGACTCGGAGTTGTTCTGGATTGACACATGTCTAGCTCACAGATATCAAGCAGGTTTTCCAGCCTGCTGAACTGGTTCCAAACAGGGCGTGCTGGGAAATTCTGAGCTGAGGAAGGGATTTGGCTTTCCAGAGTTCATGAAGATCATCCCTGCAAAGAGAACCCACAGAGCTTTTTGAGAGAAGCAATTCCTTTTCGTTTTAAAATCTTTTCCTCGAAGAGCAGATGCAAGCAGTGAGTGCCAACAGAAATGGAGCCAAAACAGGGCGGCTGAGAACCAGGAAGGTAGTCTCCGTATGTTGGGGAAATCTCCAAGATGCTTAGAATACATACATCTTTTCTTTTTAAACAAACGCGGCCAAACAAACAACCCCAATTCCAAACTAACTGAATGAGCATTGCAGCTGTGCATAGTCGGGGAAAATTGGGTATCACGTGGAAAATAGAAACAGCATGGGGTGGAAATTGAAGGGCTGGGGGTGACTTGAAAAAAGCTTGTTAAAGGTGAAGATAAACTCCAGTATTTTCCACTGGGGCCGTACTTCCAGCCAGCTTGGCTATGAAGCTGTTGGTCTTCCAAGGCTGCGGCTTTGGATGCTCTTGACCTGTTTGGACCCCTCAGGTTCTTAAACTCACTTAGGCGGGTCCTTTGTGTTGGTGGCATCGAGCAAAGTCACGGTGGCTTTGCATGCCTCGGGACTGAGCACCTCTGTGTTGGGCAGGCTGGATCCAGGGCCAGCTGGCTCAGATGTGGTTCCTGAAGTCCGTGTTTGTGTCTCGAGGCTGGGGGGTGTCACATTGCTCTTTTCAGCAACAGCACAAACAAGCTTGCCCTCTCGTAACCCCTTGTCTACCTCTGAAAATAATCAGGATGACAGAAAAGGGAAGTGGAGGCCGGAAAACTTGCAGATTTTTAGGGTTGTCCCCTGAGCTGCGGAAGCCGTGGGACCAGATGGGAATGGCTTCCTTCTTCCTCTCCATCTGGAATGAGCCTCTCCGATGCCTGGCCGGTTCCTTGGGGATCTTCCGCACGCAGTTCCAAGGGTGGAGGTGTGTTGCTGGGTGCTTACAAGATTCGGGGCACAGGTCCTGAGAGGACAAGCCTGTATGCAAAGTGCGTGTGCTCATATTTATGTACAGATGCAAATCTGGGGTGTCCTCTGCTGAACAGCTCCAAGCAGAAGTTAGATTTCTTGCTGCCAGGGCTTGCGGGAATCTACAGGGTGCAAACGGGATTTTCCGTGTCGCCTACCCACCCTGTGGGTCATCACTTGCCAGAGACTGCTTTTGTGTGTGTGTGTGTGTGTGTGTGTGTGTGTGTGTGTGTTAAGCGCGAACCCTTGTCCCGCGTCTGAGGTTTCTTCCTCCTGCTCGCCCTTCCCAGCTTGTGCATACACACAAGGGGGCGGACGGCTGTCCCGTCGCTGCCGTTTTCGCCTGCATTGTGGTCCACAAAGTGGGAGCGGTTTCCAGATGCACTAGAAGAATAAGAAGCGGTCTCACTCCAGTCTGCCCCAGCTTAGTGGCTTCCTGATGCTGGGGACTGCAACTCCCAGCATTCTTGACCAAAGGCCATGCTGGGTGATGGAGTCTTCCCCCCCATCTTATCCCCAGAACAACGACCCTGTGAGGTAGGTTGGGCTGAGGGTCTGTGGCTGGCCCAGTGCCTTGACTCCTTTGTGACTGACCCTCCACATCCATCACGGACATTTCACGAGAACATCTGCAGAGCTCTCTCAAAAGCCGAAATGGACCTGCCATCGCAAATAGGGGCAGCTGGTGGGCCGCAGCGGTGTACCAGGGTCTTGCACAGAGGTCTTTTCCTGCCCCGGGCAGCCCATTCAACCAGGCGGCGTGGGAACGGGGCTTCCCAGCGCTTCTGCAGGCGGATGCTCGTTGGCGGCTTTTGCAGCCGGTCGTCAGTCTCCCCATGACGAACTGCGTGGCGCAAGGATGGAACGCCCAGCGGGACGATGCCGGTTCAGCCCCTCTCCCTCCACGGATGGGAGCCCCCTCCCCTAACCCCCCGTCTCCCTGCTCTCTCCCCAGCTGGGGGATTCCGCTCAGCATCACGGCAGCTGCCGTTGCCCTAAAGAAAATAGGCTACGATGCCTCGGACATCTCTGTCGGCTGGTGCTGGGTCAACATTGACGCTGAGGACCGGGTGCTTTGGATGCTGCTCACGGGGAAGTTGTGGGAGATCCTGGCCTACCTGACCTTGCCTGTCTTCTACATCCTCATAAGGAAGCACATCAGCCGAGCGGTAGGTATTCCGCGTGGCTGCCTTTGCCCACTGCTTGAGCACAGCTTGTTGCCTGGTCCCCTGGGGCGAGTGCGCAGTCCCTCCGGGTGAGCAGGCACAGAAATGTTTCCACATCAGAAGGTGCATGACTCTACCCTGTTTTTCCTCAGCCTGGAGTCTCCTTGTGGGGGAAAAGGTGGTTGTCAATAGAATAAGCACGTGTATGAAATCGAACAATTAAGAACTGTTAATAGATAACGGTTTCCAGCTCACAATATGCTCCAGTTTGGTCGTGAATGTTGGATCCATGTTCCTATTTTGGCTGTTTTCCACCCCGCACAAGAGCAGCTGTTGGCTTCACAGCCTGGAAACGGGATCCTCGCACGAGCGACTGTGCCAAGACATGCCTTTTGCTTTTGAAGGCCTCGGCTTGTTGCCTCTGACCTGGCTTTCAAACTCTAGGCAAAAAGAACAGAGGCCAAGTAAATACAGCTGGGGTGCTGTTTGGTTGCGGTTGTGAATATATTCTTCTTCTTGCATTTATATTCTACCTTTTTTCCACTCACATCCAAGGCAGTTTTAGTAATCCTTTCCATTCTGTCCTCACAACAACCCTGTGAGGTAGACTAGGCTGAGCATCAGTAACTGGCCCAGAGTCACCCAGGCAGCCTCCCGGGCCAACCCTCAACACCACACTGGCCACAAACTCATGAGCAGTGTTAAGACGGCAGTCCAGTGCACAGTTTCTTGAGCGTAAACCTGCTGCATTCAATGGGGTTTCCTTCTGAGCTGCAGGATAGTGGATCAGTGTTTGCCACATGGTCTGAGCTCAGTCATGCTAACATGGTTTATTAACCACAAACAACCCATTTGAATGACCCACGGCTTGCGGTTGGGTTGTGAGCTGGGCTTCCCTAACCCTGGTTTGCTTGCGCGGCTGAGTTCAGACAACGCGACGGTCCACGTCCCAAGAACAGCCCCTGGTTCAGAGACAACCCACACCCAATCCATGCTCAACCCTTGATACACCTTATTGGAACCTCACCACGGCACAAGAAGCAAGCCACGCATTAACGCAATACGTGCTTTGGCGGCCGGCGTGAGATGCCTTTGGCGGCTCGGAAGCTTTTCCGCTGAGCTCTTTGTTCCTCTCCCAGCATGCCGCACTCTCGGAGTACCGTCCCCTCTTGCTGAGGGGCCCAGCTTTGCAGCCGAGAACGTCTGTTGCGGATAAGAAGTTGATTCTGATCCCGGTAATATTCATCTGTCTCCGCATCTGGAGCACCGTCCGGTTCGTGCTGACGCTCTGTGGCTCCCCAGCCGTTCAGAACCCGCTGCTGGTGGTCCTACACGTGAGTCTCAAGTTACAGGCTGGGCAGTGGGACTTGGAGGGCTAGGAAAGGGCTCGTTCCCTCCGAGAGGCTCCCCCAAACCTTCTGATGTAGCAGGAGAGGTCTTAGACCAGGCTGCTGAAATCTACGCCTGAGACCAACCTGCCCTTCTGGCATCCCAAATAGCCGCACACCCAACCCCAGAGCCCTCCTTGCCCCAACCTGGCACTGCCCCCCATCTTAAAAGGTTGATGTTATAGACATTATGTGCTGTAAAGCAGAATGGGCTGGTATTGTTGGTCCTTTTCCTTCCACTCTGCCCGTTTTGCGTTTGGCCCTGTGTTTCAGCATCTCTGAAACGGAATGCGGCCCTCAGGCTGAGCAACCCTGAATTGAAACTGAGAAAATTGATTTACAGCTAAACTCCAAGAGCTTAGCCAGAGAGAGACCCTTCCCACCACCTCCCGCTTGGTCCTTCTCAGGGCGGACGCCAGGGATTAACCCTGGTTTGGCCGGGGCTGATGGCCCTGAGGTCAGTGGGGCAGTGTATCCACTCCAGATTTCAGCCAACTTTCAAGGAACTGCCCATGGTGCTTTGGGGAGGGCAGCCTTGTCAGCACAGGACAGGGAGCACCTTCCAGGCTCAGACTAAGACCTGTTGTGGATGCCACCACCCCACTGACTTAGGGCCACTGCGTCTAATTTTGTTTCTGAAGACTTCTTAACGTTTTAAAGAAATGACCGAGCAGCTCCCCTCCTGCCAGGCAGCCTGCCACCCCATGGCGCTCTCTTTCTTCGGGATTTCGGCAGAGCGCCCACAACATCCTCCCCACGTTCCAAACGCGCCTCCCAGACTCCAGGCTGAGACTTAGGCAACAGCCGAAAGCGTTCCCCCCAAACAGGGGGCAGAGCCCTGGAAGTGTCACCAGCATTCCCAGCCGGTCCTGCTCCAACTCGGAACCTGCTGTTTGCGTCGGATGGCGAAGAGACGCTTTCTGAAATGCCCCCCTCCTCCTTCCCGTCCTTCAGGGCATCGGGAACACGTTCCAAGGAGGCGCCAATTGCATCTTGTTCGTTCTGTGCACGCGGGTGGTCCGGGAGAAGCTGCTCTCCTCCGTGTGTTGCTGGCACCGCAGCCACCCTGACCGTTCCCCGCCGAGCCCGGAGTCACACTCCCAAGCTCGGGAGCCGTCATCCCTCAAGGACTGGGAAGTGCGTGAGAGCGTGAGAGCCGAGTTTTCAAGCACCTGACATCCGAAGAGCCCGCTTTTCAGAGAAGGACCTGGCCTTACCCAGTAAGGATTTCAGCGGTGAGTGTCTTCATCCCCACCTGTAGATTCTGCCTCTGGCCAGCGTTGCAGAGGTTGGTGTGAGGTTTGTCAACTGGCGCTCGCCTCTGGAGAGTCAAATTTGCTGCCAGGCGACCAGACATGGTCTGAGAGCAGTTGGAAGCAGGTGCCACCCAACTCGATTTCGGGAGACAGATGGCCCGTAAATGACTTCCATGAATCTTTGACTGCAAATCAGCTAGTCAGACATTTTCTGGCTTAATATCTTCGGTAGACTTATTTGTAAGGGGAATGCAGGTCACAGGGGCTAGGAAATTTGCAGGAACTTTGGGCTCAAATCTCTCTTTAGCTAGCTTTGAAGCAGGGACGGAGGCTTAGAACGGGCAAAATTAGCTCGTTTATCTCTGCCCCCCTGATGTGGGGATTGTGGCAGAGGAAGTACAGCTGGGGAGAGAGAGGGGCCTCAAGAACAAGAGGGAAAGTAGCCCCTGGCCTACCCAAATTTTTGTAGCTGCCCTCCTGCCACTGCCCCATGGCGGAGGAGAAGCAGTAAGAGAAAAAGGATCAGACTGATGGAACATCAAGGCCCATTCTAACTGAACTGTCCCAACACCCCACAGGGGTTAAAAGGCAAGGCAGGGCCATTCCGCCACCCCCTTTGACAGTCTTTTTTTCCTTTCCCCTCCCCATCTCTCTTTCCTTGTGTGCTGTGTCTTTTTAAAATGTAAGATCACAGCCTGTTTTTCACTGATGGCTGGTTTATAAATAAATGAAACGGCAAATTAAAATGCTTCAGTTGCTCACTCCTGACCTAGACCTTGTCCTTGGATTGGGCCTGTTGCAACCCCCGTGCCCAGAAAAACTGTCCTGTGTGATCCAGAGGCTTTGACGCATAGCATTGGAACACATCAATGTTTATTTTAAGGGTTTCAATCAAATCAAATTATTCTCAGGCTGGCATAAAGTATATTATAACAATATGCCTGCATACAAGGTCTCATTGGCTTTCTCTTGTGTTTTTGTTTTGTTTTTTCTTCAGTCAGGGAACAGAAACATAACGAAGCAGCTGCAGAGGGAACTTCTGCCTTGAGGAAGGCAGGCAGCAAGTGTTCATTTGGATCCGTCGTGGGCAAAGGATAATAGTGCCCCTGTGACAGAGCTCTTGGGAATGCCGTCCCTTTTCCAGCTTTCTCATTTCGCAGGGTTTTGGGAAGATGCTGAAACTGACTCTTTCTAGCTTTCCGTTTTATGAGCTGTCCAGGAATGGAACACTGTTTGTTTTTTAGAAACTTGCAGGACGCTTAAATCCTTAGAAAGGACATTTTGCAGGACTGGGTGAGAAGGAAGAAGTGTGGAGTTTTAAGTTCCTGTAAAGCATTTCATGATTTTAAGAGAGCTTTTTTACTTGAGGTGGCTGAGATGGAGGAGACAAGAATTCTTCATGTTAGGAATCTGATCTTGTTGCAGAAATTCTCAGTCTTTGGGTGTTTGAATATAACAGGAGCGTTGTAGAAATTCACAATCTTTGTGTGTATGAATGTAACAGCAGTGCAACAGAGACTGAAGTAGCATTCTTGGCTGTGATGACACTGTCCTTGCGTGAGAAGTCGGACATGCACTGAGAATTCGTGGGTATCTAAGTTTGTGCGTAAGCGTCTGCTGTGGAATCCAGGCGGGATCGGTGTGGGAATGGGGATCGGTGTGGGGATGCGTCGGGAGGACAAATGATAAAGAGTTTGCTCTTAAAGGTATAAACATGTTTGGTGGTGAGTGGGAATGCTGGTCTCCTGGAGGGCAGGAATTCTTCGCCCTTGTTTGTGTGCCCGCTTCAATAAAGAGCTTTTCTGGTAGACCTCACGTCTGGTGGGTATTTTGTCTCTTGAAGTTGACAAAGTTGACTTCTCTTGAAGTCTCTTGACGACTGAACCTGGCTGGTGGGGTTAAAGTCCTCGAGGCAGGGACACCAAAATCCCCTGCCACCCCCACCGGACGCCCACTGGTCTTTGTGGCGGGTGGTGTGGAGTGGGGTGCCGGCCATCTGGTTGAAATGCAGAGTTTGAGAGTCGTTTAATCACAGATAGTATGAAGAGTATCACAAAAGACCTGCTCTTGGGGGAGAGGGGAACAGCTGGAGCGGGTTTGTGGATGCGGATTGAGGCCGCTGCGGGCATTTGGGGGGGTGGGGTCTCTTTGCAGGCCTGTTTTGAGGACTGGCTTCATCTCAGAACGGCGTTTCCATGAGTCCCAACTGCCAACCGTTCGCTAGAATCTTCCAACCTGGATTCCCTGATTGGTTCACACAACACGGGGGGCCTTCCGCGGCTTCCTTTCAAGGGAAGTCGGGCCGGGCTGATCTGTCGTTTTGCTGGTCTGGGAAGCGACGTAGGTTTGGGGGCCCCTTCCTCGCCCCCGTTGAGCCACTGGGACAGCTTTAGACAAGCCATTCTTCTGGAGTGCAGCAGGGGTGCGATCCCTGAATAAAAGGCCTGCAACTCCCATCATCCCCCAAAGTGAGCTAGGGCTGGTTGAGAGGGCGGTCTGGCCACATCTGGAAGTCCACAAGGATCCTGCCCCACCTTCCTGCATTCAGGCAGTGGGGTAGCGTTTTCCTGAATAAAAGCGTGTCCAGGTTATCCTGGGGAGGCCCTTGGGGGTCCCACCACCTTCACAAGGACAGGGCCTTCTTGGTGGCTGCCCCAAGGGAGCCACCAAGAAGGAAAGCTAGTTGGTGCCCTGCCCTTTTCGTTCCAGCAGGCACTTGGACTGGCTGGGGCTGTGAGTTTGCACTGGGCTATTTTTGCGCTCTCTCTGGTTTGTAGTGTCTTTAATCTGGGTATTTCGTATAATGTCACAGTGGAACTGATTTAATTAATGTCTGTATCTTTTTGAATGTTTTAATAGTGTAGGTTTTTGATGTGAGCTGGCTTGAGTCCCAGTCACTGTGGCCTGGGGCAGTGGAGGGTGAGGGAGATCCTTCCCCGCCTTTCTGCTGTGGGACTGCTCCCCTGCAAGGAAAGGCGTGGGCAGAGCCCCGCTTATGGGGTGCCCCGAAGGTGCCTGCATGCGCAGCCTCACTCGCTTGGGCAGGCACAGCGGAACCAGCTCGGGCAGCTGGAAGCTGCTCTGTGTCGAACGACGGGCCGTTCCAGCCCCGCCGAGCGAGGTCCATGCATGCGAGCCACGGAGCTTGTAATGCATCCCAAGTTCAGAGCACTCTCTACCTTGCCAGGTGCGCCAGCCTCAGGGATGCTGGGGGGCTGCTGGTGCCGAGGGTGGGCACGGCTGAGCCCCTGCCAAGGGCCCGCAAAATCGGCCTTCCGGCTCCCCAGCTCCCTCTTACAGGCATGGGACGCTGGGCCAGGTGAGCCGCTGGCCATCCCTGAGTCCTGCAGGGGGTCAAAAGAGCCGCATCACACGGTCCCACGTCATCTCTCCTTCGCAGCTGAGTGGGATTTCTACGTCCTCTCGAAGGAAGCATGAGAAGAGAAGACGAAGAGCAGGTCCCTCTCAGGAAAGGGGTGAGTTTGCAGGCTTCTGGGCTGCTCTCAGTGCCGGTGGGGAATTTGCATAGGCCCTCGGACAGGGCTCCCACCTGGCCCCCTTTCTCAGTCAGCCACCACTCCGTTTCCTTCCTCCTCCACCGGGACCTTGACAGGCAGAGGATGCAAGGACTGGAGGAGGGGTGAGTCCGGCGCCACAGCTGGGGGGTGGGCAAGTCCCCGAGCATCCCCCCCCCACACCCCAGAACTTCCCGCCAGACAGCTCCTAGCACCACCGACCAATTTCTCTGGGCAGCAATCCCCCCTCTGTTTGTCTTTAGTGGATTTTTGTGTTATTTGTTCTTCAAAAAGCAGGAGAAAGAAAGACCCTTGAATTTGGGGGGAGAATTTACACTGGGGCAGAAAGAGGAGAGAAAATCCTGGAAATTTGCAGGATTGAAAAGCCAAGGGAAGATACGGGAAGGGGGAATCCATGACAACCCATTCCAAACACGGGAGGAATTCTTTTGAAGTCATCTTGGCTTGGGGTCAGAATCTAGCGAGCATTTCTAAACGCTGCATCCTGCATTCCTGGGTGATGACATCCACCGCTTTTTCCTGTAGAAGCTGACACGGGCTCTTCTCCTGGCCACATTGATTTCCGCCTTTGGATCATCTTTCCAATATGGTTATAACCTCTCCGTGATCGACTCCCCGGCGAAGGTAAGGAAGATCTCGGACGTGGCTGACAACTTACAGAGAGACGCAGTGGGCTGTCCAGATGTATATTGTGAGCCGCCCAGAGGCTTCGGCGAATGGGGCGGCATATCAATGTCTTAATCAATAAATAAATGTGTGGAACAAAAACTCCCAGAATCCCCCAGCTGGCTCCACACATGTGGACAACTCCACCTTCCAGAAGTTTGCGTCGATGTATATATTCCAGCCATCCCTGTGTATTAGGATACCCGGCCTTTCGGAACTTGTCCGTGAATCTGCTCTTATGGAAGTTACAAGCATCATTCATTTGATGGCACCCTTAACCCGTGGCTTGTTTGCAAGGACGGGTTCGGATGTGTTGATGGTTCAGAGTTCGAGAATCCACACCGTGACTTGGCAGGATGTGCAAATGGGGCCTAAAACTCTCGAATCGCGGTAAAGCAAGAGGTATTTCCTAGGCAATGGAGTACCAGTGCCCGGTTTTTGAGGGCTCTTGGGAGTCAAGTGTCCCATTCCTATTGCCACCGGTGGCTCTTAGTCCACTATCAGACCCCTGGGTTAGTTGGCCGGGCCCTCCTCCTTGTCTGGGCCTGAGAGAGAGGCAGGTAAGCAAATGGCTCCAAGGTGAGGAGGAGGAGGAGGAGCTAGTGCAGGTGCTGGTCAACCCGCCCCTTGGTGCTGGCCTGGTCGAGAGGCACGGCCTTCCACTGGGCACGCGAATTGGGCAGGTGGGACCAGCGGCCCCCCTTGGCAGGGTGCCTGCCACCAGGTGGGCAGACAATGCCGACAGAGTGTGTTTCTCTCTCCTAGTTCATGAAAAAGTTTTACAGGGAGCTCTACCAAGAGCGGAACACGATCAACATCGACCAGAGCTTGCTCATGTTTCAGTGGGGCCTCACCGTGTTGTTCTTCCCACTCGGGGGCATTCTGGGGTCTCTCTTGGTTGGCCCGCTGGTGGACGGTTCTGGCAGGTAGGGAGACCATCTGGCGCAGGCGCGATCGTCTTCTCTCCTGCCTGATCGCAGGGGGTGCATTTGCAGCCGTGGCAGAGCCGCTCAGGAAAAGGAAGCGGGGTCCAAAACTGACAAAGCCCACTTGTTGTGACTTAAAATCCCTATTGCTGGTATCAAAGTTTTAGGAGAGCAATTTCAGACTTTCAGAGGGGAGGGGAGCATGCACGGAAACCTGGAAATAGCCCAACAGGTGGTGATTGGGGAGAAAAAGTCAGCGGAGGAAGCAGTCTGCGTTGCTTGGTTGCTTGGCCTTTCCAAGAAGCAGCAAAACCAGAATGATCTTTCCAATCTAAAGGCTTCTCTATATATGAGGCTTTTTTCGGGCTCTTGCAGTTCCTCCCTCTCAGCCATTTGAGGTTGCGTCCCACAATGTCGTCATCCCCCAAGGCTTTCCCTCATTGCTTTGCAGCCATTTCTGCAAGTTTCTTGGGGTTTTTTTATCTTTGGTTGGTGGGAAGTCTCACATTCTCTGGACATCCCCCTGTGAAAAGCACGCCTATTTTCACAATTCTGCCATCCACCTGCGCCACCTAGTGGTTGTGTAAAGGAGCACACAGCAAGGTAAAAAGCAAAACCCAGGGTGGGGGGCACGTGTAAAGGAGGCGACCTGAATCCTGCAACGAATCTTGTGGCAGAGGCCTCGATAAAGTGGCGGTTTCAAAGCCTCGTCCAGCCCTAATGCCACTTCACACCCTCCTTCTCTCTCCGTGGCTGCTCAGCGCACAGGCACTTCGGCTTCCGTTTTTGCTGGTCGGTCGGTTTGTCTTTTCAGGAAAGGAACCTTGCTGGCAAGCAGCGTCATGGTCATCGTCTCTGCAGTGCTCATGGGCTGTTCCAAAGCTATTCATTCCCACGAGTTCATCATCCTCGGCCGCCTGATCGTTGGAACTTGCGCGGGTGAGGCGTGGCCCAAGCTGTTTGCTTCCCCCGGTGTGGGATTCCTGAGCCACGACTGCAGCCGCTGAGAAATTCCTCTGAGGGACGCTTGGTGAATGACCACAAGGGAGACGGCCTTCTTGGGAGTGGCCCCTCCAACTGCAGAATGTGCCCCCCAGTGAAGCCCACCGGGTGCCGGTGTATTTTTGGATAGGCCTTGCTTCTATTTCCAGGTGTTTAACCACAATGGGTGGGGAGTTTTCATTTTGTTTAAATTAGCTCTTGGTTGATTTATAGCTCATTCTTTTCAAATTGTTTCAAAACAGCCCCGAATTCTGGAACGTGGAGGGTTTCGTGGTCCTGTGAACCACTCTGGCAGCTTTGTCTGTTGGATGGGGTAGAACTGCGATATATGAACGAAACAAATTCAGTGCTTTAAGCAGCCAGGAGCCGGGGTGAAATGTCACGAGCCTCGTTTTGCGTGTGTTTACCACGTCACGGGGGCTTGAGCTGGGTTTTTCTCGGCACACGGAAAAGGGAATTTTCGCTGGTGGTTTCCCCTCCCAAATCCCCACCAAAAAATCCCACTTCTGAAAACCCTTCACAGTCTTTAGCCCAGCCTCCCTCGCAGGGGAGGTGCTGTGAGGGTCAGATCGCAAGGGGAATTGTTTGAGCCTCTTTGAGCTTCTGGGAAGGAGAAAAAGAAACCATTAAAATGAATCAGATCAGCACTGATGGGCACTTGGGACTTTGGGAAGGGGATTCCAGGCGTACCGTAGCAACACTCCTGGCTTGCGAGTTTCCGCACACCCCGTGTGAGTGGTCCTCTTTCCCCTGCCGCCTCCCCAGGCATCTCCTTCAGCGTCGTGCCCATGTACCTCACCGAGATGGCCCCCAGGAACCTGCGAGGCACCGTTGGCAGCGTGCCCTACATCTTCACCGTCTGCGGCAGCCTGGTGGCCCACCTTCTCAGCCTCCCCAAACTCCTTGGCACCGAAGAAGGTAAGGTAATAAAGGGGCACGTGCCCTGAACTGAGCAGAGCAGGTGGCTCATGACCAGGAACGGTGCTAAGAGCTGAGGAGGTCTGGAGATCAGGGGCACAGGCGTGTTTGGGAAAAGCTATGCGATGGGGCGGCATGGAAATGTTTTAAATAAATAAATAAAAGCTCAGCTCTGCGCGGGCCAATTTCAGTAAGCTCTCACGCCTGTGCAGCGGATCTCCAGCCCACACAGGGGGATCAGATGTAGCAGGAACGTGTGAGTCCCTTTCTTTGATTTCCTGGACAGGAGGGTAGGGAGCTTCCCAGAAATCCAGGGCCCCAGCCCTTTTGGCCTCATCCTGACTCCACCTGTTTTCACCTGAAGGCCAGGGAGGCCAGGTTTCGCTCCCAGGTGTGAAGTTCCCGGCCCATTGGGATCCGATGAGCTCAGGGATGGTTTATCAGCAGAAGTGTTATCGTTGGTCAGCTGCTTTTGAGAGGAAGGACGGGAGGAGGAGAAGCCGGAACAAACCTGTCTCCTCGCACAGGCTGGCCCGTCCTTCTGAGCCTCACCGGCGTCCCAGCGTTGTTTGAGGTGGCCACTCTGCCTTTCTTCCCGGAGAGTCCCCGGTTTCTGCTGATCCAGAGGCAGGACATGCAGCGAGCGAGGCAAGGTAGGGGTCCTCGTGAGCCGCCTGGGGCAGGAAGAGGGGAACGATGTTGGCTCCTGGCCAGAGGGACCCTTCAGCATCTCCGGCCCCCCATCCTGCATATTCCCGCAGCCCATGACAGAACTAGAGTTGAAACGAGTTTAAAACCAGAAACTGCTTCTGCTCAGAGAATCCCCATAGCAAATGGGGGTGTCTGGCCAGTCTGTGATTCTTAATTTAAAGCCAGCCGTGGACTGGGCTGTCCGTTGAGCTGTCCGTTGACTGGGCTATGCTATGCAACTTTAATCATGAAACAAAATTTGGGCTGGACCGCCCATTAAGGGCGGAGGTGGGAGTCCTCTGGGACAGCTCTCCCAAACAGAGGACTGCCCTCTGCCAGCTAGGCCACCAGACCGTGCAGCGCGGTGTCCTGCAACAGCAGGGGGTTGGACTCGAAGGCCTTCATGGCCCCCTCCAGCGCTGCTTTTCTAGGCTTCTGTGAGCCGCCTCCTCAGCCAGCCTCTTCCCACCAGCCCCGGATTCAGGTCCTTTCTGCTTCTCCTTCCACCCAGTCCTGAAGCAGCTCCGGGGCTGGGATGACGTGGAGGACGAATTGGAAGAACTCCGCCAGGAGGACCTTGCCGAGAGCACGGAGAAAAAGATGGACGTGCTGAAGATGTTGCGCTGCGAGGAGCTGCGGTGGCACCTTGTCACGATCGTCGTCCTGATGGCCGGCCAGCAGCTCTCCGGCATCAACGCGGTGAGCCGGCACCCCGGGCGGGTCAGGGCCTGAGCAGCTCACACGGCCGGCAGCCGGGCACCTGCAACTCGGGCTCCCCCACGGGATCCCCAGACCCTCGGTTCAGCTCAGCATGGCAGATCCTCCGGCCCTCTTTCAGGCCCAGTATTACACTGAGAGGATCTACCTGTCTACGGGGGTAGGAGACAACGAGGTCTGGTACCTCCGGCTCTTCCTGCTCGTGCTCCTCATGTCGGTAGCTCTGTTGGTGGTAAGACACTCTCTCACCGTTGTTAATGCATCACAGGGGTCGGACATTCGAATGCAAGAGCTGGGGAACAGTGGGTTGAGGGTGAAGCAGGGGCATCCACCGAGAGCCCCTTCCCAGCAGGGTTCCCCCAACAAGAGCCCTCTGGAAATCTTTCCCTTTCCTGGGTCCCAGCAGAATTCTCCTGTTCCCCTGGAGAAAGGAACTCAGTCCTAAACCGGCTGACATCTAGGGTGAAAATGCTACCCTTGAGCTACAGTCCCTTTCGGTTGTTCTGTCAACACTGCATTTGAGCACGCTTGAACCTGTGGCGGAGGCGTTCTTCACAGCAGAAGGACCTTGAGGCCCCTGGCCGGCCGCTCATGTGGCGTCCGCAGCCAGCTTTGTCCAGAAAAATATTCTGGATTTTCCCCGATGCCCCTGAAAGACCCCCCAGCCCTCGCCTGTCCCGCATTTCAAGAGGCAAAAAGCTTTGCCAAAGCGAGGTGTGCTCAGCACAGCTGAGGTTTCCGCAGGGACTGCAGGATTCCTTTCAATGGGGCTTTTATCTTGCAATCTCCTTGCTGATGCAGGTAGATGGCAGCTGCCAAGAACTGCGCCTTAGGAGAGACTTTGGCACCGAAGGCAGGAAACCAGGGAGAGCCAGTGTGGCGTAGTGGTTAAAAGCACGGGACTGGGACTCGGACGATCCGGGTTCGAGTCCCCGCTCAGCCATGGAGCCCACCGGGTGACTTTGGGCCAGTCACAGACTCTCAGCCCAACCTACCTCACAGGGTTGTTGTTGTGGGGATAAGATGGAGGAGGAGAATGATGCAAGCTGCCTTGAGTCCTTTGTAGGAAAAAGGCAGGATATAAATCGAAAAATAAAATAAAAAAATAAAAACCCCAGAAGGTCTATGGTTGGCGAAAGACTTTCCAGGAAAACCCACATTAGTCTGCCTGCCTTCCCACTCCCGTTCTTCCATCTTTTCTAGACCCGGGTTATAGATTCCTCAGGTCGGAGGATGCTGCTGCTTGTCGGCAACGGAGTCTGCGGTTCCGCCTGCATCCTCACAGCCATGTCTGTTGAACTCCAGGTTTGTAATTCCGGTCCCCAAGCCATGGCATATCGGGTGCTGAGCGCTGCCACTTAGCACCTTCTGCTCAAACCCACCCTCCAAAGTCCGTCACTACGGCTTATGGCAGTTGGGAGTGAAGCTTTATATTTAAAGAAGAGTCTGTTTGCAACAAGGGCCCTTTGGAATTTAAAATCCTGGTGGATTTGGGGCGGGGGATTCAATTCAAGAGATCTCCTCAAGATTTACTTCTCCCTTGTGGGCCAGTGAGGCAAACTTAATGTGGACTAGCCTCTTAATGCTCAGCGCACCCATCTGCATTCTGTGTCCAGGAAAAGCACAGACTGAGATGCCAGTGGCAAAGGAAGAGCATCACTTCAGGCAGAAACTCTTTCACCCCAGAGGCCTCATTCCTTTTGGGAGAAACTCTCAGGGCTGCATTCCAGGGGTGGGCGGGGCCTAAGGCAAAGGGGCGTGGTCACAAAGCTGCCATGTCTTAGCTCGCTCCGCTCGCCTGCTCCCTGGATCCCAGGCTTTCAAGCAAGTGGCAGCTGGTGATGGTGGCAGTGTGGGAGGTTACGTCACTGCGCTCAGGGCCCATGGGTAGCTCCTTGCCCCAGAGCACTCAAAAAATCGTGGCCGGGACCAGATGTGAGGAAGGCTCACCGCCATGTAAGGATTTAGCTGCCGCTGCTGAGGCTCTCAGCACTCCTGCCTGAAGACCTCATTGCGGCACGAGGGAGCATTGACAGCCTTTCCCCCTCAGAACAACATCAGATGGATGTCTTACTTCAGCTCGTCTTTTGACACCCTCCTCCTCGTCGGGCACTCCATTGGGCCAGGTAAGAGCTCCGAGGATGCCCAGGGAAGCACAGCCGGGGTGTAGTGGAACCGGGGCCCACAAGGACGCACTACCAGCACCTTTTCGTTCGCAGGATGCTGTTGTCATTTCCTACTTCCCACTCAAAAAACCCTCCCTGTTCCCCCGGAGCATAGCTGCCACGCTCACTGAATTTCTCCCGCAAGTGTCCGTTGTCGCCTGTTGTAATGCAACATGTTTGGACGTGGCCTGGCCTCGGATGGGGCGCACAGAAAAGGCTCTTCCTAGTGAAAGTGGAACCTGGATCTGTGGGTATAAATCACAGAATCATAGAATTAGTAGAGTTGCAGGACACCACGTTACACCATCCCACTCAGAGGGCTGCCCAGTTTCTCCTTGAATGCCCCCAGTGTGGGAGAGCCCCCCACCCCTCCAGGCAGCTGGTCCCCCTGTCGCATGGCCCTGACAGTGAGGAAGCTCTTCCTGATGCCCGGCCTGAACCTGGGCTGTTGCAACTTGACTTGATTATTCCATGTCCGGCACTCTGGCATCAGCAAGGAGAGATCCTGACCTTCCTCTTTGTGACAGCCTTGGAGGTACTTATAAAAGGACACCATGTCCCCACTCAGTCGTCTCTTCTCAAGGCTGAACATGCCCAGTGCTCTCCATCTCTTCTCAGTGTTTCCAAACCCTGGATCATCTTTGTTGCCCTCCTCTATCCCCTTTCCAATTTTTCTGCATCTTTCTGAAATCTTGTGCCCGGAACTGGACACAATACTCCAGGTGAGGTCTGACTAGTGAGGAGTCTAGAGGAACTCCTACTTCTCATGATTTGGAAGTCATACTTCTGTTAATGCATCCCAAAATCAAGGCAGCTTAAAACACTTCTAGGGGGCGTGACCATGGAAACGGTCACAGTAAAGGCTTAATTGTGTTGTAAGCCGCCCCGAGGCTTCAGCAAGGGGCGGCATAGAAATGTTCTAATAATAATAATAATAATAATAATAATAATAATAATAATAATAATAATAATAAAGGCCGGTGTATCAAAGGGAACGATGACGTCACGGCGCACAGGACAAATGTGGCATCAGTGAATGAGCGAGCGTGAACGGTCCATTAATCCAGGCACCTCTGTCTGTCTGCTCAGGTCCAGTAACCAGCGTGCTGATATCGGAGCTCTTCCTGCAGACCTGTCGGTCCACCGCCTTCGTGATCGCGGGCTGTACGCACTGGCTTTGCAAGTTCCTCATCGCGCTCACGTACCTTCACATACAGGTGAGCCGGCCGGCTTTGGTGTGACCGAGTCACGGCCCCGTGCTTGCTCTAAAATGGCCTGGGCAGTGTGGTGGTTTCGTCAAGCTGGATTTCTAAAGCTTCCTGTGGTTATTTTGCGTGGCTGATGCGTTTATCGCCAGCGTTTTGTTGTTGAAGCTGACCTTGCCTTTAAGCAGGATTTTAATTCTGTGTTTTGTGGGACTGCTGCTATTCTATGGGAGCTGCATGAAGATTTTTAATATTAAACGGTGCAGGGATATTAGTCATAATCAATTAAAAATGCCTCTCTCTCTCCCCCCCCTCAACCTCTCCCCCCCACCTCCTCCAGGCCCACATAGAGCCATACAGTTTCCTTCTCTTCTGGCCATTCTGCATCGCCACGTTCACTTATATCTCCAAAATGATCCCCGAAACCAAGGGCAAGACCTTTCTGGAAATCAGGAGGCTGGTGGCGATTCACCAGACCAGGAGGATCCTACTCAGGGACCTGGCGGGCACCAATTAGCAGACGAACCCTCTTCCAAGGGCAAAGACCCCGAGGAGGCTGTTCTGTGGTCCTTCGTGGCTTTCCTGAGAGGCCCAGTGGAGCTGAAGAAACAGCCTCGCTACCCTGTCTTTGCTTTCAAACATCTGTTTTCCTGCCATGAATTTCTTTGAGGAAGCGTAACAGGCAGGCATGGCTGAAGCAGAAGCTTGGCCTTCTGGCACACAGCAAACCTTCTTTCCCAAACTTTGGCCTGCAGCGGAGGGCCAGGATGGCCTCGCTTCTTGCGATCCCCGAACTTTTCCCATGCTCCCAGTCGGGAAGGAAAAACGGAGGCGCTTCGGCCAAGGTGTGCAGAGGTCTTTGGGGACACAGTGGCTCAGCCAGCAAGCTCCCGGCTGCATTTTCACTCGGGAAAGAGAGCTGGCTGGGCCACCGTGTTCCAGCAGCTCCCTTTTTGCTCCCGAGCGCTGAGCAGGAGGTTTGCTGGCAGATCCGGGCAACCAGCACTGCCTGTCTTAAAAGAACTGTTTCTATTGCACTAACTTCAAACCCTCGCGGATGTTCGGCTCCTTCACAGGCTAAGAATTAAAGCGGCGTGGTGTTTGAGGCGACACACACTCCAGCAAAACACTACGAAGGGAGGTAGCATGCCTGGGAAATGCTTTGAGGTTTCCTTTGCAGACACGACACAACACAACACAAAACAGCACAGCACAGGCCTGCTCTCTCCTGCCGTCCCTGCATCTGTTCCTTTCTGCGTTCGGAGCTAGAGAGAGAGAGGCGTTCTAGCTAGCGCGTGTGTTCATACAGGCTGCATAAAGAAGCATTCCTGAAAGATGCCGGCACCTTGCTGCCCTCGGTTTTGTATGTACCCCCATTCCTGGTTTATTTGTTTATTTTCTAAAGGGACAATAAACTTGCAACTCTTTAGGTCAGCAGCCTTCAGAGCCATCTGTCTTTTTTCTTTCCTTTCCCCATCTTCTTAAACATCCGGGGGGTGACGCCCCAGCAGCAACCGCTGTTCACGCGCCTCGTCCCCTTTCCCGTCACTGCCTCTCCCGCCTGTCACGCAAACGAGCAAGGCAGTGTCAAGGGTAGGCATGGCAGGGCATGTGCCAAGGACCCCAAGGCCCAGCGGGGGCCACTGACGGCAGCCTGCTGGACTGGGCTTCCTCTTCTGGCCCAGGAGCAAGCGATGCGTGGAGAAGCCGGAGGTGCCCAGCCTGCACCTTGACCACCCACGTCCCAGACCTTACAGTTCTGCCCGACGTCCTTCGAGCTCGGTGGGTCCCCTTTCGGCTTCATTGGGCATCCCCTGTGGAACAGCCCCGAGCCAAACCAGCTGCAAAGAGCCCACCGTGAGCGTCCGTCGCTCTGTGGTGATGGAGATGCCCTTTGCCATGCCTGAACCTCTCCAGCCAACCGGGAACCCTGGGAAGCAGGGAAGCATAGAGTGAAAATACTTCCCAGGCTGGAGGTATTCAGAGTTCTTCGGAAAGGCTTTATTGTGAGACCCCGACCTTTGCGTTCAGGTTGGCTGATTGTTGTGCTCCGCAGCCGCGGTTTGGAATTAAGGAAGAGCAAGATGCATTTCTGTTGGAAGGGGAGCTGAAACGGCCTTGCTGAAGACACACGGTGCAAGGAAAAGTTGAAGGCAGGAGAAGAAAAGGGAGACCGAATCAGAGATGGATGGATTCCATCAATTTAGAAGAGATGAGCAGGGCGGTCACAGCAGGACATTCTGGAAGGCTTTCCGAGTTGCCATAAGTCGGAGAGAACGTGGCTGCACGTAACGGCAACCCCAAGCCACAGGGAATGACTGGGAGGACTTGTGTCTACGTGGGCCTCCTTCCATGGAAGGGATGCACTGTCTTGGTTCCCAGCTGTTAACAGCTTCCCTTGGAACCTTCTGGAACCTTCTGGCCTCCTCTCCCAGGATTGGCTCTGGCAATGCCCTCCATCTTCTGACTCATTTCAAGGATAACCACGATGGGGTGACCTGGACTGGGCTTCCCCTGCAGTGGATGCTGCAGCTGTGTTGTGTCTGTGCTCCTCTTCCCGAAATCCCCAGGGGGGAAGCTACCTGACGCAGGTAAGGTGGGCGCCGGGATGCAAACGCCACCCCTACCAAGTTACAGCCCTGCTTAAATGATCCATCGCTGTGGGGGTCATACAGAGTGGTCGTGGGTCCTCCTTTACAAAAGGCAGTTCTGAAGTGCCATGAGGAAACAGCCTCCTGTGCGAAAGCACCTGCCTTGGAAGGCCCACCCAGCAGGACGGGGTGCCAACGGTCGGCACGGCGGGGCATTTCGCAAGGGCCCGTGCTCGGCAGGGACCCACTGACAAGCATCCCTGGAGTTGCCCCTTCTCTCCCTGCTTTTCGGGAGCTTCCTGCCCAGGGGACCCCCAGAGCAAGGAAGGGGCCCTCTTGAAAGAAGAACGTGTTTCTGGAACCTGGGGCCCATTCACATGACTTGGCTTTGACAGCATGCATTTATTTAAATGTTCGCCTATACACGTCCATTAAAATTTGCCCATTTTATGCAGATTGTCGTCCTGATTTGCCCCCTTTGCATATCTGGTTTGCTTTTTTCCACCGACCTCCTCCTCCTCCTCCTCGCAAAACAGAACCGGCCGGCCTGGGGGGCAACCCGGCATTCTCTTCTAAAGACCCCTGCAGCCTCGGACAGTGACCGGGAAGGGATCCTAATTGTTCTAATAATAATAATAATAATAATCCTGACCTGGCTCCATGTGGCACCCTTCGGGCCTTTGAAAAGCACCCCCCCATCTCCCCTCAGCCCCCTCCAGGGGATCGTGCCCGGTTCTTTCCATCCATCCACGTGGGGCTTTCTTTCCAGTCCCCGGATCATCCTTGTTGCCTTCTCTGAATGCCTCCATAACATCCAGTGCGTGATGCAGGGCAGGTGGGTGTTCGGTCACACATCTGGACATGTGCCAGGTCTTACCCTGCCAAGTTATCCTTGGGATGCTTGGAGACTCTGAGAGTCAAAAGTGTGTTTTCCTACCCACACAGGAGACGCCCAGCCCGGCCCGAGCGACATGGGGAGCCACAACCGGCAGACAAAGAGCGGAGTGGAGTTAGCGGCCCAACACGGCCAGCTGGTAAGTTCAGAGGGCTTGTTCCTTCTGCAAGGGTTAGGAAAGGGTTAACCGGCCCAGCCAGGGACCAGATGAAAACAAGATGCAGACAGAGGCAATTCCCATGGGAAGCGAGCGCACCTTTCCCACGTGCTGCAGCTCAGAAAAATTCTTCCCTAGCATGTCCTTTCTTATATTTTTTTTAAGTGCTCAGTCACCAAGTCTCCTGAATGCTTTACAACAAGCAGGATAAATTGCTGCTGCTGCTGTTCTATAATAATAATGTTATTTATTTATTTATTTGGGGTATTTCTAGGCCGTCCAATCACACTGAGTCTCTAGAAGGCTTACGACAAAATCAAACGGCTTCTATACCAATGTAATGTTCATAAAATAATGTTCTATCCCAACCAATAGCCAAAGCTTTTGAGGTGGTTTGCAACAGTTTATAAAACAGGATAAATTACAATATAAGACTAAAATACAATAAAACAGGATAGAATAAAATACAATATATACAAAATAACACTCACTTAATCAAATTGCACTGCAAATGTAAGCACTAGATTTTAGAGCCAGATTTCAACCATTCGTGCAGCTAAGTTAAGTTACTAAATGATACAGCAGATGAAAGAGAAGCTGTTTCTACACCAGGTGGACTTTCAGTTCACCATTTATTTATTTAAAACTTTCGTACACCATCCCAAATGTCAAATTCTCAGGATGGTCCATGGCTTTGGATCAGAAGGCTGCATGGCTTTTCCCCTACAGATCCGCTAGGTGGCGCTGTGACAAAGTGCAAATCACAGATAGTGCTTTGCTTTCAAAAATAATACCGATTTTCCCCTGCCTTCAAAAACCCCTGGAAAGTAGTCTTTAAAAGCAGAAACAAGTGTGAACAAGCACCATGCCTAAAGACCATGAGGGGGCAAAACCACACGCACAATAAATGCCTCGTGTAGCAGGGTGGTTTACGCGTGAGAAGGGAAATTTTGCCCATGAGCTTGAGATGAACCTGTGTTGAGATGAACCTTGATCAATAAAGGATCAATTTATTTGGGAATAGTGGATGAGGAATTAATTGGCTGGCTTTGCCTCCCGTGGAATTTGAATACATCCTAGCAAGTATTATTTTTTAATTGTGCAGAGATAGCTATATCTTTGCACATTTATTTGTTTATTTATGTCTCGGTTTATATCCTGCCTTTTTCCTACAAAGGGCTCAAGGCAGCTTGCATCATTCTCCTCCTCCATCTTATCCCCACAACAACAACCCTGTGAGGTAGGTTGGGCTGAGAGTCTGACTGGCCCAAAGTCCCCCAGTTGGCTCCATGGCTGAGCGGGGACTCGAACCCAGGTCGTCTGAGTCCCTGTCCCACGCTCTTAACCACTGCACCACACTGCCTCTCCACATGTGGATTTTATGCTGGTTTCTGCATTTGGGGCTCAGAGCTCTTCAGATGCCCAGCCATACCCCTGGCCTGGGCACCTTCCCATACCCCGAATGAGGAAGGGCGCCGCCGCGATGCATGCCCCGTCTAGCGCACCCCGCAGCCGAGCCCCACAGGGCTGTCCTCACATTCTCAGGTAAACTGCCCGCATCTCCAACCTCTTTTCCTTCCCATCCAGGAGAAGCCATCTTCAGTGTCCTGCCCAGAAAACATAGGAAGCAGCCTCAAAGACGCAGAGACACAGAAGGCCAGACGGGTGAGGTGCCATCATCCCACGAGGTCCATGGCAAGCTAATGGCCTTGCCACATTTCCGCAGCTTGACCCCTGCACTTCCTTCCAGCCGCCGCCTCCTGCCTCACCCACTTAGCTTCTAATCCTCTTATTCCAAAGAGAAGCAGGCCTTGGTGACCAGTCCCTCAGCTGCCCTGTGCAGGGGCTTGCTTGATTTGCCTGGTGGGAATCCTCTCCTGAAAGATGCCATGAATGCAGTGTGAGGCCCACGGTTTGGAGGGCTCTCAGCGGCCCCCAGCTTCTCACCAGCAGTGGCACCACTCTCCTGCCTTCCTCCTCCTCCTCCTCATCCCACTTGCTCGCTGGACAGGCAGCGAGGCCAGCAGCAAGGTGGCCAGCATCTCTGCTGCCTCTCTGTCACACCACCAAGCAGGTTACGATGGAGAAGAGGAACAGCAAGTCCAGGGAGGCTTTCTTGGTGGGCCCCTGCTGGCATGTGGGCCTTGGCAAGAGCCCAGCTATTCTCACCCTGGGAGGACAAGAGAGGGTGGTTGTACGATAAACACCCCATCTCGAAGCACCATGAGTCTGATCTGGGAAAAGAATTGTTCCTGCGTGGAGTAAAGGAGTTAAATGCCTCTTTTTCTTCCCCTGCAGAAAAGATTGTCGTCTGCTACCTACACACAAAGCTTCAGAAGCAGCATCAGAAGCATAGACGCAACAGTGATAATGAAGGAGAAGTCTGGGAGAAGGGTAGGTACCGGACTATTCAACCGGCAAAGCTTTTGCAATGCAAACGAATTAAGCCATCCCACCACCCCCGCCCAAGAGCAGAGGGGTGCAAATATACTGTGTCTAAGCATATCAAGAATAAAGTGGGAAGGCTAGCAAAAGTTCCCGGTTCACACATAACAACAACCCAGAGGATGGGTCATCACTGAATCATGGGTTGTTGTTACATGTAAAGCCTGAACTATGATTGCTACGGGATGTTAACCATGATGAGAAAGAGGAGGAGCAAGAACAGAAGAAGGGAGACCCGTGAAAGTTCTGGCACCTTGCCCAACAGCCCCCCGAAAAGCAGGAGTCAGTGCAGCTTTGTTTATTCAAAGAAAAACAGAGGCTAACTATTGGGTGCCGGCGTGATGGGGCGGTTAAGAACATGGGACTGGGACTCGCGTGATCCGGGTTCTAGTCCCCGCAGAGACGCTCAGCCCAACCTTGAGTTCCTTGGAAGGAAAACAGGCAGGATATAAATGTAATAAATAAGCTGTGCTCATTCCGACAGGCGCTGACAAGGCCTCTGGTCATGGTGACGCTGGTCACGTCCTTTGGGTCCTCGCTCCAATACGGCTATAACCTTTGGGTGGTGAACCATCCAGCAGCGGTAAGATTCGCTCCGGCGCTGACGGGGGTATTTGAAGCGCCACCACAGTGGAGGAGTGCGCCCTTTGCCTGCCATGAGGGCGGTCGGCGTGGCCCCACCGTGGCAATCCCGGCTGCCCTGTGCGACCCTCGGGACTGTTTCCACCACCACCTGCCCGCCACTTCTCCAGCTGGGCCCTGGGTTCCCCGGCCCCTCGAACCTTTCCATTATAACAAGGGATAATCCCGTCCTGCTGGGAAATTTTATTATTCATTGATTTTCTATCCTATACATAAAAGTCTCAGGAGGGCCCAACAAGAGAAGCACAGCATCACATCCATTCATATAAAAGCCCGATTAAAATAGAAATTCAGTCTTTAAAAATGGGGAAATAAAGAAGTTTGGCCTGGCACCAAAAAGGGTAAAGTGTCTGTCAGCACCAGGAGCACTTATCTGGGGAGCAAATTCCACGACCAGGTGCCACCACAGAGAAGGCCCTTCTCCAGGTGGCCGCTCTCCTACTCTCTTTCAAAGAGGGCTCCCGAAGAAGGACCTCTGGTCTAGTTCTTAAGGGGTGGGTTGGCACAAAGGGAAGGAGATGGGGAATTTATTTATTTATTTGGAATTTTTGTATGCCGTCCCATTCGTATAAACCTCGGGACGGCATCCAACATATAAATAAATATCCATACAAATACATATAAAATCTGGAAACATCCTGGATAATAATTTAAAACCAATAAATAAAATCAGCAATTATTAAAATATCGTTTAAATAAAAAGGTCTTCGCCTGGTGCCGAAAAACGAATCACAACAGCGCCAGGCGGACCTCTCTGGGGAGCGCATTCCATAGGTGGGGTGCCACTGCAGAGAAGGCCCTGCTCCGGGTGCTCAGCCTCCTAATGTCCTTCACGGAGGGTTCCTGGAGGAGGGCCTCTGCCGCCGATCTCAGGGGGCGGGCGGGCATATATGGAAATGAGCTTCCCTCCTGCTTTTGTGAGGGGGAAACAGCACAGCTCGGGGGAAGGAAGGCGTTGGAGGGGGTGGCGGCTGGTCTAAGTGCACGTGCTGATGAAAACATCTCCGTATTTTGACCCGTGAATCCCGCCACACCGCCTGTCACGCATGCCTCTTGCAGCTCATCCAAGACTTTTACAATAACACCTACCACCAAAGGAAGAAGGTCTACATCGAAGCCACCTTCCTCAGCTTCCTGTACAGTATGACCGTGGCCATTTTCTCGCTCGGCGGCCTCATTGGGTCCCTTTTGTCTGGTCCCATGGTGGATAAGTGCGGCAGGTATGTCAAGATGCTACGGCACCGGTGAGCCCCCGCGTTCGAGGAATGGGAGAGATTCCACAAGGGCGATGGGAGATAGGATGGCCACAAGACATCAGCTCTGGGAACAACGGGTGGCCCCATCAGGCAAGGATGGACTGCGGGATGCATGCAGCCCCTGGCTCTCCAGTGCCTTGCCAAGAAAATAAAATAAAGACACAAAAAAGCCCTGCTTTTTTGACACAACTCCGCACCCCGTGCCCTCTGTCCTCCCTTTCTCTCTCTCCGCAGGAAGGGAACCCTCTTCCTCAACAACCTTCTGGCCATAATCTCTTCCATCCTCATGGGTTTCTCCACCCTGGTGCACGCCTATGAATACACCATCTTTTCACGCTTGATCACGGGCGTGTGCTCAGGTAGGAAAGGCGCCTCTGTGGCTCGCCCTGCTGAGTTTGGGAGGGTTCCCGGGCAGCCCCTCCCGAGCGCGGCTGAAATGTAGGTTATCGTCTTGTCTGAACCAAGCCAAGGCAGCAGCCCGGGGAGAAGAGCCCAGAGTTCACAACACTGTCGCACACGGCGAGTTATCTTCGTGGGTTGTCCCACACTAGGAAGCCAGGACAACACAATATCTCAACCAGTCCTGGACCAGTGATGGTTGAGATAGTTCTGGGTTGCCGTGTCTTCTGCACCCAGCCAACAGCTCCGTGGGGAATGCTGCCAGAAGCATCCTGGGCTGAAGATAAGATGCCTGCTTTCATGCACTGCAGCGTCCCGTGGTCCAGGAAGTCAGTTTGTTTCATTCGTTCATTAAATGTGTTTGAAGGCCCTCCCCCGTTACAGAGTCGCATCTCTGCATGCCCACCCATGTGGCACGCACACCATCGATGGGCCTTGCCTTCTGCGTCTACCCAGGCATCTTCTCCTGCGCTGTCCCACTGTATCTTGCAGAGGTGGCCCCCAGAAACCTCAGGGGGACCATGGTGTCAGTGTCTGCCCTCTTCATCGTCATTGGCGTCCTGATCTCTCAGGTCCTCGGCTATGAGGAGCTGCTGGGTACCAAAAAGTGTAAGTCCCGAGACATGCTCCCTTCCACCCACGAGGAGATCGGGCCTCGTTCCATCCCAACCCCGATGACTCCTTTCTGCACAGATTGGCCGATACTGCTGAGTCTTCCCGGCTTCCTGGCAGTGCTGCAGGTCATTGTGCTGCCTTCGTGCCCGGAGAGTCCCCGGTACCTTATGATCCAGGAGCGGGATGAGGAAAAGGCCAGGCAAAGTGAGTGGGGCTTTCCCGGAGGCCTCGGGGAGGGGTGTCCAGCACCGTCCAGCCAGGGGAGAGAATTCTGGTTTGGAGGGGCTGGCGGGGGCCATGTCCTGGAGGTGGGGGCTGATGGCAGAAGGAAGCCAGCCCCGAGCTGCCAGCCCACTTCAGTGGGAAGCCCTCGCTGTAGCTAAGCTCTAGGAGAACATTTCAGCTTTTTGGAAGCGGAGGAGGACTCACATTCTAGGAAATTGCCCGAGCATCGGGGTTGCGTGCTGGGGGCACGGGACTTGGACCAGCAGGCTGGATTTGGAGCCCCGGGCTGGGAGAGGCACTGCGCCTCAGAGAGCGAGAGATGCATCAGAGAGGCATTCTGCCTCTTTCCTCTTGCAAGAGGCCCACGGCGACCTACATGGCCCTGCTCCTCTCCACTTTACTCTCACGACAGCCCTGTGAGGTGGGCTCGGGGACGCTTTCCAAGTCACTGAGAGAGCTCCGTGGCCAAGCGGGGCCTAGAACCCGGACTGCCCAAGCCCTGCCCAGCACGCCTGCCACCATCCTTGGGGGCTCCTCTCTCTCTCTCATTGGGTGCACTCTTCCTTCCCTAGAGCAGCGCGGATGAATTCGTGGGGGGGGGACTCCGAGGTCAGCAAGGCTCCCCCTCCATTGCAGCCTTTCTTTTGCGCTCCAGCAGAGCAATGCTCGGCGCATCAGGGTGCTGAACCAGTCCTGGGGATGGCGCTCAGCACCACGGAGAGCTCCCCTGGGGCTCCAGAGGGGCTCTGCAGCGGGTGAGGGGGTCACGCATCACCCCCAGCCCCACTCTTTCTCTCTCCTTTCAGAAAAGCTCTTGTGTGCTGCATTCCAGGGCAAAAAATCCCCCCCCCCCAAAGAAAAACCCTCTAGTGTTCTCTTAACACCTTTCTACCAGCAACTAATCTCAGAAAGATGATTTGGCTTGTTAGAAATGAGCAGGGTGGAAGCTGGGAGAGCATGGAGGCTGATGGGGCGAAGGAAAGGGGGCCAGACTGGGGCCAGACTGGGATCCCGGGGCTGAGACTTCCCAGTTCTGGTCTGGAGCCTCCCAAATCCAGGAGAAGAGGCCCGGCCGTCTTTTAGATCGCGCATGTGTGCGTGTGTCTTGGAAGAAGAGACTTTCCGCCACAGAGATCCCTTTCTCCTCCTCCTCCTCCCATCCAGCCTTGAAGAAGCTGAGGGGCCAAGAAGATGTCGAACAAGAGATAGACGAGCTCTACCTGGAGCACATCTCCGAGAAGGCGGAGAAGGAGATGGGCGGGCTGAAGCTGCTGTTCTACCGAGGCCTTCGCTGGCAAGTCATCTCCGTTGTCGTCCTGATGAGCGGCCATCAGCTCACAGGTGTCAGTGCGGTAAGCAAAGGCCCGGGCCCCGGACGTCCGGGAGGACAGGTACCCCCTGGCGGTGCCGACACTGTCGGCTGGATGAGACGAGCCTGCAATGCTTCCAAGGGTTCGATGGAGGCCGGACCCTCATTTTTTTCTGCCCCGGCGAGAGATGGAGAAATGCGTGCGTTTCTCAGACTGCAGGCAAAATGGGGGGGGGGGGGCGAAAGGATGAGGCAACCCCCAAATTCTCCTCAAAACAGAGCTACAAAACGGGTGGCCTCCGGCTGGGATGCAGGAGGAAAATTGTGGTCCCTCCGAAGAGTCCGTGGTGACAGAGCAGGGGGAGGTTTGGGGCCTCTTTGGGTATCCTCTTTGGACACACACACACAGGTTGGACTGAGCGTTTGTGGCTGGGCCAAAGTCACCCATGGCTGAGCTTTGCACTAAGGGTCTTGTTTGTTTGTTTGTTATTTTGGCCCTGGGCTTTTTGATGTCTTTGGTTCCAATCCCCTTTTTGTCTTCAGCCGCATCTTCCGGAGGAATAAAGCGTTTTCCATACCTGTTCAAGATGAAGTGGCACTGATTCCGGGGGAGGGGAGGGGAGGGGTCCGTGCTGAACCTGACTGCCTCAAAAACTCCAGATCCTTCTGTGAAATTATAAGATGCTGACTGTGATTTGCTTTCAGGTTTACTATTATGCAGACAACATCTATGCGTCCATGTTTTTAAGCAAGAAAGAAATCCGGTATATTGTCCTCTTCTCTGTCATTTCCCTCGTTATCACCCTGATGGTCGTGGTAAGCATCCCCAAATGCTGTCTCAAAGCTTCGGTCTGTCACAAAAGTCATTACGAGTATTGCTTATCGATTTCATTTCTAGAGCGCATAAAACAATGAAATGCAACACTAATAACACAAAACCTCCCTGAGAGCCAAATTGGCTACAGAGGTCGGTATATTATAGCTCGTATCAATAAATAAACAAATAGCCGTGTGAAAAGAATTTACAATTAATTTAAAAGTGCTTTTAAAATACAGTAAAAGGACGTGGGAAGAAGGAAAAGCACTTGGATAATGAAGGCGATTTTTTCAAGGCCACCACAGAAAGGACTTCCTTATCTGGTGCTGAAAAGATGGCAAATTTGGCACCAGCAGGGAGGTTGTTCCAGAGATGGGGGGCCCCCACAGAAAAGCCCCTTCCCCTCTGAGCCTTTCGTGGGGTTGGCACTCAGAGGAAGGTCCCAGAGACTGAGCAGAGCAGGAGAAGCAATTCGACAGGTCTAGCAGTCCTAAGCTGTATATATCTTTGCTGCAGGCCCTTCTCAGGTTCCGTGTGATTCTCCATGCATGGTCCGATCTTTCTGTATTTCAGTTTGGTTGTAAGATGCTGTAAGCCTTGCACAATCCCCAAACCAGGAAACTAATTCGGAACATCTCAGAGGCCTGGTGGGCTGGTGTTAGCTGGCAAAAAGATCCGGAACTCAGACACACAGGAATAAAAAGAAACGTATTTGCGAAGGACCGTGTCTCCTAAGGACAGCCCTCATTGCAAATAATAGGGAAGGAGCCAGTATTGGCTGGGAAAAGATTTTATCTGTATTATGTTTTGTTTTATTTTATTTATGTAAGCCGTCCTGAGGCTATGCGATGGGACGGCATACAAATGCTCTAAATAAATAAGCAAATAAGCAAACAAGCAAACCTCAGGCGGGAGGGCGGCAGGAGGAGCAGCTCATGTGGTCCAAATTGCCAGGATCTTCTAGCTTAAAGCTCTGATAAGCTGTAAGTTTAAAAATTGAAAAATAATTCCAATTCCTTTGAGCATGTGGGGTGAAGACTGCCAAAAGCTGGGAAACTCGCCTCCCTTGTGTTTGGGGGAAAGGGGTGTGGCCTGGGGAAGGGGGTGTGGCCATCTGAAGCATCCTGGAGGGCAGATCTCTCCTGCCCCCCACCCGTGCCCTAGGCCTGATGTGCTGCCCCCTGCACGACCCACTGAAACCCACTTATTCCTGTTGTGCCGCTTTCTTCATCCGGCCGTGCGCTCACACCTCACCTCGCTCTTTCCTCTGCTTGGGTTCCCAGGTGTATATCATCGACACCGTGGGACGGAGGGCCCTGATCCTCATTGGCTTCGGGGTCTGCAGCATCATCTGTGTCCTGCTCACCATGGCACTCGAAATGCAGGTAGGTGGGCAGTGCTCCCCCTGTGCTGATGCGGGGAATAATCGCACAGGGGCCCTGATGGTCTTTGCTGCCTCCGATCCCCCAGCATGAACTGGGGGTTTTGACCCACATGGGCTTCCCCTCCTGCTGTCCTCTCAGATCTGCCTGTCTGTTCTTCACCTAAAATCTACAGAGAGAGAGAGAGAGAGAGAGAGAGAGAGAGAGACTTTACAGCATATATAAATTAGCAGAAGCAAATTTCTGCTTGCGCTCGCTCGCTCGCTCTCTCTGTGCGTGCGCACGCACTCTATGGGCCTGAGGCCCTGTTCTCAGTACTTTCTGCAAGCCCTCAAAGGGGCAACCTGTAGCCGCATTTGTGCATGGCTGAAGCATGGCCAACTTCCTCCAACAGACGACCATCTCATGGATGTCCTACGCCAGCTCCTCCCTCGTCTTCCTCTTCCTCATCGCACACGTTTTGGGACCAGGTGAGCACCGCAGGGTTGCCAGCAGGAGCGCCGGTTCTGGTGTCAGTGCAGCACGGCACCCACCTCGGGACTCGGGAGCTCGTGAGGAGCTATCTGTGGTCCTGAACCCTGCCCCGAACATCATTCGGGGCCAGGCTTAGGCTGCTCTCAAACAGGGCCAGTGGATGGATCCGCTGTCCAACAGGTTCTACCTGATGATGGGCGGCAGTGGTGGGGAACTTCATCCCCATGTGCCACACCCTCTGCTTGGGTCCCAGCACCATTGGCCAGACCTGCCCTGAAAGCCCTGCCCCCTTTCCCTGGCCACGCCCCTCTTCAAACCACCAGTCGGTGCGTTTTTCTGTTCCCACCACACATTGTAAGGCAAAATGTTTCTTGCCTAAGATGTGGCTCCTGGCTTTCAGAAGCGTTGGCCAAAAATTCTGGAATTTGGGCCCCTGTTCCAGGGTAGCCCTGCACCCCGAGAGCTTCTCCAAACCAGGATATGGCCTCGGGCTGGAAGAGGCTCCCTAGCCCTTGACATGGAGGGTGTCTTGGAGGAGGGGTGAGCTACAAATTGGGTAGATAATTTGGGGTACTGGGGTTGCAGGGCCTGTTTTCTGGCCAGATACTCCTGTGGCTTGAGTGAGTCAAAGGGAATCAGCCTTCCGTGCCTTGAACCCCGCTCTCTCCACCAGGTCCCGTACCCATCCTCCTCACGACAGAACTGTTCCTTCAGTCCACCCGGTCCACCAGCGTCGCCCTCGGAGGGTTTGTGCACTGGCTGGTCAACTTCCTCATGGGCATCATATTTCTTCATATAGAAGTGAGTGGTTCTCAAGGAAGGGGTCTGAGCAATTTGGCTGAGGCCGCCCTTTGCTCCCCGGTCAACTATGCCTTTGGGGTGCTCCAGTCACAGACAGTCCTGGCAAAATCTGGGTGGTTGTTTCGACCGGATTTTCGAAGGGGTCTCAGCGACTGACTTCCCTGACAACATGGTACAGTCTCCGGGCTGTGAGTGGGTTCAGACAGCATCTAACAACCCACACTCGGGAGCCGGGCAGTGGGTGAGAGAGGGTCCTCGCTGGTTGTTGTGGAAACAGGGCCACCTTGTCAACTGGTCCCAAGCAAGATTACAACCAGTTGCAAACACACCACCCCCAGAACACTTCATGGATTATCTTCATGGGTTGTGATTAACAAGCCATGGTTTGTTATCTCTTCCTTCCCCGGCCCCCTTTTCTTCTTGGTTTTCACCTCTAGACGCTGATTGGGTCCTACAGCTTCCTTCTCTTCTGGCCACTCTCTGTTGCCACCTTTATTTATATCTTCAAGTACATCCCAGAAACCAAGGGCAGGACCTTTCTGGAGATAAAGAGACTCATGTCTGCCCAGTTGGCCAGGAGGATTCAAGTTCAGGGGCACCCCGCCAAAGAAAATTTGAAGAAACGGTCAGCTCACCATAGCAATAGGAGAAAAAAGAGAAGATCAACCATAGGCTAAAGTGATCCTCCAACTCTCTTGACCCACAGGTGATCACTGATTCCCTGTTGGTCCCCCACCCACGTCTTTGTTATAGCTTTTCTACTCTCTTTGCACAAAATTTTATATTTAAATTATAAAACGCATACACAATTACACCTTTTAATCTTTCAAAAGACCTCCTGGCTCTCTCGTCCGGTGCTGGTGCAGACTTCCCGCACTGGTTTTTCCCCACCTGTCTGGGTAGCCACAAGACTAGAAAACTTTCCTGGAACGCTCTCATTTTTTTTGAACATGAGGCTGTTCATCTCAGTTTCAATGCAGACTTAAGATCCGAGTGGTACATGAGGAGAGTTGCCTTTTCTGCTATGTAAATATTAGCCTATTTTCCCTGCTCTAAAAAAGAAAAAACACGCACTTGCACAAAATGCTCTTTACGGGCAGAAGTTCAACTGGAGAGTCTAAAGAACCCATAATAGGAAGTAAGGAGTGCACAAGTGCCTTGGATAGAAAATGCATTATTCCTGATGCTGAAAGTGCAATTTCTTCTGGTGTGTTTGCATTATAACACAGTGCCACCTAGAGGTTGCATGGGGGAAAGCAGGAAGGAAACACTGAACGGCTCAGTTCTCAATTCTGCAGTGAAAGCAAGAGTCCGTGTGCTGCGGGTCCTTGGAGTGTGTGGACTCCCCTCAACCATCACGGGGTTGTTGTGAGGCTAAAACGGAGAGGAGGAGGACTGTGCGATCCTCTCCGGGTTCTCTGTTGGTTGCGAAGTTGTCCCTGACCCATCGCGACCCCATGGACAACACTCCTCCAGGCCTTTCTGTCCTCCACCAGCCCCCGGAGTCCACCCAAGCTCACTCCGACTGCTTCAGCGACTGGTAGGGCGTAAAGGAATCATGCATCACGAAAGCGGACGGAGGAGCTATGCAGCCTTGCGTGGAAAAGCCCTTGAATGTTTGTGAGCATTCCGTTGCCTCCAGCGGCTGAGCTAGTGGCTAAACTGGATGGCTGTTTTACTTTCCCTGGACTCCGTTGGGAAATGGAAGGGGCGGAGAAGGAGAGGTGGAAGGTTTGGTTCTCTGCCGCTTGCCTGGCTTAGGAGAAAAGGGAGGGAGGGTCGCAGCTCAGGGCATCTTCTCCTGCTTGATCTGAAGAAGGTCACCAGCAACATCTCCAGTTGGAAGATGCATGGAACCGGTCCCCAATCCAAGTATTTCTACATGGATTTCACTGATGATTTCTAAGGGTGAAGAACTAATGGGGACTTTTTCTGAGGGACAAAGAAACAAATTCACAGTAAACTCAAAGAGCAAATTCCCCACTCCTGAATAAAAATAAAAATGCAAGGTCACCAAAATGCACATTATTCGGGTTTTATCCAATGGGATAAGTGCATTCTTGGCCAGTTTTTCATATTTTTCTACAACTAAACTTCAGAAAATTGGCCTGTAAGGGCACAGAATTGATGTGACCTGGGAAAAGCCAATTAGCTGTGAAAGCCAGACGTTGGATTTATAGAAAGGCGTAACTCCATTGAGTCTGTTGTGGATACCATTGACATCTTTAGACACAAAACACAAGGATGAAAGACAGGAGGGAAGAAGAAAACTCCACGGGGGCCGAGGACATGTCTCTGCCTTCTCTCCCATCTCTCTCAGCCCAGCCTGTGGGAATGACTGCTGGCTGGAGCATGCTGGGAGTTGTAGTCTAACATCTGGAGGGCAAGGGAAAGCCCCTTTCTATGGAATCCCTTCGATGCTCCAAACTTTTCCTTCCCATCATCAGCCATGCACATTTCCACCTTCAAATCCTCTTTCCACTGAGCATTCCATGCTCCAAACAATTCCACCCCCTCTCCAAGCGCAGACCCCAAATAATCGCTGTTCTTTTTGCAATGGGCTGATGGAGTGGAACTTAGCGGAACATTGGTCTGTAGCTGCTCAGCTTCAGCAGGTATTTGCCTTCAGGGGGTCCAACACGGAATGGAAGGAGACAGGTTCCTCATCTGGCTTTCCAGGCTGTTGATGTGCGGACCACAAACGATGCCTCTGAGCGGGGAAAGGGTCGGCGGGCTGTTCGTAACTTCTCTAGGGCCAGTTCCGGAGCAGCGTTAACGTGCGGCCCTCACACCCCGTGGGGGCCACGCCACCAGCCCGCATCCCTCGTGGAGATGTGTCAGCGTCAGCCTGACCTGGAAGGGACCAACCAGGCCTGCTGGCTTAGCCACATTGCTATATCTCCACCACACTCGGTGCGCTGCAGACTCAGCAAAGCATCGGCCATAGCGGTGCAGGTGAGTGGAAACCAGAACCCGCGTGACTTCAAGGATGCATCTCTGTGCACAGCCGGCTTCCTTCACAGGGCCGATTCCCTGTTTGTGCGAGACCGTTTCCCTCCCTGCGTCCACCTTCTCACCCAGCCTCAAGCCAGGGAAATAATTTCCTCGCTTAAAGGAACGGTCGTGGACGGAGAGATCGGGGAAGACCGGCCAAGCTGGCAGACTTGGGCTCCATCTTGTCACAGTGAAAGAATCCATTAGGCATAGATGGACTTTCACAGCAAACGCTGTGGGTTTGAAGTCGATTGGGAAATGGAAATTTAAGCCAAGTTCATAATAGTCTGCAAGAAAGCAGCCCTATGATAAGGGCAGCCCTGTGGAGTTTAATGCTTTGCTTCCCAGGGAGTGAACCAGTTCCCACCAAGGCTTTGGCTGGAGCTTGGGGTGGTCACGTGAAAATCACCCTGAAAGAGGAAATGCGTCACCAGAAAGCAGGATCCCCAAAGGACACTGATGTGCACAAGCTTGCGCATGCTGTGCATACAAACTTAGCAACTGTTGTTATAATTTAAAGAGATATACGGCACATGGAACTGGTGTGCCCGGCTGTTAGGTCGGCTGTTCAGGGGCTGAGTGTGAGTGTGGCAGGAGTCACGGGCATCCAGGAGGACAGGCGGCCACTGGAGAAGCATCTCCAGGGACCACGGCTGGGATGTGGGCCTCGTCCTCTGCCCATCCAGGCCACGCTGGATGCCTGGGTCAAATATCCTGCCCGCTCGGGAGTACGTCCAGCTGGGGTGGCCCAACCACCTCAGGGGGCAGACGCAAAGGGGCAACAGCTGCTTCTCATGGGCCCCCCAGTTATCTCTGTCTGGGGGGAGGCAGAGCCGTGCGCAAGAGCCTGTGGTGGAGGGAGCCACATCCGTGCATAGCTAGCATTCCAGTAAGGTTCATTACACGTCGGCCGGCTGGAGAAGGAGAGCCGTCTCGTCTTCTGCTTCAGGCAGCAAAGTGTCTCTGTGCTTCGCAGGAACACAGGCAGCCTTTCTGGAGATAGTTCCCAAAGGATGGGCGGGAGGAGCGTTTGGTCGTGGCAGGGGTAAAATGCGGGCGAGCCGCAAGTCACGACGCACAGGAACAATGCTCATTCGCTCAGCAGGCAGCTCATCGGGCCAAGACCAGCGTCGCAGCCGCTTTATGCTCTCCCGGGAATGGCAGAGCTCAGGCCAAACACAACCTTTGAGATGTCTGGACCCAGTTGCCGTAACAAGCCACGGGCCGTCAACTGCAAAGAAACCACCACCAAAACCCGTAGTTTTGTTGCCGCTTGTGAACGGCGGGTTGGTCTTCCAGGCAACATGTCTCGCAACCAGCCGTGCCTCAGCCCTCGCTCGCTTGCTCGCTCTCAACCCAGGCTCGGCCTGGTTGTGGCTGAGCTTGCCGAATCTAAACCTGGTCCAGGACTCAGCCAGTGCCTTGCCTCATCCAAGCCTCCCCCTGCATTCATAGCAGAAAGATCCTTGGAAGCAGTGGCTTCCGGGCTCACTAGCCCACCTAGGGACCAGTGTGAATCGGCATCAAGGGCTCGTGCCTGGATTCCCTTCCTTCCCATTCCTCTGGCTGCTTCACGAATATATTTCCATCTCTATGCAGAGCGTATCCACCCGGAGGCGCTTCCTGAGGTGACATGGATGGCGGCAATCTTCATCCAAGGATTCGCCCTCTCCTGTTTTATGGAGGCAATGCCTTGCATTGTCTCCCAACTGCCAACAGCTTCCGCCGGAACCTTCCCTCCATCAGTTCGCACAATACAGTTAGCCTTCCGCTGGCTTATTTGGTGGGGCGGTTCTTCCTGGTTACCAGGCCAGAAAGCGAGGTATGTTGGCCTGTTCTTCAGCTCTCTCTCTCCAGACCTGTGGGGGACCGACCTTGCCTATGGCAGGGCAGCCATCACCTATAGGAGACTCCAGAGTTGACTGTGTCTAAGCTTGGATCGGTCCATAATCTCTCTCTCTCTCATTCATGTTTCTGATATGGCTTAATGCAGGGTCGGGCCACTTGTAGCTCTCCAGATGGTTTGGCTAAAACACCATCAACCCTTACCAGCATGAGTAGCCAAGCATGAGGGGGCCTGGGAATCCTTCCAAATTGGCTATACTGGTGAAGCATCCATAGAGAAGGCCACCGTTCAGAGGAGCACTAGGTCTGTCATCCCTGGTCTAAAGCAAGATTTCTTTCCAGCATTCACTCCTGTTCCCCCCCCCCCACTAGTTTTTGGGGGTTTTTTTTACAACAGAGAAAAGGAGGTATTATATTACAACAGGGAATTGGCACTCAACTGCCTCGTGTATTTGCGCGATTCCACTAAGCAGAGCTCCATCTAGAGGTCGTGCAGTGGAAAAGCAGGAAAGAAAGAACTCTTTTGGTATAGCTTGAACTCAGTAGATAAAACAATTAACAGCTCACATAGACAAGATCTTAGAGCAGACACAACGAAACTTTAAATTAACATCCAGAGGCAAGAAAATTATCTCCAATATAGTTTTCCTGTACTTTTAAATATTATTTTCTCTTGTGCATAAGATTTGCAATTTGTCCAGTTCGCTCATTCTCCTTTTCCATTGTTGTTGTTGTTGTTATTAAATTTAATTTTATAATTTAAATTAATTTAAACAATTGTTTTGTTTAATTTTGCCCTCTTAAACAAACAGCATCCATAACCTCCTGCCATGATTCTCTTTGTCTTTCCACATAGTTCAGTCTGATTTCTGACCTCTGACCGAAGAAAGCATGGAATTCAGACCAGTGAAAGTGCCCAGGACTCACGGCAAGAAAGACGTGAGTCGAAGTGATGCTTACATGGGGCATCAAGATTTCACAAGTGTTGGACGCCAGCCCGTGGGAGGGGGCAGTGGGTCTGGGGGTTCTGTCCCAGAGGTTCTCCCAGCCAGTGTTTTTTTTGTCATAGAACGCACCGGAATGGAGTTCCGGCACCATTTTTCAACAGATTTTCCAAGTTTTAAAAGTAACTTTTGAAAATCTGATGTTTGGGCCACGTGGATTTGAATCGCCCTGTCGAACGTAGCAGGTCGGCGGCAAAATCATTAAAACGGTGCATGCGGGCTGCTTGTGTGTCGAGTCCGATGCGTGCGCACTTTGTCCGCACCGGTTGTGATGGTGCTGCTCGGCTTGTGGCGCTGCTCGGCTTGTGATTGGTCGTGTGGTCATGCGCTGAGTGCTTACTGCGGGTGGCGACTGTTATGTTTCGTTACACAACTGACGTGGGTGGGTGTGTGTACAGTGACTGACTACGTGCGAAAGGTGAATAATTTCATGAGTTCCGGCACCTTTTTTCTTACAAGAAAAGCACTGCTCCCAACCCTCCGGATCTTGAGGCGGAAGGTGAAAATCGCCTTCCCCTTGGCAGCTGCTTGGAGCACCCTGGGCATGGGCAGAGTACTGGCCAGCCACTGTCAGAAAGCAGGAGCCAGAGGGGCCGATTTCTCCTGCTCTCCGCTCCGCACAAGCCACTGTTTGCAGCCAAGGATTGGCACATGCCCCTGACAACCGGGGCAACATGTGCCGATGGACGCTTTTCTCTGCAGAAGCTGTCGAACACCCTGTTCCAGATCACGGTGGTCTCTGCTCTGGGATCTGTCCAGTACGGTTACAACCTTTGGGTGGTGTATTCCCCCTCCGTGGTAAGGAATTCCCTGCGAGGCGGGGGGGGGGAGAGTACGGGGGCAGCAAGGAAGAGGCCGTCCTTCCCAACCCCCCTGATGTGTCGAGCTGCAGTCCCACCACTGCAGAGCACCGGGCTCGGCCATGCGGGGCGTCGTAGTCCCAGACCACCAAAACCCAGGCCTGGCAGTTTGCACAAAGTCCGTTCAAGCAGTGAAGTGGGGAGGGGCAGAGGCGAGGCTAGGGGGTGGCCCAATGTCCAGCGTCGCTTGAGCTCCAGACCCGGTTTTGCCGCCACGTAATGGCACAGGGAACCCCTAAGCGCAGCATCTGGCTGGTTCTGCTCTTAGATCATCCAGGACTTTTACAACCTGACATTCGACGAGAACTTGGACACGGTCGACGCGCAGTTCCGGATATTCATGATGAGCATCTCCATTAGTTCCCTCCCGGTCGGAGGCATAGTCGGGGCACTTCTGGTAGGACCCATGGTGGATAACTTTGGCAGGTATATAAAGAACAGAGGGAGCCTCGGGGACAGAAGGTCTTTGGGTCAGTTCCTGGCGCCTCCAGGTAAGGCTGGAAAACCTCCTGCCTCAATCCTGGAGAGTCGCAGACGGTCCATGACGAAGGCACTGGGCCAGATGGACCAAGGGGCTCAATGCAATTTAAGGCCATTTCAGACACTTTGATTTAAATGAGCCCTTTTTTTTCCTAAGCCATGAGGACTAGAAACTTAGGGAAAGGGCTGGAATTCAGTGGTGCTTTACGTGAGGAAGTTCCCGGCATCTCCAGGGAAGACTGGAAGGGATTCTTGCCTGATGCTCTTGAGAGTTGACACCAATCTGTGTTCGGCACCTTCCTAAGTTCCTAGGCCCTAAACAGATCGTCCTGAGGATGGAGAGGGAAGTATGGCTGCTTCTGGCCAGCAATACAGAAATATCTCCTCCAAGCAGTTTATACGTAATCTCACCCTATTCCTCTGGATCCTGTCTCCAGGGCATCATCTAACATTTCTCCCCATCTTAGATAATACACCATGGGAGAAAGCTCCACGGTCCCATCTTCAGCATCTCAGGCTAAATCCTTTGGCATCACAAGGCTGCCAAATCAAGTTTCTAGCCCTCATGGTTGAAATTGTGATCATGCTTGCTGATCCAGGTTCACCACACTTGCAGGTGGCAGTTTCAGTAATTCAGATAAGGAAAGCTGGCAATGCTCATGTTCATGGGACTCCTTATCCAATGAAGCTTTTATTTTGCACTTTATAGGAACTATCCAGGCAGTGAACCTCCCAGCTATGGCATGATCTCCCCACTGAGGCCCACTGGGTGACAACTTTGTCATCTTTTCAGCACCAGGTTAAAGAGAGCCCTTTATGCTAAGGCATGTAAGAACATAGATGGTGAAGGGACTCCCCATTCCAGATGGTTTCCTTCATCATATGCTGATTTAGCTGTTTTTAACATCCTTTTAAATATTTGCATTTGGAGGGCGGGGGCAAGTGGTGGAATTTTATTGTATTGCTTTTATAAGCTGCCATAGACTGCCCAGAGAGAATTTCAGCTACTGGAAATGAAAGACCAGAAATGAAAATAAAAGTACAGAAATGAAAATAATAACAACCAGCGGCAGCTATTTGGTGTTGAGGACCACAAACAGCCGCTGCACAGCTCTGACCAGAAGCTGCAAGGATTGGGCCCCACAGAGACGAGAATTACCCATTGCTCTTGGATTGGTTTGAGCTCTCCACCTCTCCCAGAGTTCCAGGCAACCACAAGAGACTGGCTTGGAATTCCTCTTGGAATTTTACTGCCTTTGCCCAGCCGAACAGCCCCTTCTCCTTTGTGCCCCTTCCCCGGCACCCTCCCCCACCCCCACGCCACTCCATGTCCCGGTCTTTTCAGGAAAGGCGCCCTAATGATCAACAGCTTCTGCTCCATTATCTCGTCCATGTTCATGGCCTCTGCCAACGTGGTTCATGGCACGCTCTTCGCGTTGTTTTCCCGCCTCCTCATCGGCATAACCATAGGTAGGTAAAGATGTGGTTCCGCGATTGGACTGACTGGCAGGGGTGCGTCTGTAAAGGTGCCCTGTCCGTCCTTCGTGTCCTTTGCCTGAGCTGAAGACACAGGCTGTCATCCAAAGGTCAGAGAAAAGCACCACCGGCGCAGCCGAATCTTTGAACTCTTTGCCACCGCCCTTCATGCTACGGAAAAGCCAAGCCAGTGCCTTCAGCCGTGACTTGGCTCTTTGGCAGTGGGAATTCTTGCAGCAAAGGAGTCAAGCAGGGCTGGCACCCTGCATATCTTTTCCACACACGGACCCCGAAAGAGAGAGAGAGAGAGAGAGAGAGAGAGAGAGTGTCTCGGGTTGGGAAAAAAGTAGTTTTATTCTTTGAACCTCTGGGAGGGCAGGTATGAACACGGAAAGCCCTGAGTGGCTGGGTTACCTGGAGGGCCGTCTCTTCCCATTTGTGCCTGTCCACACTCTAAGAATGTGCTCAGCAGGCCACCTCCAGGGCCCCCCACCAAAGGAAGTGGGGTGGGCGGCTCCGAAGAGGAGGGCCTTGTCAGGGGTGGCTCCCTGGTCGCAGAATGAGCTTCCCAAAGGGTCTTTCTGTCTGTGACTCTGGATTCTTTCCAATCCCCAGTGGAGACCGTCCTTTTCCCCTGGGAATTTTAGCCATGTGAGTTTCTATCGTTTGAAATCCTTTAGGGGAACAGCCCCATCACTCCCTGCCCTAGACGGAAGCCAGTCTCTAAAGCAACATGGCAGCAATCTTGGCATTTTATCTGGATGGCAGTTTCCAGCTGCCTCGATTAAGTGCCCAGGGAAGGGAGGGGAGGAGTTTGGCAGACTGGCAGAAATCGCTGTTGGTAGTCAGCCCCAGCCTCGTCCCCCCCCCAGCACGGCCCGTCCTGTCCCCCGTCCCCCCAAGGCTCCTTTGAGCTCCCAGAGAAGCAGCGGGCAGTTCTTCCTGTGGGACCAGGATGAGCGGGTCAGTCCAGGGCTGGAACCCCAACGAACCCCACACCTTCCCTTAGTGATGCCGCACCCTTTTGATATTTCCAGTCCGCGCATTGCCTCTAGGAAGTTACTCTGGCCATTGCTTCTACTTTATGTCGCCCTTTTAAATGTGCTTTCCGAGGCCTCATAAATGCCTCTCTCCAGCCCACAGAGCCGCTGCATTCCTCTAGGATATCCTGATGTGTGTCTGCATGCGACCATGAATAACCTCTTGGCTTTCTATCTAACCAGGCATATTCTCCAGCGCCGTCCCGCTGTACCTCGGAGAGATCTCCCCCATTAAGATGAGGGGAGTCATTGGCATGATGCCACACCTGTTTCTCACTATCGGTGTCCAAGTAGCACAGATCCTGGCTTTTCGGGAAATCATGGGAACCGCAGAAGGTAAATCCAACAGGTGCTTTCCTCAGCCCAGGGATGGGGAGACACATGGTTCCAGGGGAGTCCTTGAGGAGTGCTGGGCTTTGGGTGCTCTGTCCCAACATGAAAACCTTAAAAACACCAGCTTGCTGTAGCAGAGAGCTTGTGCTGTCCGGAATACTGCAGGGGGTTCAGCATTTCGGTTGGAGGGAGACTGCACCAGGGCTGGAGAGCCAGCAAACCGTTGGTGGTGCAGGAAGGAAGCGGGAAAGGGGTGGGCAGCCGTAACTGCGTTCCAGCCCAGCATTATCCTGTCGCAAAGCGGATGTGACCTCGCCACTAATGGTTGCACCTTCTTCCCAGGTTGGCCCATCCTGATGAGTCTCTCCGGGATACTGGCCTTATTTCAGATCATTATAGTCCCGTCCTTCCCCGAAAGCCCACGCTACCTGCTGATTCAGAAGAAAGATGAAAACCAGGCCAGGGAAGGTACCGATGCCAGACATGGGGTGATAATCACGGAAGTGTGGGTTAGTGCGGAAGCGCAGGTTATCGTGTTGTCTGGACCCCGCTGAGATAACAAGCCATGGCGAGCTTCCCTCAGTTCACAACCCAAGAACAAACCCTCGCTTTTTGGCATGGGTCGTTCACGATGCGTCGTTGCCTCTCGCCATTTTCACTGTTGTGCATTGCTCGGCAGGCCTGGGGTCGCTGGGGACTCTGGAGGTGTATATAGGATCCCATTCAATTTAAACTGTCTCCCCACAATTCCCAGCCCTGCAGGAGCTGAGAGACAAGAACGACGTGGAAGACGAAATGGAGGAGATCCGGCAGGAGGGGTTCGCCGAGAGGGCAGACAGGAATATGAACTCGCTCAGGCTGCTCTGCTACCCGCCCCTGAGGTGGCAGGTCGTCTCCATCATCGTCCTCATGTGTGGTCAGCAGCTCTCTGGCGTCAACGCAGTAAGCCAAGTGACCTCTGGGGCAGCTCAGCGGCTGAGCTCGGACCCGCCAAGAGAAAGGGCTCGGACGGGGAGTTTGTGTCTCTCGGCCAGGAGGCGAGGCCCAAGCCTGGGGCCGTTGCCCCAAGTTAGCCACCCTTGTCTACGCAGGAGGGCCTTCCGGGGTCAAGCCAGGCGCGTCTCTTTCCTGGCCTCCAGAGTCATTAATCAGTCCCTGTTGCATCCCAGTGCTTGTTCACAGGCCGGAATTTCTTGGTGCCTTAAGCCATCTCTCTGCACATGTAAGAAGTTCTACATACCCCAGCCTTCCCCAGCCACCCAACTCTCTCTCTCTCTCTCTCTCTCTCTCTCTCTCTCTCTCTCTCTCTCTCATTCTCATTCTCATTCTCATTCTCATTCTCATTCTCATTCTCATTCTCATTCTCTCTCTCTCATTCTCTGCCACCCCCTTTCTCGGCCTGAAGGTCCACCCAGAGTTTTCCAGCTCACTTTCCAGCAAAGCTCCTCCCAGAGGAAGGGCCCGTTCCAGGAATCTCGAAGTAGATCTGTTGCATTTCATTGCAGATATACTTTTACACCGAGAGAATCTACCAATCGATGGGGCTGGCCAAAGACGCCGTTCGATACATCAGTCTCTTCTCCACCACCGCCATCCTGCTGGCTATCATGTGCGGGGTAAGTGCATCTCGCCCCCCCTGCTGCCCCCTTTATTATTCATTATTTATTTGTTACAAATATTTGTATCCCGTCCTTCCGCATCAGCACTTACAGGACGGCTTACATAGTATAAAATTAAAATAATGCAATAACGAAACCACCATTATTAAAAGCATATCAACAGGACATGATCAACTAAAAGGAAAAGGGCAAAAGAACAGGAAATGGAGAATGCAACGGTGAAAGCAGAGAATAACAAATCTTAAAACATCTAGAACCCTTGATTATTAAAATGACGGTTCAATAGAAATGTCTCTACCTGGCGCCGGAAGGATATGGCCATGAGGATTCAGTTATATTAAGCAGTTTATAGATACTGCTCATAAATACAGTGAACTAAATAAATACATAAAGAGCGATATCCCAGTGGTGTTGAATCTCCTCCAGCTGGTGGGGGACATCCCATGAAGGAGAGACTCTCGGGGGCCGCATTCCACGGGTGGGCGGGGCCACAAGCAAAGGGGTGGGGTCAAAATGCTCGTCTCATTGCCCCTGGCAGTCCTAACGATCAATCCGTCAGCCGGAGGAAGGCACGATAGCCTTTTAGGATGGGAAAAGAACCCCTGCACACAGACAGGGGAGGGGGCGTGGCCCTCTAGGGGCAGCCCGGAGGGTCTTGCACCCCGGCCGTATCCCTCCGGCATCCTTTGCCCTCCAGATGTACGTCATCGAGACGATGGGGCGGAAGAAACTCCTCCTCATCGGCTTTGGGACCTGCAGCTTCCTCTGTCTTCTGCTGTCGGTGACCATCAAGCTTCAGGTCTGTCGTTTCAGATATTGCTGGGACTTGGGGCCTCACGGCCCTTGCTGGCCGGTCTGGGGCGCCCTCTTCTTTCCCCATATCACCCCCAAAGCGTGGCTGAATAGCCAAGTGCCGAGTTAGCCACGACGGGCTCTTTTAGGAAGAGGTTCCCGCTGAGGGATTTTTTCCTGCAAAAAGCATTTGGGATGGTTCACTCTTCCAAATTAAGGATGCCCTTGCAAGTGCCGATCATTTCTTAGGACAGGGGTCTCCAACATGCTGAGGGACCCCTCCCTCCGTGCCTTCCCTGCTCCCCAAACTTCTCATGGCTTCTATTTCTCAAAGTTTGTCTTGATGGTTTTTCTTCCCCTTGGGTGCCTAACTTGCTGCAAAGCAAAACTCTGCCCTGTTTCTTGGCGGGGGGGGGGGAATACGTATTTTGGGGTTCTAGAGCTCACTTAGATACATAGAAACAGAGCAGGTCAGAAGGGGTCTCCCGGGCCATCTAGTCTGACCCCCGGCTCCAGCCGGCTCCGCTCATGACATGCCCACCACATGCACGTCCAGCCTGTCCTTGAACACCCGCACCGACGGGGCCTCACCGACCTCCCGGGGAAGCCCATTCCACACCCTCGGGGTCCTGACTGCCAGGAAGTGCTTCCTGGCATCCAAACGGAACCTTCCAACCTTATCACTGCCACCTTGGTCCTGGGTTCTTGAGTGTGCCTTTTTTATTTCTGCTCCTCCACCTGGATTCTGGAAGAGGCCTGCTCTGTGACCGGTCCTGCCCAGCACCACAGCCTTAAAAAAAGCAGCCGTTCCGTGTGGCAGCCATTTTGCCCAAGCCCAGTGCTCCGAAGCCCCGACCCAGAAAGGTTGGGGACCCTGCTTTAAGATGAGGGACGCTGGACTTCCTCGCTCGAGCGTGACTGAAGTGCGACCCACTTTCTTCAACAGACCACGTTCAAATGGATCTCTTACTTCAACTCCCTTTTCATCAACATCTTCCTGATAGGACATGCCATGGGGCCCAGTAAGTTCTCAAACGGGTTCAGGGGCTCCCTGAAGGGAATACAGGAGACGGGTCACCTGGATAAATGCCTGACAGCTGATGCTCTGCACCTTTCTTTGGATATGAAGCATCCCACGGGCTTTTGGCCGACACTTGGTGCTTCCTACACCTTCCACCCGTTAGGGTACTGAGTTGTTGATCAGTCACCTGAACCGTCAGTTGACGATTCAGTAAAAGGAGAGGCAGGGGCTGCTGAGACTGTGTGTGTGTGTGTGTGTGTGTGTGTGTGTGTGTTCGGGGGGTGGGGTGTCTCATGGGTCTGTACAGGGGAAATGCCTCTCTTGAACCCGGTCTCCCCACCCACCAGGTGCACTTCCCAACCTGCTGATCACAGAGCTGTTCCTGCAGTCATCACGGTCTTCGGCCTACGTGGTTGGAGGGTTTATCCACTGGCTGCTCAACTTTTTCACGGTGGTGACGTTCATTCTGATACAGGTGAGCCGTTTTTGCAGGTGGCTTTGGTGATCGGTTCCGGGGCAAATCCCACCCTCTCCTTGCTGTGGACTCTCCTGTGCTGATCTTTCCTAATCGCAGAAGCTAAGCAGGGTCAGGCCTGGCTAGACTCTGGATGGGAGACTTGAGTGGCCTTCTAGGTCCCTTCCAGCTCTGTGATTCCATGAAAGCAAATTGGCTCCATGGAAGGGAAGTTCTCCTCCTCCTCCTAACTCTGTGCATGGTTGTGCCCCCATGAAACTGGGTAGAAACGCCGGCGAGCAAGAGGCTGCGGTGGTGAAGAGGAGGAGGAAGTCCAGAGGGCTTCCGTCAGTGCACCCCCCGGGCAAGTGCCCAGCTATGCCCGATCTTGGCGCCAGTCTGCCCAGGAGGACGCACGTGTGAGGAACAAGGAGGGCTCCCACGCTGTTCTCACGTCCTCTCTCTCTCTCTCTCTCTCTCTCCTATTTTTATTTTCAGCCATTCCTCGAGTCCTACACCTTTCTCATCTGCAGCCCTATCTGCATGATTACCTTTCTATATAGCTTCCAGATGATCCCAGAAACAAAGGGAAAGACCTTTCTGGAAATCAGCAGGCTTGTGCCGGCCTTCGTGGCCAGGCGGATGTGGGTGAAGGTGCAGCCGAATGAGTAGAGACCGGGAGGCCCTCCGCCGAGAGCTGATGTCATTCTCAAACGGGCAAGGCGTTGATCCTCAGAGAGACCGGACTGCCTTTCTCGGCTCTGTCGACGCACTGGTATTTAGGGATGTGCCGAAACAGGGCAGGCCGGGTTTCCTGAGCTCAGCAGCCAGACGGCCTGATCCGCTCCGAGGTCGACCAAGCTAGGCTTGTTTTGCGTGGACTTCTGTCTCTAAGACGGGCTGTGATGCGTGTATTAAAAAGTTGCTCAGGAAGCCTAGGCAAACGCAGGCAGTTTTTGTCAAGAGTCAGCCGCAGCCTGATTATGCGGTTCTTGCTTGGTTTACGGGGCTGTTCTTTGGGTGCTTGTTTGGTTCTTGCTTGGTTGATGGGGTTCTTGCTTGGATTATGGGGTCGTACTTTGGCTGTGGAACTGCAGGGGGTGCCGTGCCAGAGACCCAGAGAAGGGCTGGGAAGGGCTGGGTGCAAGTCGACGGGAAGAGTCTGGGTGGACCAGGTGCAAGCGGCCTTCGGTGGCCGCCCAAGTATGCCTCATCTGTGCCCCCTCCCTGCTCTTGGCCAAAGCCGGGAGTACACCCTGCTCCTCACACGGCGCTGCCCGGGTGTTTTCCAGGTTCTTCTTCCTGCTGGCACTGGGCAAAGGGAACTTCCCAAACAGGATGGATTGCCAGTACTCCTTTTCCGGCTCCGTGTCTGCGGGACATCCCAAACCCATCTCCCTGCCCCGGGGGTGTGTCACGGCCGGCCCTCGGCACAGTCCCCGCAAGCATGTTGTGCAACACCAACACTGCGGAAGGGTTTTGACAGGGAGTCCTAGTGGCCAGAGCCAGGATCCACCCAAAGCAGCTGAGAAGCAGAGAGGGGACGAGAAGCCTGGCTTAAAATTGCCCCATGGTCTCCTGGGGGTGAAAGCTTGCCGTTCCCAGGTCCAAGGGTTCAGAATCCACTGATTAACCCGTCCGGGTCTCTTGGGCAGAGCCAGAGTCCAGGCGTGGTTCGTACAGCCTTTTTCTCGTAGCGTTTGCTCACCCGTCCATTGCAAAGTTCGTTCCTCACAAGCAGAACCGGAGAAGAGCGTGGGAAGAGCCATGTCCCCAGGACTTGCACAGAGGTAAGTTGTGGAGGGGTTTATAGTGTCACCCCCTCCCCCCGTTTTGGCCCGGGTAAAATATTGCCGCGTGGAATGGGTGTCGAGCAGTTGTTTTGTCTCACGTGTTGTGCATTGTGGTGCAACGGGGGTGCTGGGTTCTTTGACAGCTGGGAATCTCTGACTCTTCTCGGGGGGGGGTCACATCCAGCGTAAAACAATCTTTTTTGGCCAAGAGTTAGAGAAATAGCTTGGAGCTGTTTGGATCTGAAGAGGAGAGTTGCTTGCTCAGGGAGACTGGGGTGCAGCGGAGCCCTGTTTGCTTCCGAAAGTTCTGATACAAGCTCTCGGATAGTGCTACCTGCTGAAGGAGTACCTTTGTTTAATCAGAAAAAAGTGTCTGGATAGGATACCGGTGGACTTCGGCTCCAGGGCACAATGCACCTGGAGCATTTCGAGCGTGGCATTTGTGGGCAAGGCCTCCGGTGGCTGGCACCAGACTGGCCTTTGTGCCGAGACTCTGCGAGGCAGGTGGGTCATTAAATGGACTTGCAATGCCCATTTTACAGACTGAGCAGTGGAGGCTAAAATATAAACTCCTCCAAGCAGTATTACTGATTTGTTTACTTTGGACTGGATCATCTCTGAGATCTCTTCTGACTTTATGATTCTGAATGTTTAAAGGGTAGGTTGCAGGCTTGGTTTTGTTAATTTCTGTGACTCATGGCTCGTCTGCCCCTTTCCTTTGTTTGAGTTTCATGGCCTCCAGCGATTTTCCCAGTGTCATTTGGGTGTTCCAACAGCCTCACAAAACGTATAGCTCAGTGGAGCAGTGAAATAATTTTAGACCCTGGACATAAAGGTCCTTTGGTGTTCCCCCTTATGACTATGGATACAATAGTCCATAGTCATAAAGTTTAGACAGAACAAAATAACTCCTAGGATCCCCAGATAGCAAACCAAGGTGAACAATCCACAATTCACGACTATGAACCATGAGTTCTGTTCATGGTTTATTTACCATTAACAAGCCACGGCCTGTTAGCAATGCTGCAGACAACACAATAACCCATGGTTCAACAACAACCTAGCTTGGGGCATGCTGGGAGCTTTTGGCCTTTTTCTCTCTAAACTTGCAAGGGACCTAACATCTAATTTAAAAAGAATCTTCTCTCTCTCCTCTCTGTCATTCCTTGATTCATGATTGTTTCTACTTTCCTGACTAATAGAACAAACAAAACTATTTGCTTGCCCTGATTTAAAGGATGGAAGGAAGGAAGGAAGGAAGGCTCTGAGCATTGCATAGTTTTGAATTTTGACTCCACCGAATCCACAGCGCTATTCACTTCATCTGTATACTAGATTCTCTGGACAGTTTGCGAAGTGTAAACACCAGTAATGCATTAGCTGATCCTCTAGGAGTTTGTCTAAGCCCTTTAAAATATATCTGTGGCCACCTCTGGATTGTCCAGAAGTGAAATCTGTCCAAGAAGTGGAGAAGCCCCTTCCTTTAATCTCTGCCAAATCTTCTACTCATCAGCTTCATGAGAAAAAATGAGGAAAAAAATGTCAATTTTTGATGACAAAAAATGTCTCCCAGCCCAGGTTTCCCCGCTGTGCTTAATTTTGTACACTTCTACTATGTCGTCCAACAGAATCTGGACAAGGTTGTCCTAACCCAGCACGCCTCTTTTGACGTCTGTATGTTGTTAAACCTCCTTTTTGAGTACATCCAGGGGTCCACAGGGGACTGGGGACAGTTCCAGGTACAAGATCCAAATGGTCTGACAATGAGGTCTGAACCTCTGAACAAGTTGGTCAAGCAACCAAAAATCGTTTTGTGGTAACGGGTGAATTTCGGAAGTCATTGCCAACTATCCCACCTTATCAGCAGGCCTGGCAGTTTTGCAGGCTCCTAAACTGCTGCAAGTGCCTGCCCCAAAGACAATACAATCAGAATGTCAACAGTGTGGAAAACAAGGGGTGGGAGCAAAGGAATGGGAGAGGTGAAGGAATGCAGTCAAACACTCTTAAGCTTTCTTTTAGTTTATGGGAAGCTGGAGGCTTAAAGGATTAAGATAAAGGCATCCCAGAAGAATGTGGGCTTTCAGGAGGAATTTAAGGGTGGGGGGAGGTGGCTCAGGTAGATAAGAGTTCTAAGCACAGAGGAAGCAAAAGATTATGGGTAAAGCACCTTAAAGCTGCAGGTAGAGGAGCTGTAATTCAGTTTTGATAAAGGAGTATCATTTGGAAGGTTCTCCAGCCAAAACCTCAGGATCTCCAGCCACAAAATCCTAAAATCTTGCCAGTGCATGGAATGCTGATTGACGCAAAATGCAAAGTTTGTCCTTGGGATCTCAGAATAACTATAAGACGCTGATTACCTATCATTTTTCCCTGGCCTGTATTTCAATTAACTCCTGTTTATGGCCAGCAATTGCTCTCTGATGGTGTCCACAGAGTGCACAAGGAAGCAAGTTTGGCACCGGGAAGTTGCTGTCTGTGTGTAAATTGCTCGTGGTTATGAAGCAGTAGCATCTTAAAGGATTACGTTATATAAATCAGTGCACCATAGAAAGGGCAAAGAATACTCTGAAGTTTTCTTCACATGTGGATACTTGTTCTGCCTGTCAGCTGTGCGGGGATTCAGCTACCTGGGCCAAGATGTCTCCGAAGTACCATATTAATCTATGCAAGAACATTGCTCAAGTCTGAAGGCTTTCGCTCCCTGGCCTCCCTGCATCATGGGGTACAAAGGCACAAGATTCATTCATTCATTCATTCATTCATTCATTCATTCAACTTCTGCTATACTAGTCTGAAGACTCTCCAAGCAAATTACAATATTGCATAAAATAACAATAATAAAAACAACATACAATAAAACAGAGAAATATGCAAGAGACAGGGCTCTCTTGGTGGTAGCCCCCAGAATATGAACTTGTCTCTCAGGAGAGATGTCCCAGCCCCTTCATTCCCCACTTTTCAGTGGGTCCCCATCCCAATTTTTTTCCCCAGGGCATTCCAAATCAAGGAGAGAGTGAGCCATAAAGAAGTATGTAAATATTATTGATCAATACATAAAACAAGCTTTATTTGCTTGGAACCTCTCGCTGCTTTTGGATCACAAGGAACTTAATATGTCATTTCTACAACCCGTTGCTTTGCTTCATTGAAGAGGAAAGCTACCTTGAGTACCCTGGATTTTAAAAGGCAAAGTATAAATTGGTGGAAGAAGAAAGCAAAAAGATGGGAGGAAAGAACAGAAAATAAGTGTATTGTGCTTGATAATTGGAAGACACCATGATGAGGAATTAAGTGCCTGGCAGAGACCTGTTAGGTTAATTGCTATGAGAAACCTGTAGGGTCTCTGCCAGCTACCAGGGGCTGTGAAATTTAATTGGGAGAGCTGGGCCTTCTCTCCCTCTCCTCCTCCCCCAGGAAAAGGGGCTCATGCGCATTCACTGACAGCCTCTGCAGGAGGAGAGAGGAACTGGGTCGAATCCACGGCAAGGAGCGATTCTCACTGGGCCCCTGCTGGCTTGTGGGGCACCGGCAATGTTGGGACATGTTTATGCCCTCCCGAGAAGGACCCATTCCCTCTTTGCAAGAACTATGATGCAGCCAGAAGGAACGCTGGTCTTGGGCCGCGGAATGTTTTGAGTTTAGTCCACACAGGACAAGCAGTGCCGGATCTTTGGCACACAGCCCACAGGGCACAATTCTAGAAAAGCGTCCGGATAAAGTCCATCCAAAGATTATTTGTTCCATTGCTTAGTTATTAATGGAGCTGTGTTGTGACAGGCAGGCCTTCAAAGCTTTCTGAAGTTCCTATTAGGCAAGAATTAGTTTGCTCTGGAAAAGTTCGGGAAGGGGTTGTCTTTCATTCCTTGGGCAATATTTAGAAAACAAAAATGGAAAGTTAACAATCCAAAAAAACCCAGGATAGTTTTGTTGCCTTCCTGCTTCTGGGAAGCTGCTTGAATCAGGGCTCAACCCAACATCCCTGCCCTTGCTTAAAGACTCAGCCACGGTGGTGGGAAAGCTTTGCTACTTGGTTCTGCCAAATGTTCACACTTTCTTTCCTGCCTCTCTAACTTAGGAGGGGGGAAGAGTAAGATGTGCTGATTCTTTTCCTCCTCCTCTGAAATCACCTCTCACACACATTCCTGCCATTTTCCATCATCTTAAGGGCTAGAAACCTGACTGTGGTTTTGATTACAGTTTCTTTATGACCTGAATTTTGTGAAGTCTCACCAGCACGCATGCACGCACACAGCCCTCTGTTCCAGAGCATATGTGAAACATACATAGCTCTAATTATTCTGCAGAGACTTTACATAGCATTTCTTTGAAAGGGAGTGATGCATTTTGCTCAGACGTGTGAGCCATCTTTTCTCCTTTTAGGTAAGAGCTTTGCTTGAATTGGCTCAGAAAAGCCATTGAGTAACCAGCTGGTCAGTTGTGCCTGGGGCTTGAAAATGATTCCCTTTGGCAAATACAGAACAAAGCTAAGGAAGAAAGGAGAGAAGGAAAGGCAACTCTGTTTCAATGCTGTGGTAGCATTAGGGTTGTGGAAACGTTCGCCTTTTGGAGGGGTCCTCAAATTTAGGCTGAGAATGATAGGAAAGTCGAGCTCACTGGGAAAGCACAGATCTACAGAGATCTTTACCAGTCAACATTTTATTTTCCTCCAGTGTGTTCTGCCAAGGAAAGCAGCAGGTGCTCCCATTGAATAACAGAATTGCAGCACATGCAACTAGCAAAAATCTGTCCGGATAGCCAGTGTTACCAGTGCTTTGAGCAGGATACTGGGAGCTGGGCAAGCCAGGTCATGGTACCCGTTTGCCTGTGAAGCTGACTGGGTGGCGTTGGGCCAGTCACGGACTCTCGGCCTCAACTACCCTCTTCATAGGTTCTCAAGGAACAAGTTTTTTAAATTTGAAAGGCCACTGCAAAAAGAGATTATTTTGACTCCGTGCTGCCATCTTATTTTCTTGGGGGTTGGGCATGCTAAAGTCAGGGTGTTCCTGCGGAGAAGCTGCCTGCAAACGCTTCTTTCCTCTGTGGGTGGTACCCAGAGAAGGCCTCTTCTGAAGATCTTTATTCCTGGCCAGGACAAAATGGGAGGAGGGTCTCCTTCAGGTATTTGACCCTCTAGCCATTTAGGGCTTTAAAGCGGTTTACTAGCACCTTGCATTTTACTGCCTGGGATACTTTTGAGTCATTCAGATTATCGGGTCAGATCAAGCTGGGAACAGAGGATTTTTAGGTGGGGCAGCAAAATATGAGTGAGCGCACCCTTGTATCTCCATGCATTCAGGTGCATACATAAATTAGAGGTCATTCCCTGAACATCGGGAACATTTCTTTGGGAGCTGGAGTGCTGGACTGGAGCAGGAATCGGAGTCTCAGCCTGAAGTAGGGCAGCTGTAAGTACAACGGGGGGATTTGGGGTTTTTATTGTTTTATTATGAGGTTTATAGCCTGCAAAGAATACAAGGCAGTTTATATGACCCTCCTGCATTTTATCCTCACAACAACCCTGTGGGGTAGGCGAGGCTGAGAGTCCGGACTGGCCCAAAATGAGCTTTAGGGCTAGGTGGGGACTCGGCCCAGCTCTCCTGCATCTCAGTCCAGCACCCATCCAAGACTCTGTGTTGGCTGTCGCTGGGCTCCTCGGAAGAAGAGTGGGACAAAAACAGAACCAGCCATTATCTGTTTAGGGGAATCTTCCATTTCCCCTCCTGACCTAGGGGCTGGAGAATGCTGGCTGCCCCTCCTCAAGCGCTTGGTTGCTGCTTGTTCCGTGTTGCTAGGCAACTGTGCCCACCCTCCATCCATCCTGAAGCTCCAGGGCTGTATAAGGAAGAGGATGATCAAGGGATGCAGCATATTCTCGGTCGCTGGGCAACTGCAGGGTCCTTCCTGCATCCCCCAGAATATTTCCCAGGCCCGCGTCCTTGCTGTTTCCCCTCGACTGGAAGCAGTGCCTCCACCGCCTGGCATCTTCAGTGGGGCTCCTCATCCAAGGCAGCTTCCGTTTGGAGTTTGATCGTTGCCATCCACAGTGGCGAACCTAGCTGGCAGGTGGAGTTCAGCACCTGTGCAGCTCAAAAGACAAAATGCAGTGGGTGAGGCGGTGCAGGACCAAGCACCCTTTCCTGTCCAGATGTTTTGGACGGCCGTAAGATCTGGGGCTGACAGCTGGAAGTCCAGGCCATCCCGCCCCTACCAGGTTCAAGCGGCCATCCCAGAGGGTTTTGACAGCGGGGCAAGAAACCTGTGCTAACACTTTTCCCGAGTGAAACAGCAGATGAGGAGCGTGGAGTTGAGCCGCTGCACGGCCGTGCGGGCTTTCTCCTGTTGGCGTTCCAGATGTTGGGCACTTCGGCTTCCGGCCGTGGTGGCCAGTGCGGAAAGATGTCCTCCAAGGCATCCGGCAGGCCCCATGCTAGTGAGTTGGAGGATTCCCCGCTGGAGAGCCATATAACCATCCAAAGGATCAAGTCATTTCCGTCTGGAGAGAGAGGGAAGTTGTGGGCAGGGGCGGGAGGGGGAGGCGAAAGAATTTATTGCCCCCTTGTCATCCTGGCTGGGCCGCATCCTTTGGTCTTTCCTGCCTCGCTTCCTGGCCGCCCGCGTGAGGCCGGCCTGAAAGACACAAGCGTGGGAAAGAGGCATCCCGTTTGAAACCGCCTGCCCCACGGCCCCACGCCCGCCGGGCCCGCTGCGCAGCGGATCGCCCTGGCCTTTCCAACATGGGTGCTCGCCCCGCTGGCGCGCACGGACACGCGTCGCCCCTTGCGCACGCCCAGGCGCGAACCGAGCTCGGTTTCCGTCCGCTGCGTCGCCCCGGGGTGGCCGGGGGGGGGGGCGTGCGCCCCCCGGGGCACAGCGAGCGGGGCCCGGGTCTTGCTCCCGGGCCCGGGGCCGCGCGCCCTGCCTACGTGCCGGAGCCGCCCGGCCGGGGAAGCCGCGCGGGGTCAGCGGGGTCAGGCGCAGGCCGGGCGCTCTTGAGATGCAAATGCCCGCCCGGCCCGGCCGGGGCGCTGGCTGCCGGGGGTCACGTATGCAATGCCCGCCGGGCGCGCCCCCCCCCCCGTGCGAGGCGGGCATTTCCTGGCGGGGGGGGCCGAGGGGGATATATAGCCGCGGAGGCCCCGCTCCGCCGCCCACCGCTCCGGCGCGCTCCTCGGCTCGGCTCGGCTCCCAAGCCGCGCTCCTCGCCCACCCGCAGGTAAGGCCCGGGGCCCGGGGCCGCTCGGCTCCGCCACCCGCTGCTCTCCGCCTCAGTCCCGGCGCTTTTCTCAAAGGCGCGCAGAGCCGGAGTGTGGCTGTGGTTGCGGTGGTGGTAGTTGTGGTTGTGGTGGTCGGCGCGATCCTCGTTTCCAAACCGCCTAACCGCTAGAGCGCTCTGGGCGGTGCGCGTCCCAAATTTTGGAGCGGAGCGCGGGTGGCTGGGTGGGTTCTGCTCGTATCCCACCTTTCTTTCCTAGCTTGGCTCTCCCCGCAGCTCACACCTTTCTCCTGCGCTAACCCCCATCCTCGCAACCACCACCCAGCGAGGGGAGATGGCGAGGAAGCCGGGATGCTGAGCAGTGGGAGGGGGCGGGCGAGAAGGGGCCCTTCTCATTGAGATCTAGCAGCTCGAACTTTTCTGTTAGGCGCTTCCTTCACTGGACGGCGCCCGCCACTTCGTGTGTCCACAGGGCCTTCTTCCCCCATGTGCGGCATTGTGCAGGGGCAGCCGCTTGGCCCTTTCTGTTCGAAACACGTGTGCGCCATTCTCACGGGCAGGCGCGAGGAAAGAACCTGGGTGGTGCAGGCTGTGAACTGGCAGCCATCGCTCCGGGTCTCAAGCGGTGCGAGAGATCCTTGCCCTCCCCAGGGTTCCTGAAGGAACGCCACCCCAGGCTCCTCTCCATCCCTTTCTCCTTCCCCAGCCCCTTGGCAGCGAGGAGGCAGCTTTATGCAGCAGGCGGGGGAAAGCGCACGGCTCCTCACAGCCTGGGTCAGAGGACGGGCTGCGGAGCGGCGGGCGAAGCCAGACTGGCTCGGATTTTCAGGGAAAAGGTCTCAGGGTTGCGCCTGGGCATCTCCGGTTCAAAAATACCAGGCGATTGGAGGCTTAACACAGATTCCATGTTGCATGCGTAAAGATCACCAACTCCATTGCACCCAGTGCCCTGTTTCCAACAGGGGCAGCTTGGAAAGCCCCAAGAATGGGCTATAGGCTGTATGATTTTAAAATATTGTAAGCCGTCCTGAGATCTTGTATAATAAGATGATATACAGTGGAGACCCAGTGTGGTGTAGTGGTTAAGAGTGTGGGACTGGGACTCAGGAGCTCTGGGTTCGAGTCCCCGCTCAGCCATGGAGCCAACTGGGTGACTTTGGGCCACAGACTCTCAGCCCAACCTACCTCACAGGGTTGTTGTTGTGGGGATAAGATGGAGGAGGAGAATGATGTAAGCTGCCTTGAGCCCTTTGTAGGAAAATGGCAGGATATAAATCCAAAATAAAAAATAAATACAAAAGCGAATAATAATAGGCAGTCATTTTACGCCCAGCATTGCTCCCCAACTATTGAAACTGATATTCACTGGAAGACTGCTCCTAAGCCTGGATGATCCATTGAGCGATGGGTGCTGGTAGATTTATGATTTTTTCTTCTTGACTTTTCTAACCTCTTAAAGGGTCTCCATCTTTTATGTAAAGGGGTTTTAGCCCTTAATGGATTTGTGAGGCTTATTTTGTAAATCATCCAGAGAGCTTTGCTATTAAACAATATGCAATTGTTGGTCATTTTAGATTTATTATTATAAGTCATTGTAAATTATTATAGATTTCTAATGATCATTTTTAAACAATTATGCCAATTTAATTATTGTCTGTGAGATGCCTCTTGCCCAAATATGACCCCTCAAAGGAACTTAGTTAAAAATTCCAAAAATTTAGGACAGAACCCTATCTGGTTTCAGTAGAAAAAAGAAGTCCTACAATTCCCATCATCCCTGACTGGAGCATACTGGAAATTGCAGGTCTTTTCTCTCAACATGCACAGGACTGTACCTCTAATTTTTTTATTTTTTTTATTTCAAATGTTTTTGAAGCGATTTGAATACCTGCTTTCCAATAGCCCATCCAACCTTAACTTTGAAATAAACCCTGGAAAGTTGATGAACTCTTTTGCCCACTGAAGAAACAAAACTGAGCACACTGGCTGTGATTTGTTCTTCTCTTTCTTTTTTTAAGACATCCCCAGCACCCACCCTCCCCAAACCTACATCAGGGGCCGTCCTTTGCTAGGGTCAGTTCACGAAAGCACAGGGAAAGCACAGGGACAATCGCGTGAACTGAAGGTTTGTCTCCAGCCAGGTAATTCCCTGACCACATACGCCCGTCTGGCGGCGTGGCTCGTCCCACAGCACCGCTGAGACTATTTTCTTTCGTTATTGCTCAATCCGGCTTGTTGCACGGAGTGACCAGCTTGGCAGCAACCCTCTTCTGGAGCGGCAGTAAAGCAACACTTCAAAGCTGAGCCACCGAACACGAGAGAGCGAGGCTGAATGTGAGCCCGTAAAGCCGCCTGAAGAAGAGGCAGAAACTTGGTCCACAGAGTTGGCTCTGATGGACCAAGCCCTCCAGCATCTTGGGGCAGAGCGGGGGCTTTTTCCTCCTAGTCTGGCAAGCTGAGATCCTTTTCAACTGGCAATTGGACATGGAAACTCCTGTGCGCCAAGCAGGTATCGTGCCGCAGAGCAAGTTCCACGGACGGCCCGAGAGAGGCATGCAGGACCTGGGAAAATTCAGAAAGCAATACTGGGTGATAAAGTATATTATTGTTGGATGTCAGCAACTGTACTGACAGTGTATTTATCCAGATACGCACACCTATTCTTTCCTTTTCGGGTCGTTGCTGTCCCACTGCTACAGACAGAAGAATCCAGCTTCCTGGGAGCAATGAGGACTGGTGAAGATCCCAGAGGGCAGGAGACCTGTGAAGCCAAGAAAGGGGTGAGTGTCTGATTTATGTCGCTTATCGCTTTCGGCCAAGACTGGGGAGGGCAACCCTGGGAGAACTTTCCCAAACACAACACAGAGAGCATTCTCAGCCGCTTCTCAGGGAGCTTTTTAAAGATTTGGGGTGGAGGTGGCGTGGTCCTTGCAAGATGGAAGTTTAATTGATTTCTTTATTAATACATTGTACAAGCTGCCTTTTCACAAATGGTTCTGCAGTAGCGAACAGCTGAAACAGAACCAAGAGACCTCTCTTAAAATGGCATCATGACCATATTAAAGCTGTTACTATTTGAAAGTGGCTGGATTTAAGGTTTGGGAACAGTCCCTCTCTTGCAAGATTTGGGTCCTTCAAGTAGGAATGGAGTTCATAACCTGTGTAAAGGGACTTCACAAAGGGGTGCTGTGATATGCAGAAAAAGGCAGGTATTAAAAGAAAAGGCAGGAAAACATCTGAAAGTCTTTTGGAGACCTTTTTTGGAATATGTTTTAATAAAAGGAAAGGAACCACCACAAGAGTCAATGCAGTTCTGGGAAGGATGTGGAGCAACATGAATGATTAAATGGTTTTACATTAAGTAACTAGAGTTGTTGGTCCTGCTGGAGGTAGCACTGATATTTATGTATTGTTTAATTACGTTCATCAGGAATGTTTAACTATGATTATTGTTAAAAGAGTAAAATAAAGGAAAAGGCAGTGGAGCTAGGGCACTGCGAGGGGAGGAAATAGCACTGGATAGCACTGCATTCTGGGGTGTGAAATGTTTGTGGTCTTTCACACACTTGAGGTTTTGCTTTCAGCATCCTTTAGCCAAGGATTTGGGGCACGGATCTCAGGCCGCAATGCAGGTATGCAGTGGTGAGTGTTGAACTCGGGAGACCCGGGTTCTAGTCCGCACTCAGCAGTGAAGCTCTGGGAGACTCTGGGGAGGTCCTGGACTCCCAGACCAACCTACCTCGCAGGGTTGTTGGGAGGATAAAATGGAGAGGAGCACTTTGTAAGTTGGCTTGGGTTCTGTGCAAAACGAGGCATGGTGGAATATAATGTCAAAATAATTCTAGAACAGATCATCAAAAAATAATACAATTGTATACAGCATAAACATTCTGACATACAGAATTTGAAAGTTTTAAAAAATTTATTTATTTATTTATTTATTTTATTTATTTATTAAAACATTTTTATGCCGCCCCATTCGCCGAAGCCTCGGGGCGGCTTACAACAAAAAATTTAAAATAACATTTTAAAATATATACAATAAAATACAAATATACACTATAAAACAAGCCGCCCTGGCCAAATAAAATTCAATAATATTAACATTTAAAATACTGCTTAAATAAAAAGGTCTTCGCCTGGCGCCGAAAAACAAATAACGACGGCGCCAGGCGGACCTCTCTGGGGAGCGCATTCCATAACTTAGGCGCCACCGCTGAGAAAGCCCTCCTCCGAGTAACCACCCTCCTAACTTCTTCCATGGAGGGCTCCCGGAGAAGGGCCTCTCCCGCCGATCTCAGGGGGCGGCTGGGCATATAAGGATGTAAGCGCTCCTTCAGGTAACCAGGACCCAAGCCGTTTAGGGCTTTATAGGTCATAACCAACACCTTGAATTGGGCCCGGACTTCAATGGGAAGCCAGTGAAGCTGACGGAGAACTGGAGTCATGTGAACATAACGTCCAGTCCCCGTCAGCAGCCTGGCAGCTCTATTTTGGACCAATTGAAGTATCCGGACCGTCTTCAAGGGTAGCCCCACGTAGAGCGCGTTGCAGAAGTCCAAACGGGAAGTCACCAACGCATGTGTCACTGTCGCAAGGCAGTCATTCTCCAGATAGGGGCGCAGCTGATGAATTAGCCGAAGCTGGAGGAAAGCACTCCTCGCCACTGCTGTTACCTGAGCTTCCAGTGAAAGCTCTGGGTCGAGGAGCACTCCCAAGCTGCGGACCTTGTCCCTAAGAGGGAGTGCAACCCCATTCAGGACAAGGTTCAATTCACCCTCTCCGAAGCCCGATCCACCAACCAACAGGACCTCCGTCTTGTCTGGATTGAGCTTCAGTTTATTGGCCCTCATCCAGCCCATTACCTCGGCCAGGCACCGGTTCAGCACAGCCACTGCCTCACCTGGATTGGTGGAAAACGAGAGGTAGAGCTGGGTATCATCAGCGTACTGACGTTTTAAATGGACTAAACAATATCCCTTTTGAAAAATAAGCACTGCAGCGCTTCTGGAATGGTTTTAGCAGGCCGACCCCTTTGCTGACCCCCCCCCTGTCTTCCTGCCCGCAGCGGATGACGCTTATGCTTGCCCTGGTGACCCTTGTCGCTGCCTTTGGCTCCTCTTTCCAGTATGGTTACAACGTCTCTGTGATCAACTCTCCCGCTCCGGTAGGTTATGCAGAAATAAAAGGGGCAGACAGAGAAACACTTCCAATTTCAAAAGAGTTTTTCCAAAACACTGCAATGGTATTTGCATTTTATTATTGTTTGGTAGCCTCTTTATTTAAAGGTGCAATCCTGCACATGCCTAGTCAGAAAGAAGGCCTATAACTGCTAGCAAGCCCAGCTTGAACACCCTTCGGCCCATGTTCCCCAGCAACTGGTCTACACCAGTACTTGAGGTTGCATGTAGTTATAAAAGGACTAGTAAGCACAGATTGAGGTTCAGGATTTGAAGCTCCCCTGGTTAAAAGACTATGGTTAGGGTCACCTTGAGTTCTGCGATGGAAGAAAGATTAGACTGAATACAGAAGACAGACAGACAGACAGAAAAGGACGGATGGACAGACAGGCAGCACAGACGGACGGACGGACGGATTCTGGTCCATTACTTTTTCACATCCCTGGAAGGTGTTGAAAACAGTCCAAATGGAGCAGGCCCTGATTATTTAGATATTTATTATATTTATACCCCACCTTTTTCCCCTCCAAGGACTAAATATTGCTGCCGTTTCAGTCACTTGTCTCCAGCTTGGTGTTCTGCAGATACCTTGCACTTCAGCCTCCATCAGCCCTGGCCTACATGCTCAGGGATGATGGGAATTGTGGTCCAAAATATCTGGGACAACATGTATAATCGATCTATCGTGAGCAAGCCTCTTGCCTCTTTCTCTTCCCAGTTCATGCAAAATTTTTACAACGAGACCTACAAGGACCGGTATGGGAAATTCATGGACAGCAGCTTAGTGACGGCCCTCTGGTCTCTCTCGGTGTCTTTCTTCCCCCTCGGAGGCTTCTTTGGATCGCTTATGGTTGGCCCCATGGTGAACAAATGCGGCAGGTAATTGCCAAAAGACAAAACTGCTGACGGGGTGTGAAGCCGAACAGGGGGCGTCCCGTCCCGGTCGTGTGTGAGATTGTGGGACAGCCGTTTGCAGAGCTGTTTCTCAATAACACAACCTGCCGTGCACGGCACCCGCACGGGGCTCTCCGTGGCCCGCAACCAACGCTTGCGTGTGGCCGCTGGGCTTCTTCGGGCGGGGGCACGCGGTCCACAGACAGGGCGTTGACGCCGTCGCCTCCCTTGCAGAAAGGGCACCCTGCTGATCAACAATGTCTTCTCCATCATCCCCGCCATCCTCATGGGCAGCGCCAAGGTGGCAAAGACCTTCGAAGTCATCATCCTGTGCCGCATCATCATTGGCATCTGCGCCGGTAAGCGGGATGCCGCAGGTGGCTGGCTCACGGGCTCGTGCATGGGAGCGCCCTGGCCTTCCCTGCAGGGGTGGCGGATTCTGTCCCGGGCTGCCGGCGTGCTCAGGAACCAAAGGCAGGCAAGGCTGGGCACGTCCCCAGGGGCCCAGGGGCCCACCGGGGCTGGTTTCCCTTCCTCCGCATCATCGCAACCCAAGCTGCTTGCGCTTCTTCCAGGGATGGTGGGAGGAGAAGAGGAGATTCTGTGGTCTCCTTGCCCACTGGCTCTGTCAGGCAAGCGACTGTAAAGCCTATCATCCCCAGCCGGCAGGGAACTGCATCTGGAGGACACCAGGTTCGGGAAAGGCTGAAGCAAGCATAGTGCAGCTTTTCCCGCATCTGGAGCCACCTATATTGTGCCGCTTCTTTCCTTTTTAAACCAGGGCTGTCTTCCAACGTGGTCCCCATGTACCTCGGAGAGATGTCTCCTAAGAACTTAAGGGGCGCTGTGGGGGTGATGCCACAGCTTTTCATCACCATCGGCATCCTGGCCGCTCAGATCTTGGGCATGAGGATGGTCCTGGGGAGCGCTGAAGGTAAATCGAGCTTTGCAGGGATTTAATGCAACTGTTTCAGAAAATCGGCCTTGGAAAAGGAGCGCCAGAAGACCCCTCTGCAGTCTCTGTCATCCTGTAACGGTCTCAGGATGGTTCTTGGGCGCAGACTGTCCATCTCTGCCTGCTTAGTGAGGTTCCTCTCTCTTTCGTTGCAGGTTGGCCAATACTCCTGGGTCTCACGGGGGTCCCTGCAGCTTTGCAACTGATTCTGCTCCCCTTTTTCCCTGAGAGTCCCCGGTATTTGCTGATCCAGAAAGGAGATGAGGAGGGCGCCAGGGCAGGTGTGTACAGTGCCTGCTCTTCCGGCACCTTAAACCCTTCTTCTTCTGCTCAAGTCATGAGATGATGAAATGTGAACCTCACATCAGTGGATTCCTATACATACACAGGGGTGAAGAGGGGTGAAACTGAAGCTTTTGTGAGGGGGAACTGAAAGGCAAGAGGTAAAGATGATATGAACAGTAATTCACAAAACATAAATTTCCTGCATTCTAGGAAATTGCTGCTGCTTTTTGCAAGCTTTGCTTTAGCTCAGGGTCGGTGCTAAGGACCCAAAAGATCGGGCTCAGGCCCACAAGGCAAAAAAGGCACAGGTTCTGCATTTCATATTTTACAAACACCCTAAAGTTTATCTGTGTGTACATTGTTAAAAACATCCTGTCTCTGAAAGACCCCGTTTCTAAAAAATATCTGGACGAGCAGGAAGATTTGGAGGTGCAAGAGGTCTTTGGACAAAACGTGATTAATCCTGGAGGACTGGGTGCAGGATCCTTGCTTCTTTATTTCAGCAACTGCTCTTGGACAGCAGGGCCTCGCTGAGATTTGATGCTCCAGCCCCATGTTTTGCCCCCCAACTTCAGCCTCTGCTTTAGCTGTTTGTCCCTTGCAAACCACGAGGCATCAAGAAATGAAAACGTCACAGGTGGCCAATGGGAATGGGTTGCTACAGGGCATGTGCGATGTCTTCAGCCATTTCTCTGTGCTTCTTGCCCTTTGATTTTTGTCTTTTCTTCCCATCCAGCCCTGAGGAAGCTGCGAGGCAGGGACAATGTGGAAGACGAGATGGAAGAAATGCGGCAGGAAGACCTGGTGGAGAAAGCTGAAGGGCGCATGTCCGTGCTGACCCTGTTCACCTACCAGGGCCTCCGATGGCAACTGATCTCTATCATAGTTTTGATGATGGGCCAGCAGCTTTCCGGAGTTAATGCGGTAAGTAAAAGCTGTGGATTTTTAGTCGGAAAGAATCTTGGAGGTCATCTAAGCCATCCCTTGGTTCAGTGTGGGAACTGCCTTCTTGAGCTCAAGTGTTCATCATCTGCTCCAGCAGCCTTCTTTCTCAGGCTGAAGAGCAAGATGTAAACAATTTAATAGAATTGTTGAAAGGATGTCTCTGAGGTCACCTAGTCTGACCCCGTGCTTGATGCAGGCACTTAGTACAGTAACAACACCCATGACGGGTGACCTCCAGCAAAGGAGAACCCACCCCTTGCAAGATCACCTGCTCAGCTGCAGGACAGCGCTCCCTGTTAGGAATTACTCTTCTAATGTTCAGCCCAAATCTGCTTCCCTAGCCCTAAATGTGCCCCCATTCGAATTTTTGGTCCTGTCCTTTGGAGCAACAGAGAGGAACATCTCCATGATGGTTTTTCAGATATTGGAAGGCTGCTTCCTTTAATCTTGTCTTTTGCAAGCGAAACTTGACTCAGGCTGTGTGTAGGGCCCTGCTTATCCACTGGTACCTGCTTATCCATTGGTACCAATGGAGGGCTGTTTGGCTAAATTGAATTGCTCTCCAAGGGGGCATGATTCTCCAGGTGGGCTGCACCTGGAGACCAAAGCACTACCCACCCCAACGCTGCTCCCTGCAGAGCACTCGATCATAGAATAACCTTTTCACCATTCGCGATAACCGAGGGCAAGGCGCAAATACACCGCAGAACTTCTTTTTATTAGTCCTGTTTTATGGGTTGTACAAGGAATTAATTGGCTGGCTTCACGTCCCGAGGCATTTAAATACATCCTGGCAAATATTTCCATCTGGCAGCCTTCTGACTACACGGGTATAGGGATGCCTCTCTTTCCAGGGTAACTCAGTGCCCTCTTGGGTCCCATTGCAGGTTTACTACTATGCTGACAGAATCTACGAGAACGCGGGTGTGAAACAGGACCATGTGCAGTTCGTCACCGTCGGAACCGGCACCGTCAATGTGGTCATGACTCTGATCGCGGTACTGCCACCAGTTCGATCTCCGTGTGGGAGAGAGACATCCTAGTCAATGCCCTCAACCTAGTTCCCACCAGAGGTTTTGGACATCAAGTCCCATCAGCCCCAGCCAGCATGGCCATTGGTCAGGAATGCTGGGAGGTGGAGTCCAAAGCCTTTAGAGAACACCAAGCTGGGAAAGGCCGTTGATTTTTTTAATACTCTAGGAACATCTGTAGATGAAAATTGCAGGCCACTGCAACCGGAGAGAAGACCAAAGCAACACCTGCCTTGAGAGAGCAGGTGTTTCGAAAGATTCTTTTATCTTGCAGTTTGGTTCCAAAAACTGCCCCAGCAGCTCACAAAAGTACGCAAAACCCGGTTGGATGGACAGGCAGAGTGGAAAGAAATCCAGCATATAGGAGAATTATTTCCATTTATTTCTGTCTTTGTTTTCGGGGGAAAATATAAGCAAAATGGCAGGCAGTATGACATAAAACGGAGCACATCAAAGTGGTAGAATTTGTGCGTACAAGCAATCAGTGCTCATTTTTAGCAATAGTTAGAACACCTTGAGCCTTTGAGATCTGCTGCGAAATGCCCGTATTGGAGTAAAGTTTAGCATACCTGAAGTCAAGATACCTGGAGCATCTTGTCTGTTCTCACTGCAGAGACAGGTGGGGAGGAACCACATGGGTGAATTTACAGCTGCAAAGTTTCCAAATGTATGAATCTTTGCATATAGAATTTTACAATTTTACCTTTTTCTGTATTGCCTAGGTGTTTATTGTCGAGTCTCTGGGACGAAGAATTTTGCTTCTGGCTGGTTTTGGGATTTGTTGCGTGGCTTGCGCAGTATTAACCATGGCCCTGAATCTTAAGGTTTGTAGTGTGAAGCCCTTGCCAAGAGAGGAAACTGGAGGGGGACTGCTAGCATCGGGGGGGGGGGGGGGCGGCGGTTGAGGGCATTCAAACTGACCTCTGCATAGGGCAAATTCAACCCTCCCTCCTTTAATTCTCCTTTTCCTTGTCATTGGATAAACCTGGCTTTGAACAACCCCCACTGTCAAGGGTTGAATGTGGTTTGTTGTTAAACCCTGGATTGTTGTTGAAACGTGTGAACCCTGCCAAGTTAACAAACCATGATTCTCTCCATGGGTTGTTTGTGGTTTAAAGCTGTGGCCGAAAATAAAGCCAATCCACAGCCTTCCAAAACCATTTGGATTGTTTGTCTTTGTCTCCTTCCCCTACTTCACTCATCCCAAGCGTGCCCACCAGCTGGTTTGAACTTCAGCTCCCATGAGACGCAGTGAGCATAACCAGTAGCCAGGAATCCTGGGAGTTGCAGTCCTGACCAGCTAGAGGGCACCCTGTGGGGAAGACTGGCCTAGTTGCAGACCAGGAGTTACAGAGGTGACCAGAGGAGATGGGGAAAGGGTATTACTGCTTCCCAATGCCTCAGCCTCAAGACGAGACCCGTAGTGACTAACCAGATCCCTCCCACAGATGATCGCGTGGATGCCTTACCTCAGCATCGCCTGCATCTTCTCCTACGTCATCGGGCATGCCATTGGCGCAAGTACGTCTCCCCACAGCTGGGCCGTCGCTTTGCTCAGAAAAAACGGGGGGCTTCCTCCATTTCTCCGGGACAAGGGTCTCTCGCAAGGGGCACCCAGCAGCCACCATGCCTGTGGAAACCTCCTAAAGCCCCCCCCCCCCAATTAAAATAATCATCCCGGAAAATGTTCGGGTCAACTTCTTTCCCCTTCCTTTCCAGCCTGTCCCTTCCACCCTTCTGCCTTGCTGCGAGCGTCTCCCTTGCAAGCCCTCCTCTTGCTCCGTCTGTCTCCCCACCACTGTTTCTACCCCTCTGGACTTCTGCCCCCTTGCATGGCTGCCTCTCCCCCCCCCCCCCCGCCTTCTCTCCAGCTCACTCCTGACTCGCCAGGTCCCCAAAACGGCCATTGCGTGAGCGGCACATCTTCTGCGGGGGCCCAGGGGTTTTGGTGACTTCTGCTCCCGGAAAGACCCTAATCTCTTCCCAGGGAGGGGCATTTCCGTGGATTGGGTGTCCCAGGAGGCTTACCCCTTCCCAAGCAGCTTGCACTTTCAAAGGGGAAGAGCCCCATCCAAGGAGGCCTGTCTTCATCCTTGTGGAAGGACTGGGCAGGAGCCTCGCCAGGGCTGCTCTGGGAGAGAATGGGGATCCCACCCCCTTCCCTCTTCTTCTAGGCCCCATCCCGAGCGTGATGATCATCGAGATGTTCCTCCAGTCGTCCCGCCCGGCTGCATTCATGGTGGGGGGCTCCGTTCACTGGCTTTCGAACTTCACCGTGGGGCTGGTCTTCAGTTATATGGAGGTAAGGAGGGCACCCCGAAGAGATGAGCGTGGCCTCTTGGCCCACGGGCCGGTTCCACTCTGGAAGGTCTCAGAGGGGCTGCAGAAGGGCCCAGGTGCACACCTGGCCAGCAAGCTGGTAGCTTCCGACTCAAATTTCATTTCGTTTTGAGATGGGGAAAGAAACTGCTCAGACGCTGCCCCATTGAACGAGTGGGGGAAGTGGAAGAGCAAGGTGAATGGGGGCTTGTCTTGGAAGCTGCCCTACTAGGATCGTGGGAGGACTAGATTTGGTCTTGAACCCGTGTTCAAGAGAGCAGGTGATGCTTTGAAAAAGCAAATTTCATTCAGCGGGCTCGAGTTTGTGCTTCAATTCACATGGTGGGTTCTAAGCTGCCAGAAAACGTGTCACTTTCACCTCTGTTTATTCCCTCGTTTCGTCTCCAGCAAGGACTCGGGCCCTACTGCTTCCTGATCTTCTGCGGGGTTTGCTTAAGCACGGTCATTTATATCTTCCTCATTGTCCCCGAAACGAAGAACAAAACCTTTATGGAAATCAACCAGATCATGGCCAGGAGAAACGGCACGGGGGAAGACACGGACAAAGAGGAGCTAAAAGATTTCACCGCCATTTCCGTCCCTTACAAGAAGGGCGACATCGAGAGAAACAGTGCGCTGTAAAGGCAACCGGGATGGCTGAGGTCCTTTTCCCCATCCCTGTGGGACCAAGCAGCCTTTGCCACCTGTGGCATTTGCCCCACGTTGTCCTGGGTTCGCTGTAAATAAATCCCCAGAACCGCGTCTTGGAGTGACCCTGCGCCGAAAGCTCGCTTCCGCTGCTTTCCCTCCCTACGGCCAAATTGCCTTGCTCCCCTGACTCAGGAGCTTTCTGAAGAACAGCGGTGAGACCCCGAAATGTCACTTTCGAAATTTATCTACTGACTTGGGCAGCGGGCCATCGGCTGAGTGAGCTGCCCGCAGGCTCAGAAAACCGCACCAGGGCGCGTGACTTGTTCCTCAAAGTACTATTTTAATGAGGAGCCAATTCTGCCTGCGGGCCAGGAGCTGATACCCAATTTGGAAAGCGCTGCCTTGCCACCTTTAACAGGAGAAAGCTTGATGTTTAAGCCGTGTTGCTGACACGGATCGAAAGCGAGGTGAAGGGGGGCTCACAGGCGGAAGCCTCCGATAACCCCGGCCCAGAAAAATAGGATGATTGTCTGGGGCATTACTAAGTCATTGAATGTTACACAGGATCCGGACATTTCCCACTTTAGATAACTGGAATGCAGGCAGCCTGGACTTTTGGATTAAGATGTTTTCGATATGTGCATTTTTACTATTCGTTTACATTTGTCCCCCTTTTTCAAACTGCATTTTTGGGGTCTTCCAGAACATGTGCACACAATGCATTGTTTAATGGGCAAAACCCATCATAAATGCCCAGAGGTTGAGATCTTGTTTTTGTTTTAGTAACAGCAACAAAATAGTATATAAAATCCACAATATTTAATATTAGGACTAAATGAAACTGAGTAACCTGCTCCAGCCTCTCATGCTATGGACAATTCCCTGGCTGAACTGGCTGGGGCTGATGGGAGTTGAAATCTAAAATATTTGGAAGGCACCAGGTTGGTGAAGGTATTATGGCAAATGTCAGGAACACCCAGGGGAAGGGGAAGATGCCGCACTGTCCAAAGACTTAAGTTGAATGTTTTGCGTGCAGTTGAGATAGACTTGAGCCTCAAAGTGAATGTATTTGTATCCATTCAGAAGTCCCATTGAATTCAATGGACCTTACTTCCAGATGAGTGCGCAGGATTGCAAGATGCATGAATGAGTCACTGGTAGATGTTGTAGATTATAGGTGTTAAGGGTTTGGGGAAGGAAATGATGGCAGATCCTCTTTGTAAACAAAAGCCGGTAGTAAACAGATCTGCCTAGCACATTAAGGACCAAGCATGTTTAAGTACCATCAGCACAGACCAGCATTAATGTCTTTTGTATTTTTAGGTACTTTGGTGGAAGAAAATAGTATTTGCCAATAATGAAGAGAGAGGGTAGAATAGAAAAAAACTGCTGTGTAAATACCTTGCTGTGAAGTTGTGTGAGATTGTTCGTTTTTTGCATGATTCTTTTTCAAGTTGGGGGGCAAATATATTTTGTACAAAGGAGAATTGTGTTGTTTTTTAATGGAGCGCAAAAGAGAAATAAAAGCCATTTTATAAAGCTTGGAAAGGCAATAAAGATTTTGTTCTGGCCTGATTGTAACCACACATTAAATACCCAGGAAATTGGGCAGAATACCATCCACAGAAAAGAGAGACAGAAAGAAGGCTGGGGATGCTGGGAGTTGTAGGACTTTTCTGTCAGATTGTATCATACTAGCAAAGTCAATGTCTGCCACAACTGAAGAGTTAAGAAAATATGTGCATGATGCACTTCAATGTGTTTTGCTGCTATCCAACTACCTCTAGTGCATCTCCATCAAAGTGCTGGTGTTGCTAAAACTCAATAATGAAAGGGGGTCCAGCTGGTACACACTTTATTAACATGGTTCTGCTGATTGTATAAGCCACGGTGAAAGAAGACCAAGCAGGTTTGTTATGGAAGTTCTTGGGTGCTTATCCTCAATGCTGATCGAATCCTCTTTTCATTTTCCTGGCTAGGATGGGTCTAATTTAGCCCTAAGGATTTCCTCTCCAAATAAGTCTGCTTCAACAGAATTCCTGACCTCCCCTGTGTAAATAAGCCTGAACTAATTATTCCACAAGGCCCAATAATTATTCAATGAAACCACTCCAGGACGGACAACAGCAGGGATGTACACTGCATAATCTTCAGCAAATCCGAATTTCTACCTTGGTGCATATTTTTGGTCAGCCTAGTTAGGAAAGTAACCATAGCCAGCTCATCTAATGCTCTGTCTTCCATTCCCCCATTCCCACTTTTCTCATGGATTTTATTCCCTGCTAAACAGCTGAGCTTCCATTTTCATTTCCCAGTTTCTAGACCAAAGTCATGCAACAAGTGATCCTCCTCAGTTTGTGCTTCCCATGTGGCAAAACGGAGATAAACTGCAAGTAATGTTTTCCTCCCCACCCTCCACAGTCAGATGGATTTTATTCTATATGCAAACATGGCGGAACTTGCAGGGCATTCTCACCCTGTGGTGAGTTTTCCCTGTAACTGGAAGGATTATTTTAAGCTTCCCAGAAGGCTCCAGCTCAATTATTTGGTAACGGAGAGAAGTATTCAGAGTGGAAGGCAAAGCTTGAGGGGAAAAAAGCAATGTTTGCATGCCAATCTGTTTTTACCTGCAGCACTAACTTCCTTCCAAAAAGGGCATCAGCTGCAGCTGGTATCCACATCCACAACCACACCTCCATACAGCAGGAAGGGCGTTTGTCCCCAGGCAATGATATTCCCCTTCTTATCCTCATGCTTGCAAAGCGTGAGCTGCTGGATTTCATTGTAGTCAAGCACGTGGCTCCAAAGATTGACCTGGCTTATCCAGCCGGAAAATCCGTTGCCGAAGACATTGAGCATGCTGTTCTTGTACTTCCCCAGGATGGCCGTCCCGCCTTTCTGGATCACGTAGCCCTTCTGAATGTTCTTGGCCGTGCCGACCGCTCCGTTGACCCACAGATTGACGTCGCCAGAGTGGGAGGCCCACGTGATACAGTGGTGCACCCACTCCTCCGATTTGCGGTGGAGGTCGAATTGCACGAAGCTCCCGCCGACCCACACGCACACGTCCAGGCCCACGGTGACCACCAGCTCGTTCTCGTTCTCCGGGGTGGAGTACAAGAAGACCGTCTGCTTCCCTTGGTGAAGGTTGTGGACCCAGAAGCACAGTGTGAAGCTGTGCAGGGTCATCTCCTGCAGGGGCCGGACCTCGGCGTGGCTGGCCACCTTTTCCCGGGGGAAGTAGAAAGCTTGGGCATGGCCCGTCCGCTGACCTGCAGCAACCAAGCAGAAGCTCTTATGAATGGGCCGGACTTGAATCGAAACGTGGACCTACCTGTCAGAACCGTTCATGCCCCGAGTTGCTCTTCGCCCTGACCCCTTGTCTCCTCCTAGCTCAGCCGTCTCCGACCTGCATCCCTCCGGGTGCTTTGGACAACCGTCTCCATCAGAGCCCACCAGTGTGGGCAAGACTCATGGGAACTGTAGGCCAAAACCTCTGGAGGTGTCCTAGTTCAGGGAGGCTGATCGAGGATGATGGGAGGGGTATGTCTTACCGTGTTTAGACCACCCCTTTCCAACCAGTTGGAATGGCAGCATGTCCTTGCTCCATTTTGCACAAAGAAATTGGAGATTCATGGCACCATCGTGACAAAAGCAAGACAACAGACTTGGCTTCTGCTGCCCTTTCTAAACATTCTCGCTGCATTCAGACAATACGATAACCCACAGTCGAGCTTGAAAGAAAAGGCCGAATGGAGGATGGCCCCCCACTGACAGTCGCCCCCTATTGGGGGAGGGAAACAAGGCCACTAGGAGATCCGTATTCTTACCGACTTTGCTCATTAGGCTCAAAAAGTCCTTCTTTATTTCCTGGAGCTGATTCTGTATTTCATCAAGTGTATGAGTGACGCTTGCTGCGTGACAGGTGTCTAGAGATATGCAAAGATCATTGTCATTCACAGGATTCCTACCCGCAATCTACATTCACGCAACAGGCAGTAGGAGTTTTAAGCGAAAATGGGTTGAGGTCGTCCATGCGTTGGCCCCGCCCCTTCGGCCCTGGCCCCGCCCACCACTGGAGTGCAGGCCCTGGGGGGCTTCTCCGCTCTTGCTCAGAAAGAAACTTTCCGTATAAGCGTTCTCAGGGCTCTGTCCAGAATGATAAACGAAGTGGGGATTCCGTGCCCGAGAGACTGTCGTCCAGAACTTGGTCGTGGGGAAGACAACAGAGGCAAGCCTCCTTGCAAGGGCAAGAGGGATCCGCAACGCTGGTTGCTGTCGCAGTGCTTGCCCGAAATCAGCGGGAAGCGGAGCTGGAGCAGCAGGACGGGCGCACGGAATGGAGCCCCCTTGGCCCAGCAACGCTGTCCTGGAGGTCACCATCCCCACAGAGGCCCCGCTGCGAAGCGGCCCCTGAAGGGTTAATTAGAACCGTTGCTCCAGAGCTCCCTCTGGTGGCCAGAACCAGAGCGACCACCACAGCGCTCGCTGGGTTAGCCCTAATTAGTGCTAATGAAGGGCAGCTGGGAGCCCCGGGGAAGCGCTATGCAAGACCGAGCTCCTCCCTCCCTTGGGCCTTCTCGGTGGCGTGAGTTTTTCTGGCCTCCGCATCCTGCGAGCTGCGGTGTGTTTTAGTATCCTGCCCGACCGTTGCTGGACCTGCTTGCCGCTGTGCCGCCCCTGCTGGGAACACCTGGGCTGCTCCTGAAGCCCATCCAGGTAGGCCTCGGTACCCGCTTCCTTCTCTGTTTGCTCTCTGGGTTCTCGACCCTCGGCTTCTCCGTGCCCGTCTCTTTGTTGGGGTCTGGAAAGGGCCACCATGCCGTGCTTGCTGACATGAGTTTGCTCCCGGCCCTTTCATGGTCTTCTGTTCTGTGCGGCGGCGGCAGCGTTGGTGACCTCGGGGTGGCCTTTTGATTACAGCTTTCCAGGGGAGGTGGGGACTCCTATGCTAAGGGCTTCTGTATTCATGCGGCTTTTCTCTTGGGCCTCTTTTGACCAAGGACCATATGCCTGGAGGAGGGGACTGTGGGGAGCTGGAAGCCCAGACCTGTTGAAGGACACCGTTTTTGGAAGACTGGCCTTGACAGGGAGGACAGATAAGCAAAGCATTCATGGAAGGAGTTTTCTGAGCAAAGCAGTGGGTGGAATGAGCTGGGACAGACCGGCCCTGCAGCCTTCCGGTTGTTTTGTTCTTCAGAGCCCATCAGCCCCAGCCATTTTGCCCAGTGGTCGGGGATGTTGGAAGATCTAAGCCAGGATGGACCAGGAATCCCTGCTAGAAAGCCATAAAGTCAACCAGGAATGTGCTAGACTTTCCACTTAGAATGAAGGGGAAGTTGCCAAAAATTAAAAGAACCCGGAAGTGAGAGGAGGTTTTGCAAGGAAAGGGGGTGACCTGCTTGTCCGGGGGGGGGGCATGTGGTCATGCAGCGTTGCCCTGGCCACACCCATGTGCCTTACCCTCAGTGGGCTTGTTGGTGAAAGAGGCCTCGACCACCCTGTCCCCGAGCGGCTGGGCTTGCCGATAGTCGTTCCGCAGGGTCTGGTTCTGCCAGTCCAGCAGGGAATTCTCCAGCAACATGATCTGCAAGGCAAGGACTCCGCTCAGTCCGTTGGTTTTTCTTTTCTAAGGTGTGCGCACACAGATGTGGGTTCCAGAGACGGCCGGTCTGGGCAGCAGCAACCCTGGCCCCAGCCAGGGTGCCCAGTGGCTCAGAGATGCAGTCCAAACCATCCGGGGGCACAGATTGAGGGTGGCCATGTGTCCTCCCTTGCAGAGGAGCGTCCCCACTTGCTCATGGGCCAGAGGACTGACTTTCGTGAGTTGCTTGCTTTCGTCGCCTGCGCCCTGACTCTTGCCTCTCTCTCCCAGGGGCCCCTGTGTCCCTGTTCTGCTCCATCCCATCCTCACAGCCAACCCTTGTGAGGTAGGAAAGGCTGAGCTTCAGCAAATTGAACGGGAAGACGACATGGTTGCTGCCAAAGGCCCGAGCCTGCTAAAGCGTTTGCCCCAAAGGTCATGTGGAACGATTCTTTCCCACTGAAGGGCTAAAAATCAAATGTTGTGTCTTGCCAACCTTTGCACGGCTGCACTTTCTCCATTTGTGGCGCATCTTCTGCGCTTGCATCTCACCCCTGGCCTCGTCTGGGCCACAAGGAGACGGGGACAGTAAACAGATTGCAACAGGGAGGTGGGGGGGGGAAGGAGCAGCAGGGAAGGACAGGGCATTTTCGGTGTGTTGTATATTCTGCTGCGGTCACGAAGATGGGAGGTTGCTAGCAAAAAAACCTGTGGTGTTTGCACAAAGGGAAGGGAGTCGTGTGGATGCAAACCAGCCATTTTCAAGCTGGCGTCTTTCAGGGGTGCTGCACGGCAATGCCCCATTCAGCAGGGAGTTGTGGTCCAAGCCCCCGGAGGTCACGTGCTTGGGAAAGTTTGGCTTGGCCCAAAACGCCAATGCAGAAACTTGGGATGGGAAAGGCAAGTTTGCGGGGTGGGGGGAAGACAGGGAAATGCTTTCTTACCTGCGTGTGGGAAAGCTTGATGGGCATGTCAAAGACAGTCCAGATCACGTTCTCCGTGCAGGGTGGGGTCGTCAAGGAGCCTTGATACCTGTAGAAGCGTGTGAGATCCTCTGGCAACATGGACAAGACGTCAAGGGTGTCGAGCATTGCTGATTGCCCTGTAAAAAAAAAAAAAAAAAGCCAAAGTTTAGTGCATACACAATATGCAGAGTTTCTTGCTGACAACCTTGTCAGGTAGGCCAGTATTTTCAATGCACTGAAGCTGGAGGAATGGTAACAGGAGAGGCCGGGAATTTCTTGGCTTTCAAAATTGGCTTGAAAATTTCTTGAAAAAGGCATTGCTTGGCTTTTTCAAACCACAATTTGGGGAAAGGGGGGGATTGTGTCTGGGGGTGTGTGACGGGGCAGTAGGGGAGTAATGAAGTTAGAAGGACTAAGGGTGTAATCTTATGGCTGCTTGACTGTGGGGGGAAAAACACCTCGAGGTTAGAACCAAGAGCCCTTCCTCTTCCAGCTAGCCCAAAATCTAAACCCCTGACGTGTGGTGTGTGTATTAAGCAGATCCTTGAGGTGTCCAAAGCAGGGTTTCATTTTAAAAACATACTGATGGATTGCAATTCCTGTGAAGGTGACTCTCTATTTGAACCCTGCAGTAACATCTTCAGCCACAAGGGGCGGAGTTCCATAAGGAGCTTTTCAGTCCGCATGTGTGAAGTCGAAGGGGGGAGAGACTGGGGGCTCTGGGGTAGCCCCTTCTCAGGGCAATGGAGCGCAGCGTGGGCAAAGAAGCATCCAGACAGGGCAGGCGGAAAACACACATTCATGTGGGAAGGCAGCACTGTGGCAAACCAGGGCTTTGCCACCCGTGCAAAGCAGGGTCTGTTTGCTAGAGAGGAATTCTCGGCATTCCTCTTTGTCCGACCAAAGAATTCCTTGTCCAGATTGAAGGGGGATCCCCCAGACATACCTGCATATCTGATTTTGGCCAGGTTCGCAATGAAATTACTGTAGTAGGTATTTTCTAAATTTCCACCCTGCAAGAAAGAAGATGGAACAGGCATGGGGAATGGGTCCTAGGACGAAGAGGTGGGCGTACTCGTGCATAACCCATGCAGTTTCACTACAACCAACCAGCTCGATGTATTTTTCCTTTTGTTTCGTGGGCCTAGTGTTGACTTCATGGCTATTTCTAAAATTTGGGTCATTTCTGAGTTCACAATACTGCGCCTTCCCAGGAGCTACATATCAGCATAAAAATTATGGTAATATATGGAGCCAGGCACAATATCATTGTGCGATTCTCCTCTTGCAATCGCACACACCCCAAAGGCCAATGGGAGGAGAAAAGCAACAGACTGGAACAGTACATCATACTGAGATACAACAGGCAGCCTCCTGGATGGGCATTCCTGGAAGCTCCTGCCTGTATTGAAAGCTGGAGCAGTTCTTTAATTGCACAATAGTTCATGAATTACTGCAACAGAAGGGAAGAAAGAGGGAATGTTATCCCCTGCTAGTTAACCGTTCCTTTTGTTCACATATTACCAATTAACAGCCCAGCATGGTCTGGGAGATGGGAGCTAATCCTTAGGAAATGGTCTCCTGATAGCTCAAGATTTCCCTGGAGCCTTTGAAAGGTGATGCCCTGCTGAGCTTGGAGAAGATAGCATTTAGCCTTAGCCGAAAGGGTGGAGATTACCTAATCCACAGCTTATATTTTTACAGATAAAGCAAATAGGTTTCACAAAGGACACCGCCCCCCAAAGGACACCCCTGGGTTGGGGAAGCAGGTCGGACTCCAGCACCGACCCTCCGGAGGTCAGAAGACCGTGGAGGCAGAACTGCCCTGTCCCCTGGCATAGATAATGGAAAGCCAACTTTCTAATCACTTCTGCGGCCTGCCATTAACACAGAGCATAAGGGATGGATAAGCAGAAGGGAGAAAGCACGGAAGGACGACTCGGGTTGAGCAAGTGTCCTCAAGAGGCAGCGGCCGCTCTCTCGCAGTGCCTTTGCAGCCTCGGTTACTCCAAACAGGCTCTCAAATCTTCCGACTGTCTCTGTTCAGTCATTCACTTAGTCATTGTGCCCGCTTCCTTACGGGAATTGTTGCCTTGGTGGCAGTCACAACAAGACGTAACGGAGGCACATTCCAGAATGCAGCAGGAAGCCATTGGAATTTCAAATTTAGACCTGAATGGGGCAATCGGATCATGGTAGAGCCCGGAGTTTAATATTATATTTCTAGCCTGGCTTTGCCCCTCTTGCAAAGATCCCAGAGAGACTTAGAAGAGCTTTTCCAACCTTGCCCGTTTATCCTCACAACAACCCTGTGAGGTGGCTAGGCCCACAAGCACTGACTGGCTCAGAGTCACCCAGTAAGGTTCCAAGCCGAGTAAGGACTAGAATTCAGATCTCCCGAGATCCACTCCGGCGCTTTAACCCCTACTGGACACTGGTTATCACAACAACCCTGTGAGGGAGGTTAGTCTGAGATTCAGTGACTGGCTCAGACACCCAGCAAGCTGCTTGGTTGCATGAGCCCTCAAACTGGATGTCACCAATCCATGGCTCTAACCACTACATCACACAGCCTTTCCTTTCCATGGGCTACTGAGTGGAGCTCACAGGCCATTAATTGGAGGGGAAGAACATGCCAACGTTAAAGTAAGCCATTTAGGAGAGGCTACAGGGCTGCTGGGGTGAGACAGGAATGCAAGCTTGCTATTTCATGCATATAGTACCCAGCTCTTTCTGGGAAAATTGAGTAACAGCTCCATTTGCGGTAAGGACCTATAGACTGGGATCTTGCAGAGAGACTTGATGTTACAAGTCTGCGAACGGGCAAAGCACTTTACAGAGGAGGAACCCAAAGCCCTGGGCAATTGACCATCTACATTTCCGAGCTGGCAGGACCATTGTAGGAGGGGCAGATGGGCAGAAAGGAGCTGAGCCCCGGGGGAAAGGTGCAGAGGGCAAGGGACGGAGCTGAAGGGGCATGGACTGCAGGTGGGGGTCATCGGGCAGCTGCTGAAGGCCCTCCCCGAAGCTGCTCGGTCTGGGGGGGCAACCTACCACGTAGAGCGCAGCCAGGACAGCCAACCCATCTGGTTTGTCCGAAGCTTCTTCAATACTGGAATAGGCACCCGAATTGTAATGGACGATGTGAAGCTAAGAGGAAGAGGAGAGGCATCGTTAAAGGAAAGTGAGGATCCACAGGTCCTGCTGGCTGAGGCCGCTCGGAGCTGCCTGGGCTGCAGTCCCCCCGTCAGTGCATCCAAAGCAGGCGTCTTGGGGTGGGGAACATTGACCTGGACAGGCAGAGAAATAAGCCGGCCCGGTACAGAAGTGGCTTGCAGGACGCCCCCTGACCCTGCTGGAGCAGCTTACGGCTTGGGCTTCCTCAGTGTCAACCTTCCCCAACCAGGTATGTGCTGGACTTCTTGGGCCACAACCCTCCTCATCCCCAGCATGGGCTAAGAACAATGGGCACTGAATTTTGGGGAGGGGTGGTCCGATGGCCTGAGCAACCAGGGGCAAGCTGCGCCAAGTGGAAGCTTCCTCCGTGGCTGAGAAAGTTCCTGTGTTTGCAGGTTTAGCAGGCTCATCCTCTGGAAGGGAGACGGGGGGGGGGGCTGCGTACCTCGGCCATGTACCGCATTCCGTCTATGGTGTGCTCAGAGCCGCTGCTCTCGAGGTCCATGCCTCCCCAGTGGAAATGCAGCTGGACGGCTGTGTAGACCTCCGGGAGCCCTGCGGTGATGGCCATGCTCGGAGGCAGCTTGATCATAACTGGGAGGAGGCAGGGTTAAAGCAGGAAAGGCTGTCAGGGATTATACATTCTTTTGCGAAGCTTGCACTGCTTCGGGAATCGCCCGACTTTTTATCTATATTCCCCTCATTCACAATGTGCAGCAATCACAGGAGACAGATCAAAGTCATGGCAATAGGGCTTCATTCCTAGAATCATGACCCTCTAACTTGAAATGAATGAAAGGGAAAGAGAAAAATCTACAAGTTTTCCCTGGAGTAATTAGAATGTCTGTGAAGATTCCGTGACCTCACAAGCACTCAGGTAATGGCAGGAGCTCTGCTTAGGATGCAGTTCCCTCTTATCAATTTATACTGCTGGTAATATTTTCTAAGTGTTGTACAGATGCTAAAATATAAGACAGCATTTCAGCTACTATATATTTTTTTAATTTTTGGATTTATATCCTGCCTTTTTCCTACAAAGGGCTCAAGGCAGTTTGCATCATTCTCCTCCTCCATCTTATCCCCACAACGACCCTGTGAGGTAGGTTGGGCTGAGAGTCTGACTGGCCCAAAGTCCCCCAGTTGGCTCCATGGCCGAGCGGGGACTCGAACCCGGATCGTCTGAGTCCCAGTCCCACGCTCTTAACCACGACGCCACACTGGCTCTCAGCATGTTAAAAGCATGTCTCTTTGATGAACCCAAGAGGTGGTTATTTTGTGCTGTGGGATTGGCAACACCGGTGTGGCTAAGTTAGCATCATAGCCTACAATTTGCAAGTCTGCCATAGCACATGATGTGGCTCTTATTCCAAGTGGGGTTGGAAGAGGCACGGATTTTGGATCCTTTCTGTATAAAATACCCTGCCAGGTGGGAAAAGCAGTTTCGGGTCCTCAGAATGAATCTGTGAGCCTAGAAGTCCTGTGTCTTTTCTGTCTTTGGAAGTAGGAGGAGATGGGTACTTTGGTACAAAATGGGTGGATTGTCTGAAACCAAATAATAATTAAAAAGCCTTCAAAAACATGTTTCTTCTGCAGGTCTCACCTCTCCAATAAAAAAGCAAAATGCCAAGCCAAAACAAAACACAAACACCCACAGCTCCAGCGTGCAGTAAGCTGCAATTATAGGGGGAAAAGTAATTATGGAAAGACCTGTTGCTTTACAATGGGGGGTGTTCTTTGTTGCTTCTTTCTTTTGAATGATTCATAGCAATGCATAAATATCAAGGCAAAACAAAACAAGCAGGAAAGCAGAGAGGCAGAAGCTCCTGAGTCTAAATTCCTGCCTTGAATTGGACTCCTTTGCTAACTGTGTGCATCTCTTATGATTCGTGTGAGTTTGACCCACCACCCCTTGCATCCGCCCTTGTCCCTTCCTCAACGGAATCTGATTTTGTGCAAATGCATTGCTAGGTACTCACACAAATTTGCCCTCAAAATGCACAAGCCCCCTTATTACACATTTTCACGCTTTAGCCTTGGAGGGAAATGCACATAATGGATCAAGAATTTATTTTATTTTTCATATTTTTCTACAACTCAGTTTGCACAAAATGGCAGACAATTTAAGAAAGGGTACACACGTCTGTATCATCCGTGCATTTCAAGAAAAGCTGGTGGAATCTGCAGGTTGGATTCCTAGAAATTCCAGCACGTTTGAGTCTGTTCTGGATTTCTCCAAAATCGATGGGGCAATCCAGATCCTTGAATTGTCTGTGGAATTCCCTATTTGTTATCAGACAGGGATCAAAGTTCCTGGGGTCCACATTATAGTGATGGGCATGTCAATGGGGAATAGGGTAGTCCCCCAAATTTGTCATGTGCCATTAAATAATCTCTGACTTAGGAACGTTCCTGTGAATTGAATGCCTTCCAAAAGCTGCCGCTGAATAGATGCCCAGCTCCATCTGGGACCAACAGCAGCATCTTATTTGATGGCCTCTGTGACCACAAAGACTAGTAAAGCAGAAGGTGTTCTTTAAATATCTTTCTGCTGCCGGGCTTTATACACAAAAGACAAGGCATTAAAAATCACCAAGAAAAGGCGTGAGAGGCTTAAAGGTGCTGCCCGAGACAGCAAAACCTCCCAGCCCACGGTGCGCCTGATTTAAAATCGATTGCGGTGATCTGGCTAGCGCATCAGCATTAATGAGATCTCAGGAAAAATCCAGAGACATGAGCGAGAGCAAAGAAGGCAGGGGAGGGGGACCCCCCCCCCCCAATGCCAACTAATTAAAACACTCCTTTGCAGAGAGCCCAGCTGATAAATAGCACCACTGCACAGAAACCTTAATGAGAGGCTGGCTGTTGTGGGGCAAAATAAAGAGGCATCAGACCATTATTTTTCAGGGAACGATTAAGGATTCCTTCTCCCCAGAGATGCTGTCTCTCTTGATATGCCAATGGTTTTTCTCCTGCGCTGTCTCCAGACAGAGAAATGGAGGGCAATTATTATAGGAAGGGTCACTCCCGTCTCTTGCGAGGATGGCTAAAGAGGCTTTCCTAGTTTGTATTTCTGAGCTTGGCTTGGATGATGGAAAGCCCCTTGCTAATTCCTTTCCAAGCCAATCCTTCACTAAAATCCTTCCGTAAAGAATGATGTGTTTTGGTTACTTGTTTCCCTCTTAAAAAGCCATTTCATCTTGCTGTTCCTTGATTTCTGAACATTCTTCATTATTAGGAAAACCACTTCTCTGCTCCGCTGAGCTACCCACCCCTCAATTCCGGCCCAAGTGGAAAATGTTTTGGATGTTAAGCAGGCTTTTTAAAAAAATGTGTTGTCTGTTCTAACACATTGCTAGGATCCCTTTGTGAGGCCGATCAATGGACAGCGTTGAGGAGACTCTATTTTCCAGGGAGGGGGCAGAGATCTCTCCAAGGGACAAAGGTAGAGAGGCGTGTGTTTGCTTGTTTGCTGTTTGGGCACTTCAACCCTGACCTTTTCCGGTTAAATGTTGATAGAAAAGCCCTCTCTCTGAAGCTTGACTCCACCTTCTGCAGCAGCCCCCAGGCGATGCTGTCCAGTGCCAGGTCTCTTCCCCCCCCCCAGGCTCTTTGACCAGCAAGGTGACCTGGTGCCCTGCCCTCTCCCCACCTGCCTCGGCTCCTCCTCCTCCCATCTTGCTCCCACTGGTGGGCATCCTCGCTGCATCTCCTCTCCACCACCTTTGCTAGGCCGTGGGCGAGGGCAAGGCAGAGCAAGCCCAGGGGTTCTCGTCGGTGGGCCCCTGATGAGCTGAGGGCCCTCGGCAAGGGCCCAAGCCCGCCTACGCTGGACGCCAGTCTTGCCGCCGGTGCCTCTGTGAGCACCAGCTGCACCCCTGCAGCCTGCACCCCTCGGGGCACCCCGCAATGGCGCTGCCACCGCCGACAGCAGTCCTGTCCCCCCTCACTTGCAGGCTGGCTTGGGGTGCTCTCCGCACTCACCCCGTGAGCTGGCTGAGCAGCCAACAGGCCCATATGTTCCCTGGGGTGGGGGGAATAGGAGCAGTGGCGGTTCTCCATTTCTCCACCCCCCAGGCTGGACAGCTCCATGGGTCCCCTACCCCTGTGGGGTGGCCGTCTCACCACCATCGTCCCCAGCCATTCTCGCTCGGCAGATGGAGAGCCGCGAAGCAGGTCGGAGTCTCCTGTCCCTTCCTCACCACCACCCCTGCCTGGGCCAAGGTGAGCGGCAGGTGAACAGGTAGGACGCAGCAGGCCGAGTTTGGGGGCTCTTGTCCTTGGGACCCTGCTGTGCTGCGGCATTCGGCAACTGCCCAGCCGTGCCCACCTTTGGTGCTTGGCGAACCTGCTAAGCATTCCCCTGAATACCCTACAAATCAGCCCATTCCTTTTCACAAGCTGCAGCACTAACGGGCATTCCTGCTCATCTTTGACGGTAGGAAAAGAGTTTCCTGGTTATCAAACCCACTTTATGCAAAAGTCCTACATGAGGGGATGCGCCCAGCTGCTCTTCTGCACATACGCTCTGTGTTGTTAGAAGGATTTTCCAGCAGCTTCATGATGGAAGAATTGGCTGGTTCGTCATGCTGGATTGGTGCTTTTGTCCTTATTTTTTAATGTCTCATGCAGAAATGCAAACAACCACTACATTCTCGATTGTGTCCGCGCTGTTGCCGCCTGCCCTGCCTCTGGTTTGAGGAAATCAGCACAAAATTTAGCAGAATAGAATTTTTTTTAAAGGAAAAGAAGAAAAAGAAACCGTCGACAAAGCAGGAAGTGGCAATAAACGAGATCATGAGGGGTGGCTCATTCAATTAAAAAAAAGGCCTGACATTGTAATTGGCATCCGGATGAAAATGTTACATAATGGGCCTTGATATGCTTTTGAAAGGTCGATTTTCTGCACTACGATCAAGGTGAAAAGCAGGGCTTTTTTTTTTGGAGTTTTGTGCACTGAAACGTTTCAAAAAGGGTTTAAAGCAAATCTTGGCTAGTGCTAACTTGGAGGCAAATGTAATGCAACACGGGTAAAACACTCGGGTCTGAATCAGGCCCTCCTGTACATTTGGGCATTTGGGTCCCAGTCCTTTTACTTTGCACCATTGGAATGCAACCCCCCCAAAATTTTGGGGGTTCCTTCCATGCTTGGATTCAGAGAATACACGGCACAGTTGAGCACAGGCTGAGCTGAAGCATGCGGTGGTTGTCGAACCGTGGGCTAGCAAAGCGCACGCAACCTCTGGGGCCTTTCTCCGAGTGCTGACTGCAAGGGGAATGTGGAGGGTGGCTTTCTCAGTGGTGGCCCCCTATCTCTGGAATAACTACTCCTCTGCGGGTTGCAATGGGGAAGAAAAGGAGTGAGGCCCAGGAGGTTGTTGCCAGCGGGCTCTGGCCAGTGTGTGGGTCCCTGAGAGTTGCTCAGCCATACCTGCCCTTTGCTCTGAGCCCCATAACAAACATATACTTAAACAGAAGGCCCATTTACCAGATGAGGCAAGTAGAGGCTGACCCCTGCTCTTGCATGCATTTACCTGAGTGCCCATTGTTGGTCATCGTGAAGCGTCCTCGCAGGGGGCCGCCGTAGCCCTGAAGCTGCAGTGGAAGCAGTGTAGAGGTGTACTGGACGTCCCTCTTCTGAATGTTAATGGGGGACTGGTGCCGTCCCCGGCAGTCTGCAAAGTGCGTTCCCCAGTGTATCTCATCCAGTTCCCCTTTAGGCAATGTCCAAGATAACACAGGAAAAGAAGAGGTAGAGATGACACTTGCACAGGAGCCATGACTTTGGACACGGGTGCCTGTTTTCCTGATCTTCATTTTTCCTCTTCCCTCCCCATTCATTTTTCCTCATGTGTCATGACTTTTTAGATTAAGTCCCAGAGTCTTTTTGGCTGAGCAGTGGGCTGGAAAGAGAACGGTTTGAGGAGGGGAGCAGCCTGGTAGAATGTATTTTTAACACATGCTCTCCATCTTGCCCTCCACTGCAGCATGAAGGAGCAATTGCTGCCAGATGGAAATGGATTGAAGAACCAGCACCCTGCTCCCCATTTTCTTTGAACATAGCTGAGTAGCACCTTAAGATCAGAAAGAGAGGCCCTTCTCATTCACCCACCTGTGACAGCAAATGCACAAGCGACCACATTCATTTATTTATATATTTATTTTTCAATTTATATCCTGCCTTTTTCCTACAAAGGGCTCAAGGCAGCTTACATCATTCTCCTCCTCCATCTTATCCCCACCACAACAACCCTGTGAGGTAGGTTGGGCCGAGAGTCTGTGACTGGCCCAAAGTCACCCAGTTGGCTCCATGGCTGAGCGGGGACTCGAACCCGGATCTCCTGAGTCCCAGTCCTGCGTACTTAACCACTACACCACACTGCCTCTCATGGGAGAGGGTCTTCTCTGCAGTGGCCCCGTACACCTGAAATAAGTTCACACTGGGAGTGCGCAGGGCCCCAAGCTGGAGGCTTTTAAGACGGCCTTGTTGTGATGTGCTGTGAGGTTTCCAGCCCTTGATAGCCCTGCTCGGCTCTTGTAAGCTCAAAGGCAACTTTTTAACGATCGCCTCTGTGGTGATGTTTCTTGCTCCTTTCATTGCTTTTCTACTGTTGTATTTTTATCCCTTTTACTATCGTATCAGTTTTGGGAGGATGTCAGTTTATGGGCACTCCCTTCTTGCCCGGCCAACTTCAGTTTGTGCCGATCACAGAGTCTCAGCCTCACCTACCTCGCAGGGTTGTTGTGAGGATAGGCTGGAGGAGGAGGGCGGCTACGGATGCTGCCTTGATCTCCTTGGGGAAAAAGTGAGATGGAAATGCAGTGCATCACGAAGGCAAAGCTGCAGTGAGTCAGCACAGAGGCCTTGTCCTATTTTGAATGTGCTTGTTAAATATTCATTTTTAAAAGTCAGAAAAGGGCACTAAGAGGCCCCTCTTTGAACAGACGTTGGGAGTTGCTCTGCTTTTTCAGGGGATGCTTGTGGAGACTCTGCCGCAGTACTTTGCAATAATGGGGGATTATCGATCTGTATCAAATGGCTTTTCAAAATGAGAAGAATCCATGACATCATGGTGGGTCAGGTTAGGTCAGTCAGTGGCTTCTGGGAAGGCTTGGCTGTGGGCTTTAAATGTGGCTTGCTGTTCTGCTCCTGACCGTCCAAACCAGTAAGACACTCTTGGGGCCTTCCAAATACTCTCCCCGCCCCCCCCCCCCCGTGTGTGTGTGTGTGCGATCTTTAGCCCTTACTTAGTATTAGTCCTGTTGTGCATTCGGGATGGTTTTGCCTTTGCTTCAGATGGAAAGTTTCCTCTCCCACTCTGTTTCCCACTAATGAAAAATGTCTTGCCTATTTGAACATTTCAGTGCAACACTATTTAGTGATTTTGCAGGCTCGCCTTAGGGGTTCTCAAGATTCAGAGCAATCCCATGGCTCCTAGATGGTCTGCGATTTCCTCCTGCACGTCTTGAACCTCTCTCTCTGCCCACCGGTGTGACTACCTTTCTCCACCTTCTTTGATGAGATGCAGTTGTTGTCCAAGTTGCTGTTCTCTGTGTGTGTGTGTGTGTGTGTGTGTGTGTGTGAGAGAGAGAGAGAGTGAGTGAGAGAGCTTTAGCCCTTATGGTCTGGTGGAGCTCTGAATTCAAGGCTGCCTCTCCAGGCAGCCCGCTTGGTGGGCGATCGATACAGAGAGAACGCGCCTTGTTCCTTCACCGTTGGCCGTGAGCACTATCGATCCGTTCGGTGGATCGCCTCTTTTCCAGGGGGAAGAGCGGGACAGCAATGGAGCGAAACAGCCATTTTGCAGCCGCCTCCAAAGGAGGAGAAACGTTTCAGGAAAGGCCGCAGAAAGCGGCCTTATTGCTTTATTCATTTATTAATTTGGATATTTCTAACCCGTCCAATACAAAGCGTCTCTGGATGGCTTACAGAGCAATAAATATCCAACAAATACAATAACAAGATAAAATAATAGCAAGATAAAACGCGACTGAGGATAAATAAAATCTGAATTATTTTTTTTTAACTTTAAAATATTGGGTGAATAAAAGGGTTTTCACATGGCGCCGAAAAACATGTAATGTCGGCGCCAGGCGAACGTCTCTGGGGAGCGCACTCCGCAGCCGGGGCGCCACATGAACCCTCCCCAACACTGTGGCGCTCTCCCTGCACGTAATTTAGTTCCAAAAAGACTGAATATGGGCTGTTTCTACTTAAAATGACTGCTGGAATTAAGTGTGGGATGTGTCTTAGAGGAGGAGTGGGGAACCTCTCCCGGCCAGGGGCCACGTCCTCCCCGTGGGCCGCGCTCCTGCGGTGCGTGGGTCTGGGGCGCTTGCTTGGTTCAGCGGCTTGTTTGGTCTGCTGGGTATAGCCAGAGACGCCTTCCAGCCAGCCAAACTCAGAAGGTCTGGTCGTGATGGGCAAGGGCATTTTAGAAAGGCGCTCCCTAGCCTGTGTTGGGGCAGTCCGTTCTGCCACACCAGCTTTTATTCATGGAAATACTGTGCGTGGTGCTGTTTTCTCCCTGCTGGATGAGAGGCAGCATATTTTATGACTGAAGAGGAGCTTGAGTCTGAATTTCCATACATATTTATGCAGTCTAGTCCTGAACCTCCAATCTGGTGCCTTTGAGATGGGCTGGACTACCACTCCCATCATCCCCACAGCCTGGCCAAGGCGCTCTGTGTGATGGGAGTTGTAATCAGACACTTCTGGAGAGCCCAAGAATTGGAGCAGGTTGCTTCGATTATTACACCACACTGTCAGTGTACGGACCACACAACCCGTATTCAACCATGGGTTGTTTTTGAAGTGTGGGCTGTTGTATGGTCTGAACCCAAACACACTAACAAACCATGGTTTCTTGACTACAACAACTGAGAACTGGTGGGTTATGAACTGTGGCTATTATCTCAGCTAGGGTCAGAGAACACGATCACCCGCATTTCAGGGACAATCCACAATCAACCCATACTCTTCCCTTCCTGTTTAAACCCGCAATGTCTGAACTCAGCCACTAGCTCTTAACCTCCTGGGGCAGTTGTCCATGCATGCTGGATTTTACCGGAAGCCTGCGCACATTGAAGCAGGTACCCTAGTCAGCCATTAGGAGTGTAAACAGAAACCCTGCCTTGCATGCATAAGCTCCCAGTTTCAATTCGTGGCTTTTCCATGTAAAGCCAGGAAGGAACCCTGCCTGAACCCCAGTCTGTGTTGACAGCTCTGGACTTGAAGGACCCAGGACTGAAAGTGTCCAGCAGTCCTGGAAGTCTGCTGGCTGCATGCAGCAGAATGTTAAAAGCAGTTGTCGCAATCCCCTGATCCCTCTCCACCTTACCTTGGTAGCTCCAGTGTAGGACACGAGAAGAACCCAGCTGCAAAAAGAGCAGGAGAAACATCCAGTCGCTAGTCCTCATGGCTCTCCGATATCTGAAATCAGATCCAAGCTGCAAATTGCCTCCTTTTCATCTCGGTGTGGCAGAAAAGGGTAAATAACAATTTACTCCCAATCTAACCTCCCCCGCTCGTCCCCACACGCTCTTTGCCTGCCGAAACCATATCAGCTTTCTGTGGTTCTGTTTGGCTTTTCAGTCTGGGACGGCTCTAATGATGTCTTATTGACCCACCTGGAATTGGCTGGCGAGCGCCTTAATGGAATGGCCCAATTGCAGTGCAGAAGAGACTCGGATAAGAGCGGTTAAGGCAGTGTTGGGTTTGATCTTTAGCATTGCTCACTTGCTCCTCTTTGTGGAGACAGCAGGACTGGTTCTCTGTGCAGTGGCACCCTGGAAGCATTTCTGTTGAATGCGCCCTCACTTGCAAGGCACAGAGGTGGAACAGCCTTGATGAAGCAAAGCTGGCTCAGGTCTGGATATTAGCTAGAAGGGAGACCTGCAGAAAATACTGTGCATGTGGATTTGGGCCCTGCGGTTATATCCATCTTGAGGGATGCTCACTGCAGCGCCTTTGGGCACCTCCAACAATGCTCACGAAGCTCTCCTCTCTGCAAAATGTTAGCCAACCCTCTTTTTTGCCCTTTCTAGTCCCGAGCTGCTCTTTCTTTCCATCCACTACCGCCTTAACTCACTTTTGTTGGCCAATACGGGACCAACTACATCCTCCATGGAAGTGGTTGCATGGATACGCATAGCAGTTCCTCACCTTTCCAAAGGCACCCCCGATTTCCAAAAATGCATTACGACAGTTGGGTAACTCTCATGTAATGAACATGCACTCTGTGCTAGCTTTCAATGCGCAGGGAGTTGGATTCATTAATGGGCTGGAGTTCCGGGGGACTCCCAGTGTTCTCCCTTCCTGCCCCCACAGCAAGGTTTAGCCCCACAACAATACCATCTGTCCTTGGTGATGTGCTATTGTTACAAAGAACTAGGAAGTGAGGTGTCTTGAAAGTGAGGCATGCATTCAGAAGCGAAAACTGAAAATATAACTCCCCACTATCCACAACGGATAAGGACAGCTCTGATGGAGTGAACAGAAGGTCCCTTCTGTTCAGCTCTCTACCATTGAGCTAGGCTGCCTCCACCGTTCCTCTGCAAGCTGGGATTCGGGTTACCAATTTCTTTGAAAAATAATAGCACAATTTGGGTATGTAATAGTGACGTTCAGACAACATGATAACCTGTGCTCAGTCCATTAGTGTAGCTTGTCATCTAACCATGGGCGGTGGTTGAATTTGCAGGGTTTTGCTGAAACATGGGTTAGCATGCTGTCCGAACCCAGCAGTGTTAACCCTGAACAACCCAGGAAGAGAAGACATGGTTTGTTGCTGGTTGTGAACTGTGGGTTGCTTGCTGTAGAGGATGGTCCACTGCAAAAAAATAGGTCGCCTGGCCAGCCTGTTTTTCACAGCATGAAGTCGCACCTGTGGATGCCTTGAGCTGTTAACCTCTGGCTGGACACTGTAGGAAGTTTTCCAGACTCCGCCTGCACAGGACTTACACCCTTAATAAACCCACTCAAGTTGGGCTGGAGACACAAATGCTGATCGGGGGATTTTCTGTTCCCTAGCCATGACTCCTCGTTATATAAGGTACAGTGCAAAACAAAGCAAAGCAGTTTAATTCCACATTTTCAAAAGATTGGCACACCTTTTAGCAGCTATGCTTTGTGTGTATGGGGTGGGGATGGGTTCGTGTGCTTGCATTCTTTCTCTTTCTAGAAACAGCCTCCTTTCGATTGTGCCGTTTTAGCTCTCCCTTACGCCACTCCAGTGGCCAAACACAATGCCGTTTCTTTTGATGGAGAGTTCTTCACACGCACCACAAAAGCATCTTCAGAATGCAGCCAGACGGTTTGTTGTTGTCTGGTTGGGGTTATGGACTACACAGGAGGAGGAGGAGGAGGAGGAGAATAAACTTTCTACAGAATAACTTTCTTGGTTACCACCAAGAGTAACCAAGTGAGATCTTGCAGATAATTGGCAGTGGTGAGGCTTGGAAATTTTAAACTCTGGTCTAAGATCTACAGCCATCTAAAATCTGCGTTAGGGAAAGGTGGAAGAGCAAGTGATGGAGTGCAGGAAAATGGTGGGTCTCCTGAGCCATGTAAGAGTTCTGTAGATGGAGAAGGAGCAGGTTGGTGAGAAAGGTTTCCCCAGGATAAATGTGTCCAAGTGTGTTGATCTTTAAGGTGCCTCAAGATCCTTTGTTGTTTTGGCTGTTTGGAGAAATTGTGGGAAGTGTTTTCACAGCCAGGTAAATAGGTGGAAATAGGTCACCAGGTTATTCCGAGTTGGCTGCAGTGTTCAGAAGTCCCTTGGGCGAGGAAGGATCTAATTCTTTGCCACCGTTGTCTTGATTCAGACAGCATAATTCCCAGCACTTAGGAATTGAGTATCAGCTGAAGGTGGGCTGTAGATTGTTGTTAAAATGTGGGTTCATGTGTTGTCCAAACTAGCCAAGGCTTGTTGTACAAACAACTCATGACGCAAACTCATTGTTTGTTTCATTATGAACTGTGAGTTATTTGCTATAGTTTATATCTCAGCAGGGTTCGAAAATCCAATTTCTCTCACTTAACAACCAGTGACACAAAGCACACCCGAGTGTGTCTTCGCTGCTAAATAGTTCTCTGGACATCTACGAAAGGTGGCTTTCTGGACAACGAAATGAATTAAGTATGTAAATTCAGCAATGAAGAGATACATTTAGGCATCACTTTGACAGGCTGCTCAACTTACCTTGACCTAGGGGATGTGGAAATTCTCCTGGATGCAGAGATTCAGGTACCCTCTCTGCCCCATTCTGTCACCAGTTCATGGAAATTCTCTTTGCTCCATGCAAACTCATTTGTGACATCATAAGAGGCTGCAAGGCCTTGTTCTAACCTCCCTTTCAGCCTGGATGCCTTTCCCTTCCCTGCAAAACTTTCCGAAGCTTTGCCGGTTGCTGTTTTGCTCCCAGTCTGTGTGCGTTCCAACTCATGGTGGAAGCCTGGATGTCGGGGGGTCGATCAAGCACCCCAATTCAGCCCAAGAGGATTCCCTTATTAGCTAGGACACCTTCTAGGAGCCTCAGTCCATTCTCCAGAGTGTAGATCGTAGTTTCCCAGCTTTCCTGTTAATTTCCTCATCCTACGGTTTCTCTTTAACCATAAGGCTTTAAAGCTAGAATATGTTCAACGGACAGAGTTTGCGGCACTGCTAGTCAAAAGATGTAGTACACCTATTCCTCGTTTCCTTCCTCAGAGATGGAAGAGGTCGTGTGAAAACTCAGAAGGGTGACACAGGGGAGAAAACACGCTTCATCTGCACAATTCTGTGAATGAGACACTACGAAACTCAAAGGTGTGCATTGAGTTGCAGGCTCATTTTGGCGCTCGAAGTGGAACATCCTTTTTATTTATTATGTTATTAACGAATTAAGACCTGGCCAGGCCCTTAAGAACCACCTTTCCAGCGAGATGTTCGAAGCCATTCCAACTCTCAAAGAACAGCCTGCTGCTGTTGCAACAGTGTAGACAGTCACTTTCTGTTCCCGTCTCCCCATCATCGTGAGAAAGAATTCGGTTGTTTTTAAATGGGCATGCGAAGCCCTCGATTCCGTTGGTAATGGAACCAGATTCCCACGGAAAACCGAGCTGCTTTGTTATCCCAGAAGTGAGATGCATTAAGAATAATCATAATAATTTTTCAGACATTCAAGCCTGCATACATGAATGAACAAACGTTTTTCAGAGCGGCCTGCTTTCCAAGCCCCCGCCTCTAACAAACTGTACTATCCTATATATTTAAAAATATGCTGACGCCAGGAAAAATAATACCAACATCTGAATTATGCCAGGATTTTCAGGACAGATGTCTGACCAGTATTGCCTCCAGCGACAGGAGTACAATCACGCCAAATGGTTTCATCTGTTATGGGAAGGCGAGACCCTGATGCTGATATCTCCAATGTAATGAATCTAACCCTGTGATTGTAGGAGAAAGCACCATCGCAGTCTTGGGGTTCTTTGGCCCAAGGTACAGGCCATGAACGTAATGAAATATGAAAGAAATACGCTGCATAGACAACAGAAGTGTGCATTGTGATCTCGAGCATGGCACCTTGTTTATTTGTGCTTCCCCTGCTTTTAAACCACCCCATAACCAAAGTTCTCTGACTGTGTACAGTGCATATCTCTCCTCCAAACCTAACGTACAAATGTTGCAACAAAGGACACATGAAGTTACAACACAGCACAGGATAAAATCAAAATAAAACCAGCAGGGGGCAAAAACGCCATTCTGCCATACAAAAGCAAATGAAAACCAGCAGCAACATGAAGTGTTAAAAGCAGTACTTAACACAATAGCATTATTATTAGCTGCAATAAATGAAAGGTGTGATCTCATGCGTGTTTAGGCAGAAAAAGTCCTGCAGTTGTATAATTTTTCAGAGAGGTGTGGAGCTAGAAAGGTTCGATACAGCTGGAAAGGTAAAAATGCCCCTGGAAAGGTTGACCCTGGCTTGGTACTCCTTGATCAAGGATGTTGGAGGCTCCCGTCCTCCTTCGGGGCTTCCCAGAGGCTCCTGGTTGCTCCTGTGGGAGCCGAGATTGTGGACTAGATAAGCCTTTGGTTTGATCCACAAGGGCTCTTACGCTTCTGTAGCTATTGTAAAGATGTCAAGATAATTCCTGAGATGCTCTTCCTAGTGCGATTCTACTCAGGGGCAACCTCCACGGAATGCAGTGGGAGTCAGTCCAAGAAGTGCTAGATGCTCATGGCCACAGGGTCAAAATGCAGTGGTCAGCCCTCTGTCTCTGCTTTTTTCTCTTCAGAATGCCCAGGGCTCTCTATCAAGAACTTCACAGCGATTTTTTCCATCCTGCCAAGGGCCTGCCCTGCTGTGGGAGCCCCAACACCTACTCTAAAGTCCAAGCTGAAGAAGACTACTTCTTCCTATTATTATTATTATTATTATTATTATTATTATTATTATTATTATGAACACTTCTATGCCGCCCCATTCGCAAAAGCCCTGGGGCGGCTTCCAATACAAATAAATAACTATACAAATACATAAAAATACATAAAAATCTAGAGACATCCCTCCATAAATATAAAATCAATAAATAAATCCAACAATTAAAATGACGTTTAAATAAAAAGGTCTTGGCCTGGCACCGAAAAACAAATAACGATGGCGCCAGGCGGACCTCTCTGGGGAGCTCATTCCATAGGTGGGGCGCCACTGCAGAGAAGACCCTCCTCTGGGTACTCACCCTCCTAATATCTTTCACGGGTGGCTCCCAGAGAAGGGCCTCGGCCACCGATCTCAAGGGACAGGAGGGCAAATATGGAGGCAGGAGTGGACAATGGGTGACCTTGCCAATGTTTGGGCCTACAGCTCCCATCAGTACTAGCCAGCATAGCCCATGGTGCAGAATGTTGGGGGCTGTAGGCAAAAGGCGGGATGGTCCCTTGTTGCCCACCTGGTCATGGATGAATTGGAAATCGTTTTCATTGTTAAAGAATATAAGCTGCAACATAATGCATTCACCATCGTGTCTGAACATAAACTGAGGGGGGACTTAAAGCGAAATAAATGCTGTAAAAGAAACTTGTCAAAAGGCAGAGGAGCCAGGCTATGGGAGCCCTTGAATGAAAGCATTGGCTGTGTTTTGTATTCCAGTATATTAGAGCCGATGCAATATTTCTTAGTAATTTAGCTTCAACTGGTCTTTCCCGAGGCATGCATGGTGACAAGTCTGGCTATCTCCCCGCTCCTCACTGTTTATTTCACAACAACCTTGTATGGTAGGTAGCCTTATAGACTGCTTAGGATGGTGTATCTTTATTTTGAAACACATTCCATGTATGTTGAATGTATATTTGAAATAATAGGTCCTGGCTTTATCTCCTGTCGTGTTCAGATTTGTGTACTATTACATTATGAAATGAGTGTTTGCTTTATGCAGCTTTGCACCACTTCATGGTGGAAAAAGCAGAAGGAAGGAAGAGATGGGGCGTTGCAGAGGATACGTGTGATTCTTCAGCATTCAATTTTGAGAAATGGGAGAAGGAAAAAAAATCTAACTGACTTGGTTTGATTTTTGGGGGGGAGTTACTGACTAGGGCAGAATGATTATGCAAATATTGCACAGTTGTAAAACCAGGAGGGATTGAGAGCGAGATGTACTTTGATTTCTGTACGATTACATTTTGGGGGGAGATGTAGGCAGAAAAAAGAAAATTTAAAAATCCAGTTTGGCTTTCTTGGGGGGCGCGAGGCCCTGATTCCGGTTGAGCTGCGCCTCCTTTGCAACTGCGGCATGGCGGGAGAAGCCGGGTGCAGAGAGGGGAGGAAGACACGGCGGGCGCCCCTCGCCGCATTCAGCAAAACGGGGATTTTCCGCCGCCTAAGAAAAAAACGCACCAAAATGCGCTCTAGCGGGCTCAGCAGAAAGGGCCGCCGGGGCACGTAGCGCACGCGCGTCGGCAGGCGGAGCCGCCGCGCGGCCCTCGCGGCCAATCGGAGGCAAGCGAAGCGGCCCGCGCAGCCAATGAGAAGCCGGGCTGGGGGCGTTCATCTGCATGGAGCAGGCTATAGTTCGGCGCGAGCCGGGCCGCTCGTCCCAGTGTCCCCGGAGCGCGAGCGCAGCTGTGTTGCCGCCGTTGCATTGTCCCCCGTAACTCTCAAACGCTTCCAAGCCCCGCTTAATAGTCTTGCTTTTGCAGGTGCGGCTCTTGCCACAGGTAAGTTGCGGGGGGGGGGGGAAGGAGAGGGTGCCCTGCCGCGCAGAAGATGCATTCTTCCGAGGGGGCAGGAAAGCGTGTTGCGTGCGGCGGGGAAGCCCCTTTGTCAAAAGCTTGCCGACAGCAATTGGCCTCGTGCATTAAAGGAAAGGTGGGGATGGGGGTGCCTTCGCAAGCGGTGGGGTTCACGGCCCCATTCGGGCTCCATTCCCGGCGAAGGCCGCTTGCCGAAAGTGAAGGCCAGGCTCGGGCTCTGCTCCCCGCCCCCAAAATCTGCGTGTATCATTTCAGTGATTGTTCGCCAAGAGCGTTCCCAAGTTCGCATGTAGGGCGGCGTGTCTCCCCCTCGAGAGAGACGCCCACGCCTGGGGGTCTCTGGCTTGAGTCCCCCAGTCCTCCCCGCCTGACGCGGCGTGATAGGAGCTGTAGTCCCCTCATATTGGTAGGAGAGGCCGAAGGCCCGTTTAAAAGCCTTCGTTATGGCGCACCCCACGTGAATAAGGAGCTTTCCAAGGTGGGGCCGTCGGAGTGGGTGGCGTGGTGCAGGCATTGAAGAGGCAATCGGGGGAGAGGAGCCGGGCACGCGAGGTCCAAGGCGGGGGGGTCGGTTTCCTTCTGGGTGCGCGCCCCCCCCGGTCCTCCCCGCTCCCAGGAAGGGTGCCTGCGGTGGGTCTCCCGAGGGCGACGGCTGGGGGGGTGAGAGAGAAGCGGGGGTCGGGCTACCCTGGGAGGGTTCGCGGGGAGCCCTCCGCGGCCTTTCAGTGGGGCTCCTCGGAGCTTTGTTTGCAAAGGGCTCGGCCGGGCCGTTTCCGCCTCTTGCGGTGCCGCCGCCCCTGCCGGCGTGCGTCGGGCTGGCCTCTCCGGAGCTGGGGTGGGAGACGTGGGGCAGTGGCGGAGTTGAGCCGGACTCTCCTGGTAAGGACGCTCAGCTCAGCTCCCTCCTCCATTCCAGGAATGGCCCCTCCGCCCCTGGTCTCCTTCCGTCCCCGCGACTGTGACCTACGCGGCGTGCGACCTCTGCAAAGAAGGCTCAAACCATGATTTCTGGGGGGCTGAGCAGGAAGGGAAAGGGGGGTCTTTCGAGTACAATACCGAAACACTTCCTTCTGCTCCTGCAGTTTCTGCTTCTTTCTTGGGGACTAGCCGCATGTGCAGTGCCCCGAGTTGTGCATTCCCTGCGTGAAGCGGGGGATGACGCAGCGATGGCCGAAATAGCCCTGCGGAAGGCGATGCTGCGGGAGAGGCGGCAGCGGGGGCGAGTGCAGGCCGAGAAACATGGAGTAGCTGCGTTTGAAGACGCCGTGGCCGCGGGCTGTGCAAGTCCGGGCATACCGCGCATACCTGGCTCCTTCTATCTCCGGCTTGCCTGACTGTAAAACTGAGCGCTGACTTACAAGGGGGGCAGCTGCCGAGTTATCCAGCGTGTTGCAGGCATGTGCTAAGTGGCCGGAAAGGAGTATTTTTTGAAGTGCTGATTCACAGTGGGCCTGCATGTGCCTTTTTTTGCTGGCCGGTTCGCCAGCCGTACCGAGTGGGAGGTTCTGCATCGAGCAGCAGATTCTGCGTCATGAATTCCTTGCAGCAGCAGGCTTGCTTTCTCTTGGGTGCAGGGTGAGAGCCTGTTAACATTTGAGGTGGGGATTTTTTCAATTCAGGAAATTAATCATACCGCTACCTTTCTTGAAGTAAGCGGCTTTCAATTTTCAAGCACTTTGAATAGCTCTTGAATGCATTTCAGGGGAGGGGGAGGGAGCAAACCCATGTAAAGTTTTTTTTTGTTTTTGCAGAGGAAGAAAAGAACTGTCTTGTGTCACCTTTAGAGTAAAGCATTGATTGTGCATCTCTCTCGGGTGCAGTGATACAGCATTGCACACTTTATCTTGTGCTGCTTTATTCTTTAATGATGAAACTCTGACTTATGTAATGATTAACGGCCAGTGTTGCATGGTGCATCTTGCTGTGACCTTCCACTCTTGCAACAGTAGCTGTCCTTCATTTCCCCATTTTCAAATATTGAATGTTAAGTTCTTACTTCAGTTATTCCCTTTTTAAATTTTCTGTGTCCAGGGAGGATTTGTGGCTCTCAGTGCAGCTTGGAGGGATGCCTTTTTTGTTCCAAAATCAGTTTGATAAGAAGGGCTTTTGGAGGTAGTTTGTTTTTTCAGGGTGGACATGGAAGTGGTACTGTCCCTGCCTAGAGAGCTTACAGCAACTGTGAAAAGGAGCTTGAAATTATTAGTCCACCAGTTGCTCCAACAGTAAACGTGGGTGTCAGGTAGCAGCAGGAAAAAAAGAGGGAAGCATCACATGTTTAGGGGACCCCAATGTTTGCAGAATTGTAAAAAAAGAAAAAGGAAGTTGGTAGAGTCAAACATGGGAGATGTGTATCTTGGGCACATGTAATAGACTGAAGAGATACATGGATTGTGCTGCTTTAGTCTGTAGCTAAACCTTTTTAATGCACATATCCTTCTGGCAAATAGCTAGTGCATCAGAGGAAAAATTGCAATGTTTCCTAGTTTGCTGCTGCCAAGGAATTTACTTCATTTCAGGGAATTTGGCTGGCTTCCCCTCTTCTGAACCCTTTACCATTTTAGCACCACAATGACCCTGCGAGGTTGTTTCGATGGGGAGAAAGTGACTTGGAGATCTGAACTTGGCTGTCTCCAGTCTGAGGCCCTCCAGACATTCCTGCCTTGGGAGTCTTAAAAATGCCACCTCAGATCTGCTCCTGCAAGTCCTGCCTGCTTTTCCCAGTTTATGTCCCTGTCGTGATTTAGAGAACAGAGGCGCCGTCTTCAGTAGTTTGGCAAGTCGGAGAAAGAACCCTGAAATAGAGCGGACACAACTATGGAGACAATGGAAGCAGGCCTGATTGTCATCTAGCTCTGTCCTGTTATTCCCCCAAGGATTTCTTCTCTGGATTTGTGCCTGATGTTTTGGCCTGCAAACCCCATCATCCCCAGCCAGCAAGACATCTGGAGGGCACCAGGTTGAGGAAGGTGGTTCTACCCCTTGGGGGTTGGATCTTTTGCTAAAGAAGAGAACAGTTGGTCTCGATTTGGGAGGAGGAGTAATTCTGTCTGTCTCCTGGAATTCAGGGACATGTGGTACAGCACAGCAGATGGTGGCGGAGATGGAGGCATTTTGACTGAAGAGGCGTCTTTAAAATTAAGTTTTTCTCCATTGCCTTAATGCTGAGTCACGGGGCAGGATGAGACATCCGAGGCAGGCAGGAAATTGCATTTGTTGGCTTCCAAGCCACAGATGGAACCATTAGAGGAAAAAGCGCCTCTCGCTGTGGGCATGTGTCCCTTCCCTCTTCTCTCCCCTCTTTGCCATTTTCCCCTCTCCCTTCCCAGCTGTCTCTTGGGTGGAAGCCCTGGTACAGCTGCCCCTTTCCCTATTGGGCTACCCTTCCCATCATCCTCAGCCAGCTTAGCCAGTGCTGAGGGGGCCTATGGGAGTTGCAGTCCAACATAACCTCTGGCATGATGGGCCCTTTCTGCAGAATTTGCAGCTTCTGGAGGTCAGGAGGAGATGGAAAAGGGCTGATCTTCATCAGAGCATCTTTATCTTAGGGGATTGCCTTGCTTGGACTAGCCAAGGAGTTTTTATTGGCATTCTGTTTTAATATGGTTTTTACTCTTTTTATCTTGTATTGCTCATTGCTCTGGAATCTGTTTATGTGTTAGAAGTGCATAAATAAAAAACCACTTTTCTCATATCTGCTTTACTCAGGCAGAGCTGTGTCCTTGATGCTTGGAAGAGTGGGATAGAGTGTTAGGTTGCAGGGGAAAGACTTAGAACATCCCGCTTAATTTACTTACATAATTGCCAGTTGCAAGCTTGGGGACGCACAGACTTTGCATGATGAAGGGGTAGAACCACCTTTTACAACCCAGAACCCTCTCAATGCATTGGATTCCCCCACCTCCTAGCATTCCTGGCTGTGGGCCTTGCTGGCTGGGGGTAATGGGAGCTGAAGTCCTAACAACTGGAGAGCACAAGCTGGGGGGAAAAGCTGAGCTTAAAAGCTTGGGTTTGGTTTGGTTTGGTTTTTCTGTGAACTCAGATTTTTTTTTAAAAGCCATATTCATAATATTTTCCTGTTATTTTAGTTAGCTGGTTTTAATTGTGGCTTTAATATTTAATCACTGGAAGCTGTGCCATTTTTATTTTGTGTTTGTTGTAAACTGTTTTGAGACACCAGTAATGGGACAGTCTATAAAAAAAACCCTTCAAATAAAAGATCTAGCCATTTGGGAAGATGTACCATAAACGTTAAGCCAAGTCTTCCCAAGCCCGACGCTCCTCAGATGTGTTGGGGACTACATGCCCCATCATCCCCAGCCAGCATGATCTTTGGCCATGCTGGCTGGGGATGAAGGAAGCTGTCATTTAGCACCCCTGGCGAGCCACGGTAGCACAAGACTTGGACATCCAGATTCTGGTCCCCCGTCCATGATGACTTGGGGCCAGTCAAGCCTGGTCAACTTTGCAGGGTTGTTGTGCCGATACAACGGAGAGGGACTGGCTGAGCAAGCCGTGTTCCTGGCAGGAGGCATATGGGTGGGGTAGAAATGTAATAGTCCGGAGTGCACTGGCGGTACAGCCCTTCCTGATTTTGAAGGGAAGAGGGCAGATCTGTGAGAGAGGAGTTGCATCGGGTTTCCTTGCTGTGCCCACGGGGAGGGTCCACCCATCTGGGCCCCCAGGGGCCGATGGGGGGTGGCCAGTTGGAAAAGCTGCGGCCCTGCCTGCAAAGCGGGAGGCTCAGGAAGGGGCGGGGCTTGTGGGGAGGTCGCCCTGAAGGACGCCGGCACTGCGGTTATGCTGCTGCCGCTTTGGCTCGGCCCGGTGAGGACTCTGGGCCTGCATGCTGTGAGTATCCGCTGGGGGGAAGCGACGGAGTGGGCCGCCACTTGCAGGAAAACTTGCAAAGCCTCCGGGAATGCCCGCTGGGGCTTGAGGGGCTTTGGCGTTGATGCAGACACACAAGAAGAGCTGCACGAGAGGGATTTAGAATCCGAGGAACGGACTAGTGTTAAAACCCTTTTAAGGCAGTAAGTAATTCTGCTCAAGGCCTGCGTGTGTAAGAAACCGCAGTTTAAACTGGCATTGATATCGTTGGGGTGTCAGTCCCTCCTGTCTCCCCTGCAGTTCAGAACAGATTCCCTCTTTTTATCTGCATAACAGCCCTGTGAGATGGTTAGGAGAAGGAGAAAGTATGTGTCACTGGCTAGACCCAAATTTTATGGCAAATATGAATTTCAGCTCAAGTCACCTCTGCATTGGGGGTGCAATCTGGTACGTGCCTAGATAGAAAAGTCCTGTTCCCAGCAAGCGCCACCTTTTTTGCTATTTAAACCTGCCCTCTGGGCTGCTTTTAAACATTTAAATTTGAAAAATGCATTATAAAAAGATATTTACTTGCAAGCGTACAGCACACGGAGATGTGGATTGTTTTCCATGCACAAGAAAAATTCAAGAGTCGAGCGAAAGTATAAGATCTGATGCTGTATGCTTGAGAGAAGCAGCACCTCTTAACCTGGTGCCAAAAAGACAAGTACGTTGGGGTCTGTTGGGCCTGATTTGAATGATTCCACAACTGGGGGGCCACCCCTGAGAAGACCTCACTTGTGGAATGTCTTTGTTCCGAGCATCTGCAGGAGTCCCTGGTTATCCATGGTACTGTCAGATTTGTGCTTGGTATTCGCCTATGGCGACTTCAAATGGTCCATGGTGAACAGTAGGGAAATGTGTAAAGTAGATGGACCGGAATTTCTGAATTAATGTAAGGCATGTTAGCTGCACCTGTCTTACGGTTACGTCCTTACGCTCAGTGGTGTCTTTTGTCTTCCCCTTCTTTCTTCCTAGGCAGACAAGATGGCTGTTGTCAAGATTTTCGCTCGTGAGATCTTTGACTCGCGTGGGAACCCCACTGTGGAAGTAGACCTGCATACCAAGAAAGGTGAGCCACTTTGGTCTGTCTGCTTGTCTGTGTGGGCTTCATGCCGGCTCCCGGGGTGGGGTGAGGGTGCGGGCGGGCAGGAGATACTGGGCTGAATATAGGCCTCGATCTGATCCACACAACCCTCTCCACCTTAAAATCAAGTCTTTTGTTCTGACACGTGTTTCTGTGAAAATAGTGGGGGCACTCTGGCTTCAGGCAGGACCTTGTTCAGCCCTACCTGGAGCTGCTGGGATTGCACCTGAGCCTGCCCCCCCCCCCGGCGTGTCTGTGTTGTCACCGAGTCCCCAACCTTTCTTTTGGTCGCCTTAAGTAAGCTAGAGGCACATGAGCCACCTTAATGCAGTCTGAGGCCTTGCAAACATTATTATACCATCCTGGTGCCCAGGACTACACATTCCATCGTCCCAAGCTGCCAGGGTAAGGGATGACAGCAGTTGCAAGCTAATGATGTTTGGGGTTAGATGGAGAGGCTGATTTAAGACTGATGGTCCATTCCATCAACGCATTTTCGGTATGTTGGCCTCCTCCAGCTTGGCCCCTTGGACTACTGATGCTGTCACACACAGCCTAAACCCTGCCTGGGGATGATGGGAGTTTAATTGTTAATATTATTGGATTTTATCTGACCAGGGCGGCTTATTTTATATTGGTATTTTTGTATTTTTAACTTAATGTTTATATTTTTTAATTTAATGTTATAATTATTTTTTAACTTATTGTTGTAAGCCGCCCCGAGGCTTTGGCGAATGGGGCAGCATAAAAATGTTTTAATAAATAAATAAATAGTCCGACAAACCCCTTGGTTAATGTTGGGTTGCAAATGCTTTGTTGAGCCCCGTTGAGCTGGGAAAAGCGGTCGGGATGAACACGTAGCTGTCTCTCCTGCTCTGGCCCCCCGTCCTTTCTGGGCCTCCCTTCAAAGCAAGCTTTGTCTGCCCCATTGGAATTTCCCTCCATGCTCCTTGCCTGCCCCATTGAATGGAGTGCAACCCCCCCGCCCCGCATGCAAACTTAGCGAAATCTGTGAGTGCAGCTTTAACAGCTAACGATTCCTCCCTTCGGCTTGGATGCTTTAGTGTTATCTAATTGGAAACTGTGACACAGCTTGCTAGCCGTTCTGGTGTAATTGGGGTTGCCCTGTAAAAAAAGCAGGGGGGAGACAGTCTTCTTCCCAGCTCCTCTAGCTGCGAGGGTCAGTCTCTTTGCTGCTTTCCCTCCAAACTGTCCTTTGTTACTGGCTGCTCCGTGCCTTATGGAATCCGACACGTCCTTTGTGTGAAGGCCGCAGTCGTGGCTGCCGAAAACTAATGAGCTGCCTGGCCCGGCCCTGCGGAAATACACGGATGTTCTCCTAATGAGTCTTTGGCCTGAATAGGTGGGGAGAGAAGTGGGCCTTTTGCCACTGGAGGACTCTGGCTGGCAAAAGAGAAAATGGGCTGATGCCAAATAAAAAGGACAGTCCTGTTCTACCTTAAACAGTCCTGTTTCAAAACCTCTGTTCCGGTGCAGCTTTTCAAACACTGAGTCACTTCATTAGTTGCAAAATCTCTCGAGTCACACGAGTTTGAAGGAAACCAGCCTGGGAGCTTCCCTGTCCTGGATGGCAGTAGCCACCCTTGCTGATCAGCATCCTGGCTGGGGATGATGAGTGTGGCAGTCCATCCCTTCAGGAGGGCACCAACTTGGGGGGGGGGAAATGAGTTAGAATGCAAGATCGTTAGTACCGTTCTAGGAACTGCAAATGTTGAGTTCATTTCTGACCCAGTTCAAAATCCCCTGGGATTTTTTGGCTCTGCCAAAACCCTGACCCTCTGCTTTTCCCCCAGTGAGGGGCAGTAGCTCCTCTGCTTTCCATGGGAAGGTCACAAACCCCAGCAGCTCCAGGTTTGGTTAGGCGCATCCTGCCTGAAACCTTGGGTCAGCTGTTTCTGCCAGCCTGTGTTGGTAGTACTGGGCTGGAGGGAGCAAGGGTTTGAGTCCACATACGGCAGCTTCCTATTTCAAGATGTCAGCAGCAGCAGGGGTGAGCTGGTGCAAGGGGAAGGGTCCTTGGGCCTCCATTGGGCCATCAGGCCCCACCAATTGGAAATGACCAAAGCAAAGAACCCTGGGAATTGTGGTCCACCAGTCTCCTTCATCTTAGTTCCTAACAGCTGGGAAAGAAGGAAATGGAGAAGGGAGGGTTTTGTCTTGGAACTAACTACACCAGAATGACTGGCCCACAGTGGAATAAGTAACAGGAGCTTGTTGGCCCCGTTACACTTAATGCACATTGACAATGGGGGAAAGCGACTGCTAATATTTCAGTTGAGCAGCGGCAAAAACAAACAAAAATGAAAAATGCTGGGCTGGAAGCACAAGTGCTGGTTTGCCCCCAGGGAAGCAGCTGCGCTCACTTGGATGCTTCTGCCCTTCCAGGTCTCTTCAGAGCTGCCGTTCCGAGTGGAGCTTCTACTGGGATCTATGAAGCCCTGGAACTTCGTGACAATGACAAGACGCGTTTCCTGGGAAAAGGTAACTCCTCCCTGTTGGATCCGCTGCACCGCCGTTTCTCCTTGATCGAACATCTTGGCTCGCTACATGCTTGTCCGTAAACATGCCTTTGGCTTGCCTGTTCCCACCTTAGAAACAAAACGCCCTGAAGGCCTGGGGAGGGGAACCTTTTTAGGCAGCCTAGCAAATGCGATCCTTCTTGGGAGAAGAAGGGCAGTGTCAAAGATAAAAGGTGCAACGAAGATGTAATTGATGCATTACCAAAGTTTCATCATTTATTTCTTACATTCTGTATTCCACCTTTCCTTCAGTGGCATACATGCACTTCCATTTTATCCCCACAACAGCCCTGTGAGGTAGGAGAAGCTGAGAGTGAGTAGCTGGCCCTACGTTTCCCAGTGAGCTTCAGGGCCGAGTGGGGATGTGAACTCTGCACAGGGAAGAGCAGTTCTTTCACTGGGCAGCCCCACCCGTGAGATGTCCTGCTTCTGGGCGCAAGGAACTCCTTGCCACTGTAACTCGGCATTGAACTTTCTCTGCAGCCATCAGCATTCTTAGAATAATTTAAACCTTCCTAGTAGCTGATAGGATGTTTTGCACATACTGGTATTTATTTTGGGGTTTTCAAAAGACTGCTGAGTGACAGTTCCTTAAGGACTGGAGGAGACTGTTGTTAATCCCTTAATGACTTCCTTTGTCACATCCCTGAACTGCCATTCCAGCCAAATCCACCCACAACCAGGTCCTGCTTTTCCTCAACTCCCAAAACTCCTGATGCATTTCTGGCTGCTTAAAAACCCAGTTTATCTGGGTTCTTACTGCTTGTTTGTATAATATTCTGGCAAGATTTTAGGCCTCCTGGCAGAGGAAAGTTACCTGCTTCTTACTCCTGAATTATTCCAAGCCACGTATCCCACAGAGAAGAAAGAGTTTAATAATGAGGTCTGAGCTTTTACATTCTCCTGGTCCTTTTACACTGCCACAGACCAACTGACAGATTTTCTGCCTTCACTGACTAGCAGTGGACTAGCTCCAGCGATGCACTTTCTCAGCTGCTCTTTTCCAGCTAGCTAGAATCTCCAGGCATCAGAAACCCGATTTCTCTGGTCTGGCCACCATTCAACAACATTCTAACCAACTCTCTGTCTGCAGAAAGGCCCTAAGCACCACAATGCAGGCCTCAGGCCTGGCCAGATTCGTGCAGGCTCCCAAAAGCTACAGGAAGTACATATTCTGCAGCATCCAATGTATACAGTGGGTTTCTTTACACATGGTTTGGCTCTTGTCTCTCAGAAAGCAAGCTGTGGCTTGAACTTCCTCAGTGACAGCTGGCACAAACCACTGCTTGGGGTGTGTCTGAGCCGAGGTGCATCTTGGGTAGAGATACCTCACTGTTTGGGTCGAACTGGGAGCAGTTTTGCCATACCTGAAGCTGTTCCTGCTTCCTGTTCCATTTCTGGTTTTTGGCCAGATGCTGGCAGGGCCTGCTGGTTTATTTTGCTCTGTATTTCCACTCGCTTACCCCCTATTTTTTTCTTTCCTGGCATGGTCTGCTTTTGTGTTCTCTTGTGGGCGTTCATCTCTCTCCGTCTTTCTCCCCACCCCTTCTCTCTCTCTCTCTCTCTCCTCTCTTCCCTCGTCCCCATGGTTCCCATCAGGTGTCTCCCGGGCTGTTAAATATATTAATGAATTCCTGGCACCGGCACTCTGTACACAGGTAATGGACGCACGCTTGTGGCACGGTCTGCCGCTCCAGGCAGGCGTTCCCTTCCTGCATGGTCTTGAGAACTAACCACCTAGCAGGCATTTCTAGAGGGTGGCTAATTTTCCCCTCCCTCTTGCCACACCATTTGATCCATCATTATCCTTAAGAGTAAAATGAAAGTATCTTTGCACACTTGACTGTCTCGTGTTGCCTTGGGGTTGCAACTCCAGTACCAAGCGATCTTCTATGAATGCCTGCTTTGACTTGTGGTAGATGGGGTTAGTGATGGATTTGCTTGTTCCTTCCAGGTGTATCAAAGGCTGTTGAGCACATCAATAAAACAATTGCACCTGCTCTGGTTAACAAGGTAGGAGCATTCCTCGTTTGACTAACTGCAGTGCCAGCAGAGCCGTTCACGGCTTCCTTAAAGCTGCTTCGTTCTCTGAGGGATGGCTGTTTTCTAAACCGTCGGCAAACACCTTGCTCTTCCCGGGCGCATGAATAAGCATGCATGCCTGTATTGGGGAGTGCGGCATGGCTGAGAAAAAATGTCGAGGTGCAACTCCTGTAACTGGAAGGAGCGCATGTGCAATGTTCCAGGAAGAGCTTTGTGGAGAGAGCTTTTCGAGCAGGGCTGCTGAACCTTCGGCCTGCTTGCTCACCCCATCTTGCAGTGGGGTTCACCTGCAAGGCTGGGAACTCCCCACAAGGCTACCTCCCCCCCCCCCGGACTCATCTCAGAGCCTCGGTGTCCTGTAAAGGAGAGCCCCCTCCCCATCTTCTCCAGGTTTAGGAGAGGTGCGTTAATTCTCCTCTGTGTTCACCAGACTGCGGGGCGCCTTGGCCAGTGGCAGCTGGGAAGAACTTTTACGGACCGTTTGGTTTAATCCTTGAGTTTTACGTGCAGCGTCTTGATCCTGCCCCAAGCTGAGGTACTGCGTCATTACCAAAACGGCTTAATGCCTGCCTTCCTACCAAGTTAGGATGGAACCCAGCTTCCCCACAAAAAATCTCAATTTTGGCGGCAGGAGAGTCTCTTCCGGTGTGTGCACTGCTGGATGGAGAACCCGGTGGCCCCGGAGGAAGCGGGTTGGGTGGCCCAGCCTCCTGCAACTTGGAGCCCTGCAGGCCATGTGGATTGCACCTCCAGCATCCCGAACTGTTGGCTCGGCCTGATGGTCGTGGAAGTCCAAAGCATCAGGCTGAAAAGGCAGCATCTTCCGCTGAAAACAGACCTAGGTGGAGAGGCGGGGGAGTGTTCTCTGTGAATTGGCACTTGTGCGTTTTCCCCTCTTGGATCGTGCTGGTGGCTCATCTTGTGTCGGGTCGGGGTTCTCTTTCCTCTCCTGCAGAACGTAAGTGTCCTGGAGCAAGAGAAGATAGACAAGTTGATGCTGGAGATGGATGGGTCAGAGAACAAATGTGAGTAAATCCGGGCAGCCTTTTGTGGGCGGTCTGGGGCTGGTAGAGAAGACCACCTTTGCCCTTCACGGCGGCTGGAGACCTCATCCCAGGGTTTCTGTGTGCAGACGCAAAACCTGGTTGGGGAGGGCAGATTCTGAAGGACCTAGTAATAGTGTTTGGACTCAGCCACTTTTCTGTTTAACACCAGCTCTGCCCTGTCAGAAATAAATCGGTATAGATGCTGTGATTTCAGGGCCTAGTAGGCCAGGCGTGACTCTCTCGGCTTAGTTATTTATTTGATTTTTATCCCGAAATTTATCTTTACCTGGCCAGGCCCATTCCAACTGGTTTGGTAGTTCACTGGCTCTTGTGCAGCTTTCCACTCATTCTGAAGGCACCTCTTGAGTTGTGGGTAGCAAGGATTTTAAGCTTCAATAGGCTGGTATTTTGGCACTGCCTCTGGAATGTGCCCAGTTCTGGAACTTAATCCAGCCCTTGGGCTGAAAGAGGAGAGATTGAATTCCAGACTTGGACTGCTCCGGCGTGACTGAGCATCTGTGGCACATGTTCTCAGTTTTGTGGCAGACTTTCACCTTCCAGATGGATGCCTTGCACCATGGAACCTGTTATCCCATTGGCAGTGCTGGCTAGGCCTGCTGGGTGTGGTGTTGCAAAACCTCTGGAGAGGGTACCATGTTAGAAAAAGCATTTCTTGGCTCTTTCTGATAAATTGTCTCTTCTGAGCTTGGGAAAGGAAGCATCTCTTCTGAAGAATGGTGAAGTCACCATTCCCACATGCACTCATCCGAAACGGGTTACCTATCAGCAGTATCTCTGTCAGCCCAGGGTGGAACTTGGGGCAACATGGCAGGGGTGGGTGAGTCCCAAAGGCAAAGGGGATGGAGAGGCATTTCAGCCTCTTAGAATGGAGAAACATCACCTGATAGTGGGGAAGCTACCTGATTGGTGCTCCCAGAAAAGGGGTGGGTCTGTCTGGGGACCCCAGGAAGGCTCAGTTTGGCCCGAGGCTCTGCACCTTAAAGAATTTGCTCCACCAGAAAGTTTTGGGCTCTCTGTCTACTGGCACCCCTGGAGTGGGCTAGGTCATACCTTGTGGGGGTGAGCCCAGGCAGCCCGGACTGTAACAGGATGTTTTCCATGCAAGAAACCCATTTTTTTTCTCCTTGTGTTGCAGCCAAGTTTGGTGCAAACGCCATCCTGGGCGTCTCCTTAGCTGTTTGCAAGGCCGGTGCTGCTGAAAAGGGGGTCCCCCTCTATCGCCACATTGCCGACCTCGCTGGCAACCAGGACGTCATCCTGCCGGTCCCCGTAAGTTTCTCCTGCTGTGCCTGCAGGAGGCAAATTCTGGTCTGTTCGCAAGGTGAAGGGAATCGGTCGAGTGCCTCCTGCCCCTGGGCCTGCTGGGTTTTCGGCTGTGGCTGGCACATTCGAAGGGGGAGTTGAAGGCCCCACCCCCCCTTAATAAGATGTAAGAACATAAGGAGAGCTTTGCTGGGGGGACCAAGGGCCCAGCTAGCTGTGCACGTACCAGAACCGCAACTGCAAAATAAAGCAGTGACCGCAAAGCGAGTGGGATGAAGCCACTGCGGGTAGCACACCGTTTCTTCTCTTTCCCTGCATTAAGATAGGCAGCTCCTCTGTGAGAAGGAAGCTAGCACAGTGAGGAGTGGGACTGTTCTGGATCCTTTCTCCCTGACAGGCTGCTTTTCTCCTTGCGGGGAACTGAGAGAGGAGGGCTGCTCGAAGGGGCGAGGAAGCGCTGCATGGAAGCGTTTGCCACGTGTAATGCTTGAAGATGTAATCGCCCCTTTCTGGTTGCAGACGAGATAAACCCACGCGGCACCGTGGGCTGCCATCTTCCCACAGGCTCTTCTGCCAAAACCTGCGCAAATGTGGATTGACGGAAGAGCAGTGTGTAAACGAAGCGGGCGAAACGGATCCGCCTAGTAGTGGGGTTGAGGGAAGATCTTCAGGGCTAGGAGGGGGTGAGGAGCGTCTGGGCCTCACTGTGCTGCATTATACCCTGGGGCTTGTAGGGGGCCCTGCTTTCCTCTGCGACCGCCCCAAATGCTCACCTGTCTGGTCTTTTTGCAAAGAAACAAGGGACAACGGGAAGGTGTGCCTTGCCTTCTTGCAAAAATGCTGCAAGGACGGAGCAATTTTTGCTGCCAGTAGCAGCCCTTTACGGATGGCAGGGCACCACGGAAAGGACCAGCTTGGGACGTAGCAGTGTAAAGTTTGTCTTGGATTTTTACTTTTCACGCGGCCTGGCCAGCGCTCTGTCCCTCTTCTCGATCGCTCGGCCGTGTTTCTGGGACACCACGTGTCTCATTGTTCTCCTTTTTGTCTCTGCCCCCCCGTCAGGCTTTCAACGTGATCAACGGCGGGTCTCACGCCGGCAACAAGCTGGCCATGCAGGAGTTCATGATCCTCCCCGTTGGTGCCGAGAGCTTCAAGGAAGCGATGCGCATCGGTGCCGAAGTGTACCACAACCTGAAGAACGTAATCAAGGAGAAATACGGGAAGGATGCCACCAACGTGGGAGACGAGGGCGGCTTTGCTCCCAACATCTTGGAGAACAAAGAAGGTACAAGGGGAGAGCCCGGCGAATGGAGCTGTCCTGCCCACTTCGCACGTCGCGTTCGTACATGCAGGGTGTGGGCGTGCCTGGGTCTCTTGTTTTGTTTTGCAAGGGATCCAAACCTTGTTTGTAGCTCGTCTTCTGCTCGCTGTGACGTAATTGACGCAGGCCACAGAAGTTCACCAGTCCTCATGGTTGCTGGGAATCCTGCCCATGGTCCCTGCTTGGCTTCTGAGGTTGTGCCTAAGTGTAATGCCTGCTTGTTGCCACCTTGAGGACTAGGAACATGGCTGTCTTTCAGAATGCACTTTCCTGCCCTTGTAACTGGTTATTGAAATACAAACCTAGGTTACAAGCAGTCTCCAAAGGAAAGGCAGAAATCTCTTTGCCCCTTCTTGTGCCATTCACAAGATCCTTTTGTTTTGAGGTGCACAGACCGCAGCTCCGCATGCCACCATAAATTCTTCTCTGTCCCTGGGCTGGTTGTTTCCCTCTCCTGTTTGTGCCCTTCCTGTATCCCAGATGACTTTGTAGCACTGAAGTACTAGCATGTTTTTTCTTTTACTTCTCTTGGCCGCCATTTCTATAGCCAGGCAAAACAAACTGCTGCATAGCCCATAGTGTAGGGTTCACATGTAACAAATGAACCCTTATTTAAACCACCTGGAGTTCAGAACCCAACAGTAAACCCTTAACTGCTTTTTCTGGCTTGTTCGTGGACAAGAAACCATATTTTTTTTTAGCATAGCGGAGTTTGCACATCGCGACAGTCCACAATTCAACACCCCAAACTGGATTAGCATTCTGTGCAGCCAGGTCCGTGCATCCCAGGAGCCAGGGTTTTCTTGCTGGGCTTTTCCTTGTTTCCCAAGATCAAAAGGATCGCCTGAAACGTCCAACAGCCAGGAGAAAAGAGCATGGGATAATTTCTCTCTTGCCAGGATCTCTTCTCAGGCACTGAGTTAACAACAGCCCTGTTCTTGGGGGGTGGACAAGAATTGCTTTCGAGCAATGTGGAAAGTTGCGTGATAGCATTCTTTTTTTAAAACCGCCCAGCTGGATCGTGTCTCTCCGAGCACTGACAGTGAAAATAGACGGGCTGGTGCAGCTGCCACTTGTCCTCTGAGGCGTGAACACACCTCCTCAGCTCCTTGCCCCGTCTCTCCTGCAAGCCTCTGCCTGTGGCAGCCAGCTCTCCCCAGCCAAAGGCGCGTCTGTGTAACTTGGGAGCACGGCACGTCAGCAGAACCGCTTTGAATGGAGCCACTCCTCAGCCAAGAAGCCTCCTGTTATTTGCATGTAAACAGAGGTGGTATAGAAATGGAATTAATAACGATGAGATATTTGCAGTCTGCAGGCTTAGATTGAAAAATCATGGCATGTAAGGAAAAAGGAGTGGGGAGGGAAGAGGAAAAAGTCAGCAGGTTGGTGGAGTGGCTGTTTCCTTCCCTCTTACCTCCCTCTGTACAGCCTGCTGGAATGGCTGGTAGTGGTGAAAGCTGAGGCAGGAGGAGGCTTCTGGAGGTGGTCTTCAGCAAGGCTAGCACAGCGGCCTTGTTTCCCCCCTCTAATATGCCTTGTTTCTGTTAATGAAGTATTTGTGAGGCTAGTGTACAGCAGTAACTGCTGGAGAGGTGGGAAGGTGAATAAAAGTACAACTGCCGTCAGTCGAATTTCATGAGAACTAGGAACTTACCTGTTTCAGAATGAAAAGGGGAAATGCTTCAAAAAACACCAACCCCATACACTTTCCTTTTTGTGTGTGTATGTAGTATACATATTTTATTGATAGTTCACTTAAAAAATGCACAGGCCTGGAAAAAAGCCAAGTGCTTTGGTGATTTTTCTGTTGATAGCTGTATTTATTGTCGTTCTGCACAGCCCTGGAGCTGCTCAAGACAGCTATCAGCAAGGCCGGGTATTCGGACAAGATTGTCATCGGAATGGATGTGGCAGCTTCTGAGTTCTATCGTGATGGAAAATACGACCTGGATTTCAAGTCCCCCGATGACCCCAGCAGGTACATCTCACCGGACCAGCTGTCTGACCTCTACAAGGAGTTCATCAAGAACTACCCAGGTGAGCACAGGATATGCCTTTTGGCGGGGTGTAAGGCTTCGTGGCAGTCAGCAGTAGCTAGTACATCACCAGTCAGTTTTCCTTTCTGAAAAATGGGAATAAGTGATTTCTCTGCTTTGGACTGTGGAGTCAAGGGAAGTCACCATGCCAGTGCAGTAGTTAGTAATATCTGGTCTTCCTGGAATGGTAGAAACATAGATTTGGAAGGGATTTGAGTGATCATCTAGTCCAGCCCCCTGTTTAATGCAGGCACTACTTGGTAGAAAGCCGTCTCTGTGTAAATAAGAAATACTTCCAGAAACCCACAGTCTTCTGAAGCAGCCCTTTCCACTGCTTGCATGGTTAGGAAATTGCTCCTAAGGGTGAGCTCGAAGCTGCTTCTGTGCCATCTCCGTGTGTTGGCTGGGGAGCACCGGAGAACACGCCTGCCCCATCTTCTACTGGGCAGCCTCTCGGGTCCTGCAAGCAGCTATTGCAGGGGTCTCCAGCCCCTCGGCTGCAGGCCAGTTCTGGCCCGTGGCCCGTTAGGAATTGGGCTGCACAGCAGGATCCCGAGTTCGAACATTGGAGTCACAATAAGATCGCTCCGCAGTTCGAACCATGCTGCTATGCTGAAACCGCGAGCGAGGTGCAAAAAGGTGGTTGCGGTGAAAACGATCATGGGCTGTGCGCCCAAGTCGGCACACGCACAGACCGCAAAAGACGCACTGCCTTGATGTCCTGGATCGATTGGTCTGGCCTTGAATCGATTCACCTTGCCTTGAGTCCATTCGGCTTGAATCCTTTCGGCTTGAATTGAGTACAACTAAAGAACAATGGGGGTACGTGTTCAAAGCAAGGGGGAGCATTTCCTGGGGGATTCCTGGCAATGTCTCTTCCTGTAAATTTTTGCTTAAACATTTGCCTTTTTATCACACCTCATACAACCTCACAACTTAATTCCTTTCATTAATCGAAATGGGTATTGTTTAGGGTAGGGTTCACTTTTCATTAGATGGAATTGAAGCATGGGGATGGAAGGAGAATATACTGTCTTGTTTGGAGGAGATTCAAAATACTTTTCTGAGGCTTACACCTGCCCTTCCTGGAGGTACCTCAGCTGCTCTGTTGGGAGCAGAAACATGGGGCGCTTGTACACTTTGCTGTAATAAAGCATTGGAACTAGAGCAGCTCCTCCATCCGCAATTCTTTGAGGCATAAATCATTCAATTTGCTATTATGAAAAGACCCTAAATGACTCAGGTTCCTTAATAGAGGCTACAGTTGACGATTCCCCTCATCTGAGGGACTGGATATATTGTTCAGATGCCAGTTGACCGACTTTCAGTTCTGCATTCCAAGGTTGCTCCTTGGTTTAAACTAATCAAATGTGACTATTGAAGATCTAATTACTTAGTTAGCATCCCTAATTATAGCCTTAGGGTGGCCTTTACAGCCCTTTGTTTTGAAACCATGTATACAGCTCTCCTATCCAGTCATTATACTCATATTCCAATGGAGCAGTGATTGTCTTATCTGTGGATCACCTCAAGTGGAGAATCTATGGCATTATGTTCTTTACTGTTCTTCATACTGTGAACCCAGAGGGAAAAAAATGATTAGTATGCTAGCCCCTTGTAATGCTTACTCTGATTCTGAGAAATTAGTGTTCTTGTTATCAGAGGCTGATGCCTATGTGTCTCAGAGTTTTTCCTTTTGCTCTCAGCAGCTATAAAAAGATAAGAGCTACTGAGGTTTTGAAGGGACACCGCCCTGAATTACGCCTTGGTCTTTTTGTACTATGTTTTGATAGACTTGATTTATGGTTTTATGTGCTAATCTGATGTTTTGCCTTGTAAATTTGTAGTGGCCCATGGTTAAATACAATTAACTTCTTATTACTGATAGGGAAAATTGATTCGGACTTCTAACGATGCAGAGTTCAAATGGTCTCCTGAAACAAATTAAGTTCGAAGTATGAGGCACCAGTGCAATGTGCTTGACTCATCCCCAAACCATTCCTCCTCCTCACCCCCCCGGTCCATGGAAGAAATGTCTTCCATGAAACCAGTCCCTGGTGCCTTAGAAACATAGAAACAGAGCGAGTCAGAAGGGGTCTCCTGGGCCATCTAGTCTGACCTCCGGCACCAGCCGGCTCCGCTCACGACATGCCCAACATGTGGATGTCCAGCCTTAAAAGGTTGGGGGTCACTGCGCTGTTACATTTCCCTCTGACCTTCTCCAGGCTGCTTCCTTTAGAATTTGGTTTCCAGGCCCCCTTAGCTTGAGGGAAGGAGTAGCCACCTCCTTTCTCGTCCGGTGAGTTGATGATCCACCTTTCCCTCCCTCTGTCCCCTCTCAGTGGTTTCCATTGAGGATCCGTTTGACCAAGATGACTGGGCTGCTTGGAAGAAGTTTACTGCCACCGCAGGAATCCAGGTGGTGGGTGACGACCTGACGGTGACCAACCCCAAGCGGATTGCCAAAGCTGTTGAAGAGAAGGCCTGCAACTGTCTGCTGCTCAAAGTGAACCAGATCGGCTCGGTCACGGAGTCCCTCCAGGCGTAAGTCTTTGCTCCCTCTGCAGTGGGGAGAAGCATTGAAAACGGGTTGAAATGGAGCAGGGGCACTGTTTTGAAGCAGACTTCTCAGGCCCGTGCCTTCTGGCTGTGTGGGACTTAAGCTTCAGCCAGCATGCCAGTGGTCAGGGATGCTGGGAGGGCACTCGCTTCTGTTAATTTTGCATTCGCAATGCCCATTTCCTGCCCTTCCTCCATGAGGGGCACAGAGCAGCTAAAGCAATTTAAAACGCAATGACAATATTCTAACTGAAACACCAGAACCCAAAAGGCCAGGAACCAAAATCCTTTGAAGGTAACAGGGTCTTCAGATTGAGTTAGCCGGCATCCACAGTGGGAGCTAATTGCATCTTTTTGGGAGGGGATTCAACAAACAGCATGGGGGGAGCCACCCTCAAGAGTGCCCCCCCCCGGGGCCCCCCCCCCCCCCCCGTTCCCTTGTCCATTGAGGGGATAACAAGCTGGTATTGTCTGCAGAATGACAGGCCCATTCATGCACAAGGAGTTGCACGGGAAAGACTTTGAGCTGGGCATGGACTCTCCAGCTAAGCTCCTTCTCAGATTTGTTATGGGGTTCAGACAGAGGAGGAGGCACTGCATTTTCCAAGCCAGCATGCGAAGGAAAGAAGGGCTGCATTGGGGCTGCTCTCGGTGCGAGTCCTAATCGGTGCTGGCAGCGCTCAAGTTTCTCTTCCTGTTTCAGCTGCAAGTTGGCCCAGTCCAACGGTTGGGGTGTGATGGTGAGCCATCGCTCTGGGGAGACCGAAGACACCTTCATTGCGGACCTGGTGGTTGGGCTGAACACTGGACAGGTATGTGGTCCCCTGCGGAGCATCTTGCCTTGGAATGCCCTGCACCTTGTTCTTGTTGTCCAAGGCGGGAGAACTTTGGACATGCCAAAGGGAAACATGGGCTTTGTTTTCTCACGGTTTGGGCTTTTTCTCGTTCCAGATCAAGACAGGTGCTCCCTGCCGATCTGAACGTCTAGCCAAATATAACCAGCTTCTGAGGTAAGTAGCGCATAATTAAATGTGCTAGCCAGAATTAGCTGCTAACCTGCTCCTTGCTTGCATTTCTCAGTTTCTATGAATCTGTCTAAACCGTAGGCATGCATGCTCTGCCTGAATATTGCCAGATGCGAACATTTATTAGAACTCGGCCTTAAATGACGGTTGTGCTGTATCGTATATTTTAAGTTTTAATTCTGCCGTCGCAAATAGTGCTTTGTATTTCAGAACCAATTGGCATTTTTTTCACAGTGGGTTTCTGTTTGGTTTTTTGTTTGTGAGTGGTATGCATGTCTCTGTGTCTGTTTAAAAATCTAGTGCCTCAGATTGCTTTTCTTCGTTTGTCCTCCCAGTCTCCTTTCTTTTAAGGTCATGGCTTTGCAACTGCAAGATGTCTTGGGAGCCTCTGGTGAAGGGGCAGCATAAAATGCTATAAATGCTGAATGTAAAGGAAAAAGGGCTTGGTTGCGGAGAAGGTGGAATGGCGGACTGTTGGCCCCCTTGCCTGTTAGTCGCACTGGCGTTCCTCCACACAGGGATTTCATTTAAATTGTGGAATTGACTGTGCCAGGATGGAGGACAGAGGGCTGCCCGTTTGGGTGGCCTTAGAGGAGAATTTGGGCCAGTTCATGGAGGAGAAGGCCATCAGTGGCTGCTAGGCTGTGCTACCTTCCTCCAAGGCTGCATGCCCCTGTGCTCCAGCATCTGGGGAACCTGGGTGGGAGAGTGCCCTTGCCTCCTCCCCCTCCTGCTCTTCGATTTCCCATAAGCAGCTGGTTAGCCACTCCGCACACCACACAGAGGCCTAGATCAGACGGCCTGATTGCACAATGGTTTTTCCCCATGGCTTCTGTGCATAATAGATTTGCCTAAATGTGGAAGCTGGGACTAAATGTTGGGGCTCAAGGAGCTAGTCATGACCTTTTTCATGAATTTCCCCGTTTGCCTCTAACTCCCAACAGTAAATCAGCATGCTGTATATTCTGTTCTCATTGGGCGTGTGTGTGTGTGTGTGGGGGGGGAGGCGGGGATTGGCCAGTGCAGGGTTTTCCCCTCTGGATTTTTCCTTGAAATTGTTGATCCCCCGAGGTCTGACGCCTCTCTCTTGAGCAGGGCGCTGTTTCACAGCCAGCGAATTGCGTTTGCCATTAGTGTGTAGTGCATTAGACACAACAGATTCGAGCTTCAGGCTTGGGCAATTTGTGGCTCGCCAGATCTTGTGGCCTGCTTTGTGTCACCCTCCCTACCCTGCAGTGTTAACGAGGAAGGCCTTCGTGACACCTGCAGAGCCACCACCAAGCCTAGCCATGAAAATGTGCTGACCCTCCAGCATTTTCCAGCCTGAATTTCTTTCAAAAACAGGTTATTTGCCCTCTCCTGGTAATACTTGCCTCTTATTCCAGCTGGTTTCTCTCTCTCCTCTCCCGTTTCCCTGTCCTGCCTTTCTTTAGGATTGAAGAGGAGCTGGGAAGCAAGGCCCGCTTTGCTGGCCGGAACTTCAGGAACCCTCGTGTCAAATAAAGCATTTTGGCTTCTCCCCCCTGCCCCCCCCGGTTGCAGTTGGAAGCACTAGTCACCTAATTAGAGAAAAATAAAACCCCGCAGTGCTTATGTACTACAAAACAAAAGGGCAGCTGATGGAACCCACTGGGTTTTGCAGGTCTCTCTTCCTAGGCTGCTACGAGTCCCTTGTCTAACCCTAACCCCTCCGTTTCTCCTTCTCTCCTACCTATATCCCTGACTCCCAATTTGTTGCTTTCCAAAGGGCTTGTCTTCTCCCATTTGGGAACAGTGCCTTCCCTTCTCCACCAAACCTTGGTGAGTGCTTTAAAAAGGAGGACAAACATCCTGGCGTTCAGCTGTAACACTACGGCCACTTGGTGGTGGGGGGGGGGGGCATTCCTAACTGAGGAAAGCGAGTTTCTACTCCTCCTCCTCTCTTCTCTTCCCCCTACCGTTTCCCTACATAGTGTGCGGAGGCTGTGTAACTTGCGGTGTGGCCTGAGGTACCTGCAAACAGAAAAAATAGTAGTTCTCACATGAGGTCAATAAAAACCAGAGAAACAGCCTGGTCTGCAGTTGTTGTTAATGGGGAGCTTCCATGGTGGGGTTGGGGAGTGTATTTTTTTGGAAAGAATGGAGTGGGGCCCGTGTGGAAAGTTTTTTTCCCCCTTGTGGTGGAGGCAGCCACAAAAGGCACGGTTTGCGAGAGACGGACAGGAGTACTTTTAGCCGGAAGACAAAACAGTGCCAGTTGCCGTCTTCTGATAACATTTCAGAGAACAACTGTTCTTGCCAAACACAGCAAATCACTGGATAGGAGATAGCAGAAAAGAACAGATATTTTGGGATACAATTCAGTGGGGCAGTCCTTACTTACATATGGCCTTCTAGCTGAGCCTCCAAAAGTCCTTTCATTGCTTAGTGTCTGGTGGTCATAAGATTGTGTGGCTGGTTTCTTTAAAAATTGATGCTTTTTCTTCGGTGGAAGCATCTTGGAGTGGTCCTGTAGCTTAAAGAACGTCAACTTGGTGCTCACCAGCTCTTTTGAACTGCAGCTTGCTTAATTTCTGACTGGTGGCAGTCCTGGCTGGGGCTGATGGGAGATGTAACCAGGAGAACATGCCACTTCTGTGTTCACTACTTAGTAATCACAGAACTGACTAATGTTTTGATGGAGTGGACAGCTGAATCTGAGAGGAATGCTTTCTGTTATGCTCCAGTTTTGCAGTTCTACCAACTCCCAAAGTCACTTTTGGGCAAATTTGATTTTCTGTGGGCTTAGAGGAACAGTCAGGAATCTGCCAATGGTGAAAATTAAATGTTTTGAGGCATAGAGGGAAGGCATTTCCTTAATTTCCCCATATGACTAGTCTGGTTGGAGGAATAAATTTTTAAGAGTTTGATAGCAGCCTTTCTCCCCATATGGTTGCAATTTCAGCATTTCAAAAAATCTACCCATCACTTGTAAAGTTGATGAAGCAGTAGGTACCTAAAAATGCACATTGGCCCGTGTTTGCCATTACACATGCTATTGGATTAGAAATGTGTGCGCTGCCCTCTTGTGGGCTTTGTCTGGTATAGCAAGAACTCCCAAAGGTAAAAGTGACCTTGCCCAGCAGCTTGTGCTTGGCCAAAGAACCGCATGAAATCCCCATGCTTCACTGCAAACTGAAATGCAGTGCCCTGCTACTAAGAATATTTCCTTCCATGTGTAAAATCTTCATATACATAGCTGTGTATTTAGAGAACAAGTCGATGCAGTGGGTATGTGATTGGGAAATGGTGCCCAAGTAGAATTGGGACTTCTTGGTCAGTGCGATTGAGCTCCCTGGGTGAATTTGAGGCAGTTACTGAGGCTCAGCCTTCTAAGTCGCCTCAATGCAGCAAATTGGCATGGACCATAGGCCGGGTGTTTCGCTGTTCCTGGAATGGGACAGGAAGGAAGGAAGGAAACCAGGAACATAACCAATATGTTTCATCAAACCCTGAGAGAATTATTTTAATATAATTTTGTACACTTAGAGCAGGAGTGCAGGGTCTCGGGCTGCAGGCTGAATTATTTTGGAGAAGTTCTTGTTGCATTCAGGTTGCGGGGAGGGTTCAAGGTGTTGGGGATGGGATCAAAAGCCCCCGAATACCAGGATATTTTAGTTTAAAGCTCTTATTGCCAGTAACAAAGCTTTGTTTTAATTGGTGACATGTAAAACCCACCATTTTTCATGTAAGGAATCTGGGGATGACTAAATCCTCTTCATTTTATCTGCACAACAACCCTGTAAGGTAGGTTAGGCTGGGAATATGGTTGACCCAATGACACTCCGTGACCTTCACTTCCAAGTAAGACCAGCGAATTGGAGTCCAGCACTCTTGACTCCTGCACTGCATAGATTTAGGAGAAGCATTTCAACCCTTTGCAAAGGCAGGAACTACAAACACCATCCAAGATCTGCATGGTAGTGATGGTGGTGATACCCAGATGAATTCAAAGTAGTAAAGCTGCAATTGCAAGCCTTGTTGCAAAATTACAAGAAGTTGGAGCCGAGTAGCAAACAAGAAAATGCCTCCAAAGTCAGGAGGGTGGCTGTTTTCCAGCCCAGGTCACCCAGTGAGTAGGTGCCTGCACTTGGATCCAGCACTGTAGCCCACACATCACCCTGCCTGGGCAGGATCAGTACCCAAGAACCCCTTTAACAGCTCGGGAAAATGCTGAAAGTGGATGCAGTCCTGGGAAGAACCCACATGTTGGTGCCCGACTCTTGGCATGACGTGCAAATTCACCTCTTGAATGTATAGATAAATGGGATGAATCTGGAACAAATTCCAGATCTGTTGTCGTGGGAGGAACTGCCTGGGGAAGGAATCCCCTAGGGAAAGTGCTTTTTACGGGTGGGTTGGCATGCAGACGCAGAAAGATGCTGTTGAAGGGAGAATCGGTTAGGATCTAAGGTAAGCTTCCCAGTGTAATATTTGTACATAAGACATGTTACTCAGCTTGAGTCTCTAAAAAGGACATTATAGAGGAAAAAAAGGGCATACCAGCCCGGATTGTAGGGGAGCGGAGGAAGGTCATCTGTAAAAGCCAATCAGAATATTATACAGTGAGCTAATCACCATATTGACATTTGCCTGCTTAATTAGCCTTGCATTCTGCTTTTTCAGAGCACAAGGAAAGGCCATGACTCATCCATCATGATCAGAGGCTGAGTTGCAATTTCCTGATTGCAGAATACATCTTCGATGCTCTGTTTTATTTAATGGGATGGGGACAAGATGGCTTTTGTGCTTTCTTGGTTCCTGAATGCGGGGTTATGGCTGGTATGGGTAGCGGCTCTCACTTAGCTGTTGTCTTCTCAGGTATGCATGTACACTTAGTGCAGACTTACATAAGGTGTGCTTAAAATGAGCAGAGTTCAGTAGAGAAAGCACACAAAGGAAAAGGCTATTGGTTCCGCCAGCTGACTATAAACTCTGCCTTCCGTGCAAAGCCTATTTCCAGTTTCCTCAGAGATGGGTGCAGCTGGGGCAAACCCCCAAATCCTTTAGCAACTACATCTTAAGTGAGGCAGTTTGGCCTTTTAAAATAGGGGAAAGCTAGAAAAGCATTGACCATTCCAGAGCCCCTGGAGGGCCAAACCTGAACCATCAGGGGTATATACCTTGGTATATACAGATCCACAGCAGTTTTGTAAGGATTCAGGCAGGACTTTGCCCCAGCTCCACCAAACTCGACAAGGATGAAACCTGGAAACTTTGCACATGCTCTGTCACTCAGCTATGCCCCTATTCCATATTCACATGACAGGGTGAAGAATGCGCACGGACGGACTGCAAATTTTGCACATTGCTTATTTAACGTTTATAAGCTTCCAAGAATATGCACCCCTGGGCAATGGCTGAGTCAGAAAATGTACAAATTCACCAGTCAACGTACATGTCAAGTCTGAAGTCTCTGCCTGCCTTACGTGCAAAGCACATGGTGTCTCCAATTAGTTCACAGATGCTCTGCTATGGGGACTATTCATATTGGCAGGCAGTATGTACAATCTCAAATGTCATTGATTTGGACACGATTGATTGATTGATTGATTGAAACATTTCTATGCCGCCCCTTGCCGAAGCCTCGGGGCGGCTCACAGCAGAAATTTTCTGCACCATTCCGGGTGAGTGTACTGTTGTTCATGCGCATTCTCCATTTAAATCCCATTAGTCCCCTACATATAGAATCATAGAGTTGGAAGGGGCCATGGAGGTCATCCAGTCCACCCCCTGCTGTTGCAGGACATCTTCCCACTCAGATAGCTGTCCAATTTCTTTTTGAATGTCTCTAGTGTGGGAAAGACATTCAGTGCAAACCTATGTATTTTAGCTTAGTGCAATACCATTCATTGAGCTTATCCCCAGTTAAAGCATGTACAATTTTTACACAATTCTTTAAATCGTTCACTGTTCTGAGAGCTGTTGCTAATCAAATGGTTCATAAAAGCCTTAAGTAAGACTGTAGCCTTCATAAATTTTATAAGACTGAAAAGCCACATATTTCTCTCTATATACATGCCACCTTTCCTTATGAGAAAATTAAAAGAGGGTAAAAACCGTAATTAAAAAACAAGCCAACAGTAAAGTATACAGAGCAGTGACAATTAAATAGCCCCCCCAAAAAACCAAGGGTTGTGGGAGAGTTTAACACTCAATAGCCAGAGCTGCATATTCAAAACGTTGCCTAGCCTACCTCACAGGGTTGTGGTGAGAATAAAGTAGAATAAGGAGGACGATGGGTTGGGTTTCCTCTAAGAAATAAAAAGGTGAGATAATAATATAATGGTGCAAAAAGTAGTAATATATTACCAGCACAAATACAGGGTTTGCTTTAAAATGTTAATAATTCTGGCTTGTTAGTCCCTTGTATATTAACTACAGCCTTCTGGGATCTGGAAGAAACTTGTTTGAAGTCTGTTAGATGCTTTAAATATCAAATACTTTAAATATAGCATCTATTTCTGGGTGGGGGTTTTTTTTTTGGAAGTCTGTGAAGGTTATTGTTATATGGAAACTCATGTTAAGAATCACAGGAATAAGAGGTGTTTTGACTGCCTATTATGTTATTATTCATTACTGCATATTAAAATATGCTCAGTTTCCTTGATCTTTTTGGATACAATCCTATGCAAGTTTAGACAAAGCCTACAATTCCCAGCATGCCTTGCCTTGCACTTTAAAAGTATCACAGATCTTTTCTAGATTTCCTCTGTATTGCTTAGCACCTTTCATTTTACTTCAGATTTTCTGTTGTACTTGTTTATATTGAATGTTATCTCTGTTTTTCCATTTTTTTTCTGTAACATTAGTGTGAACATTTATTCCATCATCCACTTTTTATTTCTATTTCCAGTTTTACTATTGGTCATTTTCATTATTTTGTATTGGGAAACATTATTGTTCCTAGCAGGAGGAAAAAAGGTAGGATAGAAATTTGCCTACTGTAACTTTTGCACCCCACATTTTTATTTATTGGGAAATAGGATCAAGCAAACAACTTGAGTTTCTCCCATTTTAACCTCACTACACCCATGCAAGGAAGGCTAGGTGAACGGTAAGTGACTGGCTCAAAGGCACCCAGGAAGCTTCATAACTAACTGAAAAATTGAATGCAAAGTCCAGCACTCTAATCACTGCTCCATACTGCCTCTCACAACCCTGTGAGGCAGGTCAGGATCAGAGCCAGTGACTGACTCAGAGTCACCCAGTGAGCTTCATGGTCGAGTGGGGACACGATTCCGGATCTCCAGAGTCCTGGCTCTAACCACTACACTTACTTCCACTGTAACTACACCACCACCTTGTGATTTAAAAGCCGCTAACGCTTTCTTTTCTTTTAAAAACGGCAAACCTTTAAAAACTACACACTTCAAAGGGAATTTATTCCCAGGCAAATAGATTAATCAGTATAACTGATTTCAGGTGGGGGTGGTAGAAGCTTAATACTGCGGCTAATGAGGCAAGTTGCGCCGGTGGGCGGGGCCACATAGAAGCGTCATATCCCCTCCCCCTCCCTTAATTGCCGAGCGCGCCAACCGTCACGCCCGCGAGGGCCGAGACCACGCGCTCGCGCTCTCGCCCAATCCCAGGCCCCCTCCCACTTCTTTCTCCCTTTAAAAAAAAAAAAAACTTCCATCCTTCCCGCTGATTGGCCGCGGCTTCTTCGCCGGGGTCACGAGGTGGCTCCTCCCCCTCTTCACCAGCACCGCACACAGATATGTACACACTCACGCACGCACCGGGTCTGGCGGCCAATGAGCAGGCGCGATACTGGCATGTGGCGCTGGCCTGTCTGAGGGTGGTTGCTGGGTGTCTCTTTGGTTGTGTGAGGAGGAGGAGGAGGAGGAAGGGAAACCACAAAAAGAGGGAAAGCTGCTGCTGTTGCTGCTGTTATGATGATGCTTGCCTGAGTCTCTCTGCCCGCACACCTCTTTGCATACACGTCTCACCACAAGGAGAGAGAGGAGGGGGGCGTGCATTTGCCTGGCCGGATCATTCCTCCCCCTTCCTCTCCATTATTCACCCACCTCCCTGCCTTTCTCCCACAGCCCCTTGGTTTCCTCCTCCTCGCATTGCCCGTCTTTCTCCTCCTCTGACTGAGTGCATTGGTCTCCTCCCACGGCAGCCTCTTCCCCCTCCTCTTCGGGGCCTCCCCCTCCGCTAAAATATTGAGCGATCCCACTCCATAGGCATCAGAGAATCCAGCTGAGCCGGTCTCCTCTCTCCCCTTTCTGCGGCTTCAATTCATAATAGAAAATCCCCTTTCTATATTTCTGCCCTCTTCCATAATCTCTTTAGTCCTTTTGGGGGGGTGGCTGTCTAGAGCTTCCATAGCCTTTTCTTTCCTCCTCTCCCCTGCCAGACCACTCTCAATACACACCTACTTTAGTCCTGACCTTCACACCCTCTATCTTTTCTTCCACCCCAACTTCCGTTCCCATTTTCCTTCCTCCTTTAGCCCTTGCTTGGAATCTCCCCCACTACCACCAAACAAAGCCTACTGATGGTGTGATCCGTGAGGGGAAGGTAAGTAAGTAAGTTATCCATTTGATTGCTTTTGTTTATGATTCATTTCCTTCACCCCCGCCGCCCTCATTTGTGCAGGAAGGGATGGCGGAGAGTAAGACGAAAGAAGGTTTTTGTGTATGTTTTGGTTGGGGAATGCAAAAGGCCCATTCAAACGTCTGGTGTGGTTTTCACATGTGACTTAATTTTGGATCTGCAAACAGAAGCTTTTGTTCCTGTGTACGGTATTAAAGGATCAGTGCAAATCACTTAAATTTGATATCTTTGGTCCCCCACCCCATACCTTTCCCTCCATGGGGTGTCGGGGGGGGGGAATTTCTATTTTTATCTGTTATGAATCAAAACCACTATGGTATTCTGATGCCTCTTGGATGAATATGGGGGATTCCATGTGGCTGAAATTCTAAAAAGGTTTCTCATTTGTTACATTTGCACTATGGGCTTTCTGTTACGACTAGATTTGTCATTTAAAGATTTATCAAATAAAGTGGTGATATGAATGGGAGAAAAGGTATAAAGGCAACATTTATCTCATGCATATGGTTGTAGTATATGAAAGACTTGTAGTTTTGGAGTGAGGTGGTGGAAAGGAACTGCTCTGTTTCTGGCCACAATAATCTCAGACTTAATAGGGCTTTCCCCCTTAATTGTCTTTTAATTTTTCCCTGCATGAACTGTTTTGGTTAATAATTACTGTGTTGGTATATGTATTATGAGAGTCTCCCTCCCCCCCCCGCCCCCATCGTAATGTTGATCAGGGCTGGGTTTAAACAGTGCCCCATTTTGTGAATGAATTGTGTGATGACCTCTGATTGCATTAAGGGATGTGTGTTTAACATGGATGAAAGGATATACATTTGAAAGACAAATCCGTATCAGTGCAAGCAATCAACTGGCATTACATTTTTGTTTTTGACTTGTATAGTAAGCATCTTAACACACCCTCTCTTTCAAAAGTTTGGAAGACATTTGCGGAAAAGAGTGGGCAGGAAAAATACAGAAGTTCAACTGCTGAAAACTGTTAGAGAAGTTGGGCTGTAGGAAAACAAAATGATTCATTCATTCATTCATTCAGTGAAGCATGTGGTTGAGTTTGCTTTATTTTTGAACATTGACTTGCTGTTGCTTTTACTTTGACTGCTTTTGCTTATGAGCAGTTGCACTTCTGGGCATTGTATGGCATTTTACGGTTAGTATGTATCCCCCCCTTGTGTGTGTGCACATCTGCGTGGGTTATTTTCTGATACGAGTTTTTAGTGTGAAATGTGCAGCCCATTGTGATTTATGTTGCAACTGATGAACATTGGCCTCTGGTTTTGAAAATGTACTCAGGACATAGTTTGCCTTGGTGATGTTTAACAAAAAAACAACCTGAAATGTATTATGTTCTGCAACAAGCTAATCTGTATTTGACTGAATTGTAGAATTATGATATATATATAAAATTCCTGTTGCTAACAATTCTGAATTCAGCCAGGTGCTTAATGTGGTTCACAATACTCCTTTTGGTATGTTTTTGTGTGTACAGACTGCTTTTGTCAGATGAAGGGGAAATGAATCCATATAGTTATGGATTCAAAAAATCTGATTGAAAAACAAGTGACTTCTTGTTTTGTCCCTGGTGTTTGCCCTGTAATTTATTTGCTAGGTTGGTTTTTTGCTTTTAATGACCTGTTGTGGATGGTAAACAGCCTTGCTGATATATTAGCTGTTCAGGACTGAAGGAAGCAGAGGGAGGAACCCACACAATGACTAGGGTGGGGATCTTATTGTTCACTCACTCATAGTTGGGGCCATGCTTGCCTACAGAGAAATGCAGCCCTCCCTGCTCCTATTGGTGCTTTTTTACATGGGAAATATGGTTTCATTTTTTTCTATCATAAGGTTAGAGAAACCTTGCAAGGTGAATGGAAGACAAACCCAAATCCGTTGGCAACCACACACTTCCTCTGCCCCTTTTTTTTTTAATGATCTGGCTTTTAGGTCAGAACTGTAACCTCTAGGCTCCCAGTTCAGGTAATGCTGCCTGTCCCTCTCCTTCCGTCCTCGCTAGTCCTGCCATTATTTAGAACTTTCCAAAGCAAATGGGTCTGCCTTAAGTATTTCTGTGTCAGAAGTTAAACTGGTTCTTTTGGGAGTGGTTGGAGAAGTGATTACTAGGGAGAGCTAAAATGCGTGAAGAGCATTAAAGGGTGAAAATGTAGGTCTGACAGTTTAGCCAGTGTCCAGGCAGAAGGGGGTTTATGCAGGAACTAGAGCAGTCTTCGCACTCACCGTCCTTTAAATGTTTTCATAATATCAGAAGCCATCAGGTTCAAACCCCTGCTCAGTGCAGAACTCCAGGCTAAACCATCCCTCTCAGATGGCTGTCCAGTTGCATCTTGTTTTGGGCTATAACTCTCCATAATCCCAAGACATTGGCCAGCATATGGCGGATACTCACTGAAACAGCAACTTGAGAATGAGGAAGGTTAAGAGGAGGGTGGTAGAAAACATATTTTTGGGTGCACAGGCTTCCCAGCCGAATCTCCAGTAAAAGCACCAAGCACTGGGAAAGACCCTTCCTAAGATTGCAGAGGTGCTGTCATTCAGAGAATCCCTGTTTAGATGGGGAAATAGTCTGGCTTGGTGTGAGACAGCTTCCTATGTTCCTAGAGTGACCAAGGTTTGCACATGATGCAATAAATGCCTTCTCTCATTTGTGTAGTTTGTTTCACTCCACCAAGTGCTCTTTCATCAGCCCTCCCCTCAAGTTTCTTTATTTTACAGAGAAAGGCAGGATAAGGGAATCACTTGTTAAATGGCTGAGCGGGAATGTCTGTCACCCGTTTCCAGGTTTTAATCTTGTTGGCCCCATGGGTTTGTGCGGTTCTCTGAAATTAGCTGCTTGCTGTAGTTCTCAAGAGTCTGCGCTCCCCCCCCCCTCAAAAACATCACTGGTTTCCAGGCATGATGATCTTGGGACTGGTGTCTTGGATCTCTGTCTTCCACTATGAATTAAGAGCGCTTACCACATTTGTATCCATATTTAGGCGGAAAAATAACCATGTGCCCAAGGTCACCCAGTGGGCTTCATGCCTCAGCAGAAATTTGAAAGTAGGTTTTTGATACTTGGCTCTAAAACGGGATGCAAAGCCACCTTCTGCTTATAATTAAATACCAACGCTCTTTCACTCAAGAACAGTAATGGAAACTTGACTTTCAAACCTTTATCAAACTGCAAAGGGTGTGATTCACTGACTGGTTGGACATTTGTGACAGATAAATGGAAGCACTTCTTTACACCATAGGTAGTCTGGTTATGGCATTTGCCGCTGCAAGATTTGCAATGGTTACTAACTTGAGCGACTTTAAAAGGTGGCTGGAAGAAGTGATGGAGGACAAAGCCATAAGCAACCACTCGTCACAATGGCTGTGTGGGAAAGCCCCATCCCTGGAAGACAAATCCAGCCCCCTTAAGGTCCCACTCCGGCAGGCATTAGGTGAGCTGCCAGTCGTTAGCTGGTGATCACCAGTGTTTTGCCTTCACCCCTCGTCTGCAGAAACACGAAGTATGAAAATACTGGTCTTCTACTTTAGCTAGCTTTTATGCCCTGTTATATTTCTTAACTTCCAAGCATTCCTGGCATCTCTTCAAATGTACGTTGATTCTTTTTCTACGGCCCTTGGCAATGTATGACAAATATTAACTAATCTTCTAATGAAATTCCATCAGTGCTTCTCTAGTAACCAGATTCCTTTGGCTTCAAGTTCACAATCCTTCTTGTTTTCTGTTGTGCTTCTCTCTTTTTGCCTTTTTGATCAGCGTGTTATTAATAGAGAGACCACTGTAAGATATGGCCTTGCCAAGAAATAGGTCAGTAGTGGAATGTATGCAGATGTGTGTGTGAGTTTTCACTGGAACCTGATTTGTGATGGGTATTATAATAACGAGCTCCAACAAGCCTTTGTTCTGGAAACTTAATCCTCCATATCAGTCCACTGGCTCCTCTCATTAACTATGAAGGCTCGGCCTGGGCTCCCAAGTTATAATTTTGCTTTCGTGAGACCCCTAGAAGAGGAACTGTGTTGTTGTTGTTGTTACCTCAAAACAGGGCAAGGGGATTATTGCTCTACCTGCTCTGCAGGCCACTCTGCAGCAACCGAATGTAGCCATCAACTGGAGGCCCAGCAGTTTCCCCAAGGGTGAGCGCATGTCAAGGACACCAGGCAGCACCCCTGAGCGCCTTCAAGGAAAGGCAGCGTAAGCCTATAATAAAGAGTATTCAGGAATGCGGGGTGCTTCCCTAATATTTGCTGACTCTTCTCAGCTTTTATTTTTTATTATTTATTTAGGAAGCTTCCGTGTTTTCTGCATGCCTGTTTTTAAAAAAAGATCACATTCACTTGGGGGTTGCAGTCTCGGGGATCTCAAAACATTCTGGAGGCTTTGACTTGATCTTTTTGGTCTTGTGTTTATGGGGAAATTTGCCACAATATGCTTTGCACATCTGTTGCTGGGACAGATATATTGAGAATTGAAGTCAGGCTACCCGTCATGGCCCACCTTTTTGTGCCATCCTAGACATTTGGAAAGCATCAGCAGACCTCAGACTTAAAATCAACAACAGGTTTCTCTAACCTCCCCAAGTGACTAGAACTTCTTTCTCACCTGGTTTTTATAATGCACATTATTTAAGCCATGATGCGCTGTGTATCACTGGGTGCTGTTGTGCAGATGCAACCCATCCCGGGGGGGTTTGTGTTGAGCAAACCTGGTGAGAATAGCTTATATAGGGATTGAACAAGCCTTGCAGAACCCATGGCCTGTTCAGGAGTTACATAAATCATAGTGGACTACTGTGCCATACAAACTGGAGTATTGTTTACAAAACGAGCAGTGTTTTTTTGGACTTAACAGGCAGAGTCAACGGCTTAACTGCTTGTTGCTGAATAAGGAGCGAGTACTAAGAGGTGCTCTTGCTCAGTGGCCCTTTTTTTAACTGGGCTCGTATTTACAC